CGGCCATCCATTCTCTACTCATTCTTCAGAAGATTTCTGTAGTGCATAACTCATCATTTTCCTAGAGGTGCAACCCAGTTAATTAACCAAGTTACTTGGTGATGGTGTGTAGGTGATCATCAAGGATACAGAGCTTTTCCTCATCCTGGAAGGTGAAGTACAGTTTGACGAAGAAAGGGTGATCCAGGATTGACATCAAATCTCTCTCTCTCTTCACATACTGCGCCTTGTTCTCCTTCATTATATGGCGCTTCTCCAGGATCTTAACTACACAAATACACACACACACACACACACACACACACAGGTTGTATTGAAGAATGGCAAGCAAACATGTTTTCATGATTGCCACACTGCGTATTTGCATGCTATCCCATCACGTTTAGGGCTGGACTGGTGGTCAGTCGTCCCTTTTGACTACTTTGACTAGACAAAAGACTAAGGTAAAAACGTTTGCAAGACAAGTGATTGTCGTGTATTCAAACCAAAAGCCATGGCTGTCACCACATCACTACTTAGAGTACTACAAAATCAAAAAAATAAATAAATGTTCAAGATCATAGCTGAGATGCCCCTTTGGAAAGCACTGTCAATGAGGCTTCTGGGTGCATTCTAGTTTTGGATAATTAAAGGGAAAGGGGAGGGGCTTATGCTATGCACTGTCGCACATTTAAATTACAGCACTTTTTTGGGATGTTGCTTATAAATTCTGTAATATTTGGGGCTTTTCAAAATCAAATGGAATCTTGAGCTTGGGTTAGTACTTCTTTACGTCCACCATCAGAAACACCAAATGATGCATGAAGCTGTTCTGGGATCTTTTGGTGACCTATTAAAAATTTCATGTTGGTAAGTTCTTTTAATTTTGTTATTTAAATGAATACGTCGTAAATAATTTCTTACTTGCATATTCCTTCCCCGTTGAATGTTCTTTTGCGAGGACAACCTAGCACAAAGAAAGACACAAATGAAATTAGTTGTTCATTCCTTTACATAGACATCCATAATTCCACCCTCATCCATCTAACCATCCCTGCCAACTCACTTAAGGAAGTTATCCAGTGATAGTTTCAAAGCCGATAAAGGGAAAAGACAGAAGAGCAAATCATCTTCTCCAAAGTAAGTGCACTAAAGGAGGAGTGTTAGAGTAAGAGCACAGAAATCAGGTGATCTGCTGTGTCCGTTTACTTAATTGTCCACGTTTCATGTTCTGAGTGAGCACATAATTAAATATGTGTACATATTATGTAATAAGCTATGCTTCTCTGTGAAGATGTAATCGCCTGTTTTCAGCCCAGCTGGTTATTCCATGTTTTCTAAATCTTGTGTCCAAATGAAGAGACCACTTTGTCTGCTTCATCTGCTTCTTTCTGAAAATTCATTTTCAACTATTGCCATTGAAAACTCAACCTTAAAAGCTCATCAGGCAGGCTAATTGTCAAGTCATTTCCAACAAAATGATGTAGAATACAGGACTTGATTGGCTAAAATATAGAGATGCACTGAAATTTTCTCCACTAAAACAAACAAAAAAGACAACAATTTGGCTGAAAAAAGCTATTTTTTTTGTTAAAACTGAATGAAGTAGCATTACTGAGTAAGGAAAAAAACAGTCTATAATATGGTGAGCTGCTGCATGTCATCCTGTAAAACCTGAAATAATAATTTAAAAGTCAGAGGCATCAAGGTGGATTTCGCTGGAGTTTTTCAGACCACATCATACGTCTTTATGTATTTACATGACACACACAAAGTCAAAAAAGAAAGTCCAACTTGACTTTTAAGAGTCAAATGCAAAATTAACACTGTACTGTAGATTTACTGGCAACAGTAAATCACTGACTTGCATCCTTGGAAGACACATCCTTCACCAAGTTTTGACTGAGACCTTTCTGAATACTCTTTCAGTACCTGTATCTGCTCGACGAACATGCTCTTCGGCATTTTTACATAGTGCAGCTTTAAATAGGACAAATTGACAAATTCTAAAACTTTTTACCTCTGGTTTGAAAGTTGTTAAAGATAACATGTATTTGTTAGGTTCTCCTGGGGCCCAAAGCCTATTTTTTACTAATTAAAGCACACTAAAGTGACTTGTGTGCTAACAAACGGGATGTTTACTGTCATTATTTGTGCGTTGGAATTCAGCTTCAGATGGCCTTGGGAAGATATAGTATTATATTTTTAAAATATAACTGTTTATATTAAATATTTATTATGTTCTTTTCTTGCTGTTTTTCACTTCATCCATGTTCCTGTTTTTAAGAGCTATTTAACAAAAGCATAGGTATATCTTTGTACCAGCAAGTCTTATAAGTTTGCTGACAGCCAGTTCTTACTGTAACATCTTGATAGTTTCACATTTACTAAAATAGTACTTTATAATATAATGCCTCATTTCTCTTTTTAGAATGTAGACAATGACATAATATTGCTTATAATGACAATGGCTAATTAAATAGTATAATATAGCTAATTTTGGAATAAAAAAAATCTGTCAATGCTACTGAACAAAGAGCATGTTTTGAAGCTGATAAGAATCAGTTGTTATTGGTGAGCTGATCCAAATGATCTTACTCACAAGAGGTGGAATGCCCATCACTAGCTGCGCAAATGTGCAGGCTGCTTTCCACCTCACTGACAACCCTGACGCTGCCATCTTCACAGCGTGCCTGTACAGCTACCGCATTCTCCCCTAGTTTTAACTTCTCTATGCCATCAAACAAAACACTCCATCTGAGAGATTTTTTGTTGTATAAGAGGGCCATTTGGCTGCTGTTTTTTTTGCTCAGCATCCATTTTGGTAGCCTGCTTAAATGCCAGAGCGTGAAATCAACACACTTGGCTTTGGGCAGTGCACTACAAATACATAGCTGAGCCCAGTATTGACTGTTCCTGTGATGCCCCTGTGCCCAATGCACAGTAAAATAAACTTCTTAACCCAGGAGATCTACTTTGACTGTCATAAACCACCAGCAAAGGCAGACGATGTGAGTCTTGCAGTACACCAGCAGTTCTTAACTAAAACGTGAGACTTGACAGCTATGCAGGTTTGTTATATAGCAGGTTAGGTTTCTTGTGACACTGCAATTAACCAATAAGCTAATTTTTTCTTCATGCCCTCTAAATAATGTAGCATTTAAGGTCAGGCATGCTTCACTGAAAAAAATCAGCATGTTTGTATTCACACACATAATGAACACATATGAGGAAGGGGTATTCAAATCAAATTCTGTTTTCACAAGAGCGATCAAAACTGATATTACATTTCTGCCATATCGCCTTCTCTACTGCCAACCCCTATTTTGTTGTACTGTACAGAAACAGCACTATACTAATATTTTTGCATGATGTACACCTGTGCATGTATACTGTACCGTTGAGAAGGAGCCCTCTCCCAATATTTTGCCAAATTTAAAATCCTCGGGCCTCTTCTTGCGTGGCTGAGCTGGCTGAGAGGGAGGGGCCTGGCCCTCCATGCTGTTGCCGTGAAGACGAGGCGTCTCCTGCTGACCTCTTACCATGGATGGACAGGGGCAGAGACCAGAGGAGTGGAGGGGTACAACATCATACTAAAAGGGAAAGACAGAAAAACAGAATAAATAATCCACACTTGATGAATGAAGAATTATGAAAATACTGTTAAGCCTCTATAGGAATGGCATTTGCCACATCACTCCAACAAATCATGTTGAAAGTCATGGTCAACCTGAGACGTGGAGCTCACAGTTTAACTGAGTAACATGGAAAGCACAATTTACAGTGATTTAAAAAGTAATCTCTACCAGTTACACTAACGAAATTGTGCTAACTAAGACTCTACAGTGAGGGGTTTGACCAAGTCCATCCAAATTTATTGTACAATATCATGCAAAAGCTACAGCCTAAACAAATAAGATAAAATATATATTATTCAAGATCCAATCAAATCATAATGAAACGCAAAATGTCTTGTTACAACCCTTTAAATTAATATTTAAGTTATTAAAAACTACTGTTAAACTATGTTGCTTGGGAGAAAGATTTATTGTAATTATTAATAATAAATCAAAATATATATTGAACATAAAAGCTCCAGGCACATGTCATGCCTAAGGCCTGTTCTACACATACTACGGTACAGCAAGCAAGTTCTACCAACATCCTTTTTCCAAAAAGTTATATAACCAAATCGATTGCTATGCTCAATAAATGTAGTTTGTAAAAGAGTATGATATATTTATTTCCCTCAGCAGCTTTCTGATTGGGCAGGTCTTTAACCCTGGTAGGCCTCCCGGGAAATTAGGTTACGGCACAAAATGTTTACCTAGTATTTAGTCTGATGGTCATGTATTTTAAGAATTTTTTTCCCCCACTTAAGTTTCTGTTTCATTTTATAAATGCCGCTCAGCTTCTGCGTCCCGCCTGGGATGCACTGCCAGGCCGCTAGTGCAGGCTGTGTGAATGCTGTAACCTCTAAATACGAGTGCTGAAATGGAAAGTAAGACATTACGCACTGCTTATGCCACACAGAGGTAGTATGTGCAACAAGCCTAACACTCATTAACCACGGCATGCAAATGCAAATTAGATTCATAAATATCTCCTGTACTTCGATCTGTAAATCAATTACTTTAAATACATTGGGGAAATACACATTTTAGATATGCCTGAATCTGTGTTACTCAGATCCATCCGTAAACCAGCCTACTTTGCAAGTGTGTATGTTATGAAAACAAGGACAACAGGGCAAGATCTCACTTTGACGGTCCCATTCATACAACTAAAACTGTACTCACTTTTATCTGACTGAGATAGAGGCAGAGAAAAAGACTGCGCACTTAGCATTACATATACTATTAATGATCATTTGCTATAATTAAAAGTACATACACATTTATGGCCAAATCCTAAGAGTAAGTTTAATGGAAAAACATTAGAGCTAAATCCGACCACATTATTGAACTTGTTACTCATGATTGACTGCGATATTTAAATTTTATTTGCTTTTAGCTGAGTTCATGCCAGTTATTTTACCTTTACGGTAAGAATGTCATTTTTGATCCCTTCTACTACGTCCTCTTAGTAGGAAAATCAAACTCATCTCAAATACTTGTTCACGGAGAGACACGTTCTTGTTCAGACTGCAGTTTATCCATGCTGTGACTATCAATTACCTTGATGAAACATTTTTGTTGTTAGGACACCCAATTACCATGCTTTGAAAAAGCAGTCAACACCAAACACTCCTACATCAGAGACTCTTAAGAGAAAAGACTTAAAATGAAAACAAAAGAGGATTCTCAGCAAGTCAGGGATCTGATTTTACACAAGCAAAAATGGTACAAAGCCATTTCAAAGGCACTGAACAACCCTTTGAATTTATTGGGTACATTACACAGATGATGAAAGCCATCTCACTGCCAAATTAAGTTACTGGTCAACAAGAACAGGTCTTAGTGAAAACACTGGGCCAAATGTAACTGTAGTACAAAGGTCTAAAGACGGTGTTCATCAAGAGCCTTTAAAAAACCTTTACAGGAGAACAAGGAAGAAGCTCTGGCCAATTAGAGAGAAAATACTTGAGTGTGAGTAACAAAATCAAACACTGCACTCCAACTGGGTCACGGAAGATCACATGGTTTTCTGACGTCAGAAATTTTGGTCACTTGTCTCCCAGTGTGAGCAGCCTCACAAACCGATTTCTCAAAGTCACACTCAAACCCCAAACACAATCACAACCACCGCTCTTACATGGAGGCAAAAAAGTCCACATTTTGGCACCAACGTCCATATATGCCGACTTTCCTCCGTGTGACTGAGTTGAATTGCGAGGTATAAATAAATAGTGTTTTTTTTTGTCTTCGTAGAGCTGCCTGTAGACTGACTGCTCTTCAGCTTCAGTGCACAATGTGGCAAAAGTTAGCAAAGCTGTTGTAGCAGTTTGTCAATGGCTGAATCTGGCGTCTGCACCAAAATACTGTTTGTCCATTATGGAACTGTGCACACATGACTGAATCTCAGAAGGCAATTTATTAGACATATAATGCACTTTATGGGTGCAGGAACAACTATTTTAGTATGTGGTGCACTATGTAGGGAGCAGGGAGCCATCTGATACAGCCAGTGTTTTGATTAGGATATCGGAGGCGCAGCATGTTGATTGAAACAGCTTTATTGTAGACAGAGCTGACTGTAGGGACTGCGTATCACGTGCAGTGTGAGCACCCCTGTCATGTCAGTCGGAACGAGTGTTTTCATACAGTATGAGCACATGAATCGCAGGCTTTGGCCGAACACGAGGGGTGATTCGAATGCACAGTGCGAGTTGTCACCAAAGAACACGATTTCTAAAATCGTAGTGTATGCCTGGCTTAAGACAACATGATATAGGTCAGTGGTTCTCAAACCTGTCCTCAGGGCCCCCCTGAGATGGTCCACGTTTTTGCTATATTCCTACCTGTGCACTGTGTGGAGGATCCTGAGGACTGGTTTGAGAACCACTAATTTATCTGTTAGGTTGTATGATTAGCCAAAGGTGGCACTGCCTTTGATTTTAGTGATGATTTTACTGTCATCTGGGTTTATAAAGTTGTGCATCAAACAATTTGATGAACAAAGCTGATAGAAGAAATAAGCACAGATGTCCCATAGGGATCTACCATAGTCCCCATTTTTCAACATATATAAAAGATTACATAAATAAATTTTAGATTAAAAAGTGAATGTTGTTCATGTCATATTAAACATAGTAATGTTTAACGCAGAAACCTTAGCCTTTGAGTTGAAACAGAATATGATAAATGATTGTCTGCTAACACAGAGAAACAGGAAATGTGAGGAGCTGAAAAACAAAATGATTAAGAAGTATTTTAGTTTTTAGCTTATTAACTATTTAATGACTTTAATAAATAATTAACAACAATTAGCAACAATTTCAATTGAGAAATAAATGTAACAATAGGAGTGGAATACCGGTCAAAATTATTCCTTCCTTAGGAAAAATTAAAACAGCAGACTCTCAATTACCTCTCGCTGTCTACTGTGTTACATCTGAAGGAATGTCTGAGGCATGAGTATATGGGACACACATATGAAACAAATTACTTTAGATTACTTAAATAGTGCAGCAGTTACATCTAAACACCTGTACAGCAGCCAGAATGAAACTGCTGCTCCATTTAGGGTCGAATGGAATATTCAAAGGATGTAAATTTCAGCCCTGTAGAAATTCAGACATGAAACAACAATCTGCAATGTTTCTGTCAGGCCCACAGGGACAGCGTTAGAAAGTTGATATAGGTTTATCTATATGTTGTTTCGTTTATCCTGTGATGCAAATCTTTGCCCATATCACCTGCTATTATGTAACAGTCAAGTTTGCAAAAGCAATTTAATATTTTCAGATGATGATGCTTCAAATTCAGGTTTCTTGTGCCCTTCATTTTTTTAAATTACATTTTTCACAGTTAGTCAAAAAAGTAACTGGCTATAAAAGCCATTAGATAACTTCCTGGCTAAAAGTACAAATACCACCAGACTGTTATAGGAGATAATGCACAGTTTGTGTATCAACAAATCTTAAACATCCTGATTGGAGCTTTTAGTGGAACTATTACAATCCTCATCTACACCCAACTGCAGCTACTTCACAAACACTGTCCAACACCATTCTCCAAACAGGCTAAGCTGACATACAGCAGCTTGAGCAATTTTGGGAGGAGGAACTTTCTTTCCTGTTGTGTTGGTCATCACTGTGATTCTTTACTGTTAACAAAAAAAAAAAAACATCTGGACTGTTTTGCTCCATAAACTGACAAATAAAACTATATTATTTTCCTTATATTTCCTTCAGTACCATCTTTGTGTTCTCTCCCTACACCCAATTATATTTCCCAGTACAATCCTACTTTAAGGTATCCAAGAAAATTTTAACTGCAATCAAGTATGTACATGTGCCACAAAAACTAGATTTCTTTTTAACCAAATATTTTTAATAGTACCATGTTAATTTCAAACTCATTATTGTATATATGTATCATTTGTGAGGTAGTGGCTAGATTTTAGTGCTACAATCACAAAATCATGTAAATCAACCACCAACTTAAAACAGATTTATACTAGGCACAAGAATGCACATAATCCTGCCTGCAGGATGTGAAAATGGGACAAAGAGTTTGCTTAGGGTTTAATTGAGGTCATTTGTAAACATGAATCAGAATTTGCAGACTTGAATCTTTATTATCTTTTGAGTTCTTGAACTGAGTAGTAGGCATAAAAATAGACATTTCGAGGATCAGCCACGTTATAAGGGCAGATTTAGCCCTAGAAGACAACTTAAAAGAGTTTTCCATTGTTGGGCGGGTTTTATTTTTTATAATGGAGTACACACAACAGCATAAGTCTGCTCAATGCTCAAATTCTACTAAATACTGTCTGAAATATATGAATATTCTGCCATAGATAAGAAAAGTTTGAGACATGTAATTCAACTGACTTAAATACCTGAAAGCAATTTTTTTAATGGTTATTGTTAATTTGTTATTATTTTGTGCTACTGTGTAAACTCCATTAATTTATTCCACTTACTAACTGAAATACTACATATACATTATATACATACCTACACATTCAGTGTACACACACACACACACACACATATATACACATACATACATATACATTATATATATATATATATATATACACACATATACATTATATATATATATATATATATATATATATATACACACACATGCAACTGAGAGCATGTTAGCTAGCTAGTAATCACAACCTCAAATGCTCAATAGATGAACATGATATTTATGAATTTACATGTACATGACACGTTAACGAATGGATGAAACAGATACTGCATTCAAGGCTGAGAACGTAAATTTCTACAGCATCCAGTGCACACTAAAAATGTGCTCTAGTAGTCTGAGTTAAGTTTGTTAGTTTTATTTGTATAAAAGCTGCATTGGAGAAAAAAAATGTGTGTTTCACACCAGTCCCTTCTAAATATCGCACGCTCAGAAGAAATGCAGCACAATATCCTGTACTAATTGTTTTTGAGGCCCGTATGATCCTCGTTAGCTCTGTATTCGAGGTAATTTAACTTTCAGACATGAAAGCGAGGTAGGCTGTTGTGAGCCAGTGAACACTTTTGTTGTTCATTGATAGTTTTACAGCCACAGTCTCCCTCCTGAATACTACCTACTGCCTCCGTGGAAAAAATGGCAGAAAGTTCAGTTCTCTGCCTCTCTGTAATCTGCTCCTTTTAAAAACGTGCCTTAGAAATTTTAGGAAGGCATTAATACAAAAAAACGTCATTAGCATTTTCCCCAATCATATTTGTTTATTTATTCATTCATTCATAATTACTGTAGTTTTTATAATAAATTTAGTCATGGACTAAAAATGCCATTTATACATACGGTGTGCTTTGTCATTGTATTGTATGGTATTGTGATGCCTGTAAAGAGTAGCCACGTTCTGTGCATCATGCAGCCTTTTCCCGTGGGATTTGACGGAAAACAGTGACAAAAGATGGGAAAACCATACTGCGTACACACCCAACACACGACTTTTAAACAGTAATGCTCGCACCAAATCATTCTCCCCTTTCAGGCAAAATGAATTCATTCCTCTGATCTGAGTCAGGGTTTTGAAACCTGAGTTTTGCGTGTCACATATAGGATAATAGTATCAGAAATGTTTAATCTAATTTATCAAGCTAACAGTCAGCTAATGGTAAATTAAGAAAAGCTAAAAAGTTAGTTATCAGATCCTGATTTTTTCTGCAACATTATTTATCATTAGTCATAAAATGATTTTAAATCAATTTACAGAAAACAAAGTAACACGGATAAAGTTTAGCTCACCTTAGAGCAAGGATTAAGCTGTCTAAAAGTGACACTGAGCTGTAAGTAAGGTCTTCCACATACATTAATGCCAAAACTTTTTCAGCTTCGGGAATGTAATAAAAGCACCACCACCCTTCATATGATCAGGATAGCCAGACTAAGGCATATTCCTCAGTAACATATTTCCACCATTTCTTAGTCTAATAATTCAGACTGATTTACATCCACCACCATTTTGAGGAATTCTGTCGCTATTTTTCATTCACTTGAAGAAGGAAGTAGCATTTGGACAATTCTGATTGGCCAAGAGGCATGTCAAAAAGTCATAATTCAGCAAACAGTCATTTTGCAGCACCAGTCAGAAATTGGAACTAGTATGGTTTCCGTAAGACCCTTGACGTTTCTTGAAAATGTTTTTTCCTTTTATTTATAAGAATTTGTCAACCCAACTGATAAAAACATATACAATTCACATTCTGTTAGCTGCAGCGTCAACATGTGACTAAAAAATTAGTTGAGATCAATTTAAATGAAAGCATTCAGCCCAATTGTGATAATCATGTGATTATATATGTAGATTTCATATAAGCCTGACGCTGAGCTGCGATTTATACGTATGAAATGCTATATAAGTTATCATTACTGTTCTGTCTTGTTTTACTAGCGTTCTTTCCTTAACAAGCTTTAGACTACAACACACTGGATAGTACTTTGGTACAGGATATGAACTTTACGTCTTTGAGACCATAATACTTTTGCATTTCATGGACATTTTCACATACATCGGTTTGACCAAGGGCTGAAATAATTATCAAACAATTTAAAAAAAATAATAAATAAATAAATAAATAAAAATCCCTCAAGTATTTCTGCTACTGATTTTTCGTTTATCTATTTTCAAAGTGACGCTCAACCTAAAGTGAATTAACAACATAACCTGAAGAGGGCAGCAATTCACTTACAATGCCATACCTATGGAAGTAGACAGCAAAAGAAAAGTACAATTATAGCTAAGTTAAAAAAGAAAAAGTCTGGGAACATTTCCTTAAACTGAATGATAAATGTGACATACAACTTGTGCAAGCCTGACTTAGCTTTACATCGAAGCACAATGTTACCTTCGACCACCTGAAAAGAAAACAGGCTGCTGTCGATTCTGAAGCAGCAGTAGGTGACTGCAGTTTTGCCTCTAGGCTGGTTTTCTGACAAACCAAACTCCCTGAGAACACGCAGTTCGCACTGTAAATGATTTCTGAGAATGAGCTACTGTTACAAAAATCACGTTACATTAACTGTTACAAAAACTCATCATGTTACATTACTAAAGTCAGTCACTGGAATATTCTAAGCTGTATCAGTTTCTGTTGACCAGAACTATTAGTTATCTAGCTTACTACTTACAACGGGTTTTTAAGTGGAAAAAATGCCATCCGCTCATCCTGGAAACCTATTCACACATAGCTTGTCTAATGAACTAGCGTGTTAAAAAGTTTGCTAGTTAAATGATGCCATCATCATTATTATTATTACTATATCACTTATTTTAAGCTATTACTTATTACTTACTGTAGCTCAATATAATGTGCAGGCTTAAACAAAGCATGGTGGTAATTTAGCTTGTGGTGAACAGTACCTTAGTTTGTCTGTACATTGCCTAACATTTAATTCTTACATCTCTTCACATTTAAGCTGATTAATCAATTATTACTTTATCCATTCACATAAATAATCAACTATCAAAATACTTGTTTTTGTAGCCCTACTCTGATGCAATTCTTGGAGCATATATGAGCATGTATGGTGCCTTGACCTTCTCAAAACACGCAGGTTTTCATGTACTTGAAGTGCACATCACGCCAATCCTTTCCCAAGGGACCAAAACCGGCTCATTACATGTATCATAAAACAATCATTTCTGAGAATTTTCAGAGACACTTCAGGGAAGTGAATTTTATGTGATAGCACGCCATAAATACTTCTGCAACAACAGATAAATGCCCTAAATGTTAAAGAAAACCAAATGCACCTTTGAGGGCACCTCAAATGAACACGACTGACATGACATGGAGTCACAGTAACATCGACCAATACGCAAAAAATAAAGTAAATCAAAGGGCTTTCTTACAGCACAAGTTCTGGATAGACAAATTTAACAACCGTATTTTGACTATGTCTGATGTAGCGTTCCCAGGCATCACACTTTATGGGGTGGGGCGTAAGGATTCACTACAATTTCCTCAAGCATTCCTTAAAAGGTCGGCCGGCAGCCCGGCCTAAAAATTGTCATGCTAGTCATAATTTTATGCTAGTCACATGTAAAAAATGCTAGTATATGATGGAAATGACCTGGCACTCAGACATATGACGTCGGCTGCTGCGCCGACGCTGGGATCCGCAGCCCGGTAGTTAACACGACATGATTTGCACTTCAAGTCAAAAGTCCAATCAACTCGACCTCACTTAGCCAGGCCTCATTAACTCCCTAAGACCGAGCAGTAAAGCTAGCTAAGCAGCTAGCTGGCTTCGATTCGCACCAGAGACCTAGCAAGCTATGTGGAGAGGAGGAATCGTTCGCCTTCCTTTTAGCCTTGTCCAGAATTCAAAAGAAGGAATCAAATGTTTGCCAACGCAAGACAAGACACAAGCTGAAAAGGCCAGAACTGATGCTAACGCTGCGCTAGCCCTGAAGCTAAGAAGCTAGATTAGTCTGTTTGTGTGTTAACCTAGCTGTGTCAGTGAAGCTGGCGGGATAACAGTGAAATAAACGGACACGCTAAAGCGAAATGAACCACGGACACATAACCATAGTTGTACACGAAAGGATAACAAGGATAGTGCGGTTACAGTCCGGAAAATCCCCATTAAATTAGCATATAAAAGGAAAAAAAGACTAAACAGCGACTCATAAGTTTCATACACAGAGTGAAACAGTAGAAGAGTGGTGGTCTGACTTTAGCTAGGTGACCGGTTGGTTAACTTCCACCACAGTAGCTAAATAATAAATTTAACAAGTTTAGCTGGCTAGCTAGGTTAGCTAGTTAACTACCAAACGGAGCATTTTGTTTTGCCGCAATTAGCGAGCTAGCCACTATCTCAGTTTGAGATAACGTCAAAAACTGAAATGTTCGGTGTTCATTCAGTTAGAAAGCTCAATATATCACAAATATAAGACTGAAATACATCGTGCCGTAAGTTAAAAGACTATTCAGCCCCAGTAACGTTGAAAAACACGCCACCGAAAGCTTGCTAAAAACGAGCTAGCTGGCTAGCCGCTGTATTCCGGGACGTTGTTGCGAGTGTTGTAGACTCGCAGACCCGGAGCCGCCGCGCTGGAAGCGGAGCGGCCTTTCCCAGTAAAACGCCGTCTAACGGCCACCACACAGCACGTGCCGACCGCCGGCTTCGAATCAGTACTGGCAAGACAACCGCGATACTCACGATCTGACTTGTGGCTCGTGCCATGGAAGTTTTCCGCGAGTATTTTATTTGGATTAAATAATTACGGAGCCCGTAGTCATGGCCGCCTCTGCGCCTTCATCTTACGGCCGTGACGTCATTCCACAACAATGTTGTTACCGCAGTCGCGAGGGGAGAGGGCGGCTCAACGCGCCCTCGCGCGGCCCAACCGCGTAGTTCAAAAATTCGAAATGGTTTGTAACGGTCAGTAACGGTAACTTGCACCACTCCATTAGCTTAATTCAAAAAAGTCCTGAACGTTTATAACGGTCGGTAAGGGTAATTTACACCACGCCGTAACTGCATTTCCCAGACCACGTTATTAGTGTAAGATACTTACGGAGCCAATACCGGCCCCGCTATATTATCTATATTATGTTAGCAACATCAAAAGGAAATTACTCTGATTTTTCAGAATTTCTGCATAATTAAATAAATAAAATGTGAACAAGACAATTCAGTGAGGTTTGGTGTGAAATGCTTCATTATAGAGAAATGTACGAGGTCAGAATTGTTTACAGTGGTGGTGATAAGAACCAGATTTTGTGGCATTACATAGAAAAATACATAGAAATAAAAAGACTGAAGTTGCATTATAGACACCACTACTGCTATGAACACATCTGATTTTAAGTTTCTCTGGAACGGGTCCTTTCATATCAAACTACTGTGAATGTTTATATCACAAACACTGAATTATGCAGATTTTTTTATGAGGTGGAATTCTTTTAATAGATATAACACAACAGCATTGATGTTGGGGCAGAGGAACAGCAAAATTCAGAATTCAAAATTCCCAAATAATTTGTCGGCCAAAGTGTCACCAAATGGCTAACTGATTTTTGAGGCAATGTTTTTCAAAATGGTAGAAATTTCTGGTAGCAATTTGCTATAATTCAGCTCTGGGGAGAGAATAGCCATTTTACCTGACCTAGAGGCTGGTACTTCCTCATTCAGTTTAGAAAAATGATAAAGATAAAAGACCAACAATAAAACTGCCCTCATATTATGAGGCCCATCACTGGACTGGCAGTTGTATGCCTTCTATTTTCATTTCTGTGCTGTCAATTTATGTTTAAAGTTTCCCCCCATACATCTTTTTTCAGCACAAACAGAACATTTAACAGCTAACTAACTAACGCTGGTGTTACTAAAACAGATGCAAGATAGGGATTTTTCATTGTGCCCGTGTTGGACGCCGAAGAGTTAAAGGCAATCTAAAAAGGCAGAAGTCTGGAAAGTCTGGCACTCATTTCAAGACTGGAAAAGTATGGAAATTCAGAAAATGCTGGAGGATGTACAGATATTCTGCTGGCAAAGACTCAAGACTAATAATGTCAATCTGTTATAACAGTTTAAGTTTTCCTTGACCAGAATACAGTTATACCTCTTACACATAGCAACTGAACAGTCTGGAAAGTTAAAAGAGAAATGAGGAAAAACTTTAAAAGGTATGGAATTTTATCATTCAGAAAGGTTGAAAGCTGTCAGGCAGGGCAAACTGGTCTACAGTTGTGTTTAGACAGCCAGTCAGCTATTTTCTCTCCATTTAACACAAACAGAATCAAATACAGAGAAAAGTCTGATTTAAACACCACATTCTGCTGTGGGGAGGCTGTATCTCTCACTGCGCTTTGCCATCAGAATACTTGTGTTTTTTTGTTTTTTTAAAAGGGCAACTATCCTTTTATAACATAGCATGCACCATAAACTGTGTTACAAAGGAAACTTACAAGGTTTGGGACTAAGATTCCAGTTCCAGTTAAGTTCTTCAATAGACAAGCCAAAAATATACCCAATCTAATTATTTCTGACTTTTAATCCCAAAGAAATCTTTAACTATTCAAAATACAATTGTGTTGATTAATAAATCAATATGATTAGATTATGGTACAAGAGATATACAAATTGTACAATCACCCCTTTTTTACAAGCTCTCAGCATTAGTGAAATTCCAATAAATTATGATTCAAAATGTGTAAAAATGTTCCGTCACACACAGAAGAGGTCAAGTACTAGGCCATACTACACCCCCCTAACAGCCCCTTCTTTACCTTATTGGTTTAACACAGCTGAACCACAGAGCCATTCTGAGCAACAGTTCTGTTCCAGAGCAAACATGCACAAATTTGGGATCTATTCACTACCAAGCTCCTTTACAAGCAAAAACCCTGAGCTGGATTACTGAGCACAGTGTGGTGATAAAAAAGAAACACACAATGGGTTTCTCCCTTCTTCAGTTCCCATTGTTCGGTCCATTATCTGCTCTTTATTCATGTACTTGTTTGCCTTAAGTCTCCTCCTCTTCACCTCTGTCATCTTCTACTTTCTCCTTCTCTTTTCTCTCATCTTCATCTTCTTCCTCTTCTGACGTCTCTTCCTCACCACTTTCAGTGTCGTCCTCTTCCACCCTGCATGCAACCACACACAAAACACATAGTCAAGAAATCCCTGAGCACCACCCCTTATAGACCCAACTAATGTGAGCAACATTAGTATAATCCCAGAGTAAATGAAATACGCAGACAAGACATAACGCTGACATAAATAGTGTTGAGGTTGTTATGGAAAGAGTAATCCATTTACTAATTAGTTACTAATTACTTCTCTAAAAATGTAATTGGATTAACGTTACGTAGTACGCTCTGGAAAAAGTAATCTCATTACTTCTACGCTAAACCGTAAAACCTTGTACCAAGTGTCCAAGGGAAAAACCAATATTTATCTTCAGTAATTTATTCATTCACAAATATGCAATTACAGAAAACATCATTTATAAAAAACGTTTGTATCCCTGCCTCTTAACAAGACACAGCCAGTTATGCTGATAAAAAATTATAAACGGCTGATGCTGTTTAAAAACTGGAAACGTTCGAAAACAGCCATCTTGAAATAAAATCTTCATGAATAAAATGTAAAGCTGACAGATGTTACTAATGTAAATCTGTGAGTCTGTTTTTTTTTTAAGTGATGTTGATTCTCTCTCCTTCAGCACAGGGATCCTTATCGAAATGCATATAAGGACAGGCACAGATAATATACACCGATCAGGCATTACATTATGACCACCTCTTTGTTTCTACGCTCATTGTCCATTTTATCAGCTCCACTTACTATATAGGTGTAGCTGGAGTTTTTAAACACCTCAGTGTCACTGCTGGACTGAATATAGTCCACCAACCAAAAATATCCAGCCAACAGTGTCCTGTGGGCAGCGTCCTGTGACCACTGATGAAGGACTAGAAGATGACCAACACAAACTGTGCAGCAGCAGATGAGCTATCGTCTCTGACTTTACATCTACACGGTGGACTGACAAGGTAGGAGTGTCTAATAGAGTGGACAGTGAGTGGACACGGTGTTTAAAAACTCCAGCAGCACTGCTGTGTCTGATTCACTCGTACCAGCACAACACACACTAACACACCACCACCACATCAGTGTTACTGCAGGGCAGAGAATGATACACCACCACCACATCAGTGTTACTGCAGGGCAGAGAATGATCCACCACCCAAATAGGACCTGCTCTGTGAGGGTCCATGGGGGTCCTGACCACTGAAGAACAGGGTAAAAGGGGGCTAACAAAGTATGCAGAGAAACAGATGGACTACAGTCTGTAATTGTAGAACTACAAAGTGCACCTATATAGTAAGTGGAGCTGATAAAATGGACAATGAGCATAGAAACAAGGAGGTGGTCATAGACTATGTTTACACAGCAGGTAAAAGTGGCCCAAATCCGATCTTTTTCCTCATATGTGACACAGATGTGTCATCTGTGTGGCAGTGTGACCAGCAAAAAACGCACTGAAACTGTCATTTTCAATTCCGATTTGAGACGCTTTCATATGTGGTACTGAAATCCGTATGAAATACGTATCTGATCTGCGGCAATGCGTCTCAGTCTGAACAGCCAGATCGGAATTCATGCGACTTTTACGTCAGTACAACTCGACATTCGTCATAATTTCGCGCTGCTGAGACTCATAAACATTTAGACTGATGTTTCTGTACCACAACATAAGAAGCGACTCATCAAACCGCTCCGTGTTCGAAGAGATTTCGGAAGAAACGGCCAAACGCGGCCGGAGGAGCCCGAGGCTGCAGCGTCAAAGAACAGTTTAAAGAATCCAAGGACACGAACCAAAGTGGCCGTAGCCGAATAACTCGAACACATTGTGGGTAATGAGTCCAGCTGTCAACCACTGGAACTTTATACTCGCTCATGTGATGCTGGTAAAGACAAAACTGAAAGCTGGCCGTTATGACTGTTTACCTCTGGATGAGCCGCCACGTGAAGCACTGTTCTTTTGCGCATGCGGGTCAGTTTGGTAGCTGATCTGTTCAGACTAATGTCGCATACAGGTCACATTTAAAAGATAATGTGAACAGCCAAACAAAAAAATCGGATTTGGTGAGAAAATCAGATTTGGGCCACTTTTACCTGCTGTGTAAACGTAGCCATAACGTTATGCCTGATTGGAGTATATACCAGAGTATGTGAGTGGTGTGGAGTTGGAGCAACGTGATTTTGCACAGAGTGGCTTTTTAGAAAGTTGAAGTGTTATCTTTCAGTCTGTAATCGCTCCAAAACCGCTCCATCCCACTGGAGCAGTTTTGGAACGGTATTGTCCTTATTTCCACATTAACTGCCTCTACATGGCACAAGGGATACAGCAACATCACTACAACAGCGTGGAAACGACACCCATTTACACACAGTGTAATGGGCACTGCGGAACTGTTCTACAAACCTAAACTGGAAATTCTCACTGATCGCAACAAAGTTCTAGGGATATTACACACAACGAGTCTTGTGTTGTCTATTTTACTGTGCAAATGATAAAGAAGCATGTGCATTTGTTTACCCTCAGCAGTTTGCTGACTTGTGACTGGATGACTGTTTCAGGCCTATACCTACCAAAAACATCTATGTGGCACGGAATGGTTAACTAGTTTTTCATTTAATAATGTCCATAAATTATATATTTCATGAAATAAAGTGCATAGTGTCTTGTCCATATGTTCAAGACATAAAATAAATATTAGAACAAATAATATGAAGTGAACATGGAGCGAATGTTCTCTGATGTGTGAGCGAGGAGCATAGAATAGAAAACCCGTAGCTGGACTTGGAGCGGAGTGATTACAGAACGCTTTAAGTGCTTTGAATTTACTCAGATACCCTGATACATGCAGATTATCAATGATTTACACACATCATACATAATTTATTTTGGTTCTCTTAGAGATGTGAGTAACACAACTAAAGCAATTCTTAGTAAGTCAGTAACTGTATCGTGATTAAAGAAAACTGTAATGCGTTGCATTACTTTGTTACGGGAAAAAGTAATTACATTAATGTAAGGTGTTATTTTGTACCACATTAGGCCCAACACTGCTGTAGATATGAAAAATAATGCTTATTTCTAGAAACATTTCTTACCTCAGAGGCCTGTTGAGGTTCATATACTCTCTTCCAGAGTCTACATCAAAAGGATCTGAATAAAACACAGGCAAACAAAACTGAGCATGTATTAACCATGTCCATATTGTGCACCTATAACTCTTTCTTTTTTTTTTTTTTAGCATTAAAGACTATACCTATCTCTTCCTCTGGGGAAGCAGAGCTGAGGTACTCTTTCTCCACTGCGAGCAGCTCCTCTTCTGATTTGCTGGCAGCATAGCGCTCTAGAAGTGTTTTATTCAACTCAAGAAATCCCTTTCCCCACTTGAACTTCCTCAACAGGAGCACTGCTAGGTCCTGAAAACCTGTTAAACATATACAAACAGACAGGCATGCACTAATTGACACACTGTCACACAAAAAACTGCAGGACACCCTGTCTTGTATTTGTAATATTTGATTGTTACTTTTAGCAACAATAAACAGTAATTCAGTAATATTTTGAGTATATTTTGCAACACTCAGTCTGGATGTTTGCATCACATGTCATAAGATCACGTGGTATTCACGAGAGAAATTAATTATACTGTGTAGTTGTATGCCAATATAAAGTGCGTCATATAGTTTATAGCTGCAATTATAATCACCCCTTTAATGAGCCTGCAAGGTCTCACTTCTCTGGTAGACCTTTTATGTTTCTCCTTCTGCTAATGTTCTAGAGAGGATAGAGACGGAGTTCTACTACCGAAGTCAAGGAAATGGCTGAAAGACTGCTAAAACATAGAACATTTTCCTAATCCAGGAAAATGTTTAATATGGATACACGCACTAGAAGACCAAATATGGTGAGTACTAGCAGTGAAAAAATGTTTTTTCTCCCAACACAATGGACCTGATTTACCAAAGTTGCGTACAGTCTAATCTGATCAATTCATCAATTTAACCTTTGGCATATCTGTTTGATCAAACTCACGTCTGGTAGGTGTGTGTAAATTAGAGTGTGAGTGTTTAACACCCTGAAAAAAATGCTTGATTTGTGGTTAACTAACCAAAGCTACTAACAGTATCACCTGTAACACCAATAATACAAAATAAAAATAGAAAATAAGAATAGCACTAAACATTTATGCACATAGCTATCCAGTACAAAAGTACACACACTTATTTTACCTGCACACTGTCATGAATAAACACTGCAACCATTCCATGTTCCACTTCATTACACTGAGCTTTTGTTTTGCACTACTGACAGTGCCAAAAACAAACACAGCTAGTGCAGAAGTATCTCATACACTGCAATAATTCAGCATTTAAATCTGTTATTTTAGGAAAATAATCACACTACAAAATCACTCGATCTTCTTAAAATAACTAAACAACTGAGATGTTTTGTTTATTTCACATTTTATTCTTTCCACTCGTCATCATATTAACACTATAAAGTTTGGTCAGTAGGGGGAGCAGTGCGGTCACTGCTCGATCTTAAACTCCACCTTCGAGCACAGTCACTAGCACACCAGATGCTGAATGCTGACTTTTTATTGACTATCTGCTTGAATTAGGATGTGTTTTATGTAAATAATATGTAAATGAGTGCTGGTAGGCTAGCGCTTGATTTCACGAATTGAAGCAGATTCATCATGTGAAATCTCCACCTGTTTCCATGTTGTATGGCTTAATGAATTGTAGTAGTAGTAGAAGTTAGTACATGGTATTGGTCAAATCTGCACTCTTTTTTTACGCAACTTTGATGAATAAGGGCCAGTATGACCTGAGCCTAATGGTGACATAAACCAACAAGGCAACAAGGTCAAGACTTTAATATTAAAGTTACTGCCAAACAAAACATTTTGGAAGGCAAGGTGTCCACAGACATTCTTTAGGCAGCATACACAAAATTGTCCATGTCTACAAAAGTAAAACAGGTCCTAAGAAAATTACGTAGCAAGAACTAGCTTGTTTTGCTTGTGTTATCGATTGTTGCCCGGCCGTTAAAAGAGCACAGCCTAGAATAATTTGGGGGCAGAGTTTATAGAAGGCGGACCTTTGTTTGCATCAGATTTTGCCACAGTCCAATTCCAAAGTTTAACAAGTTGTCCTCTTATTACAAAACCATGTCCGGCCCCACAAGACTAAAGAAACTCATGCTCACACATGCCTACACAAGGCAGCTGCTTACCTACGATGCAGAAGGTGGCAGCGTAGGCCTCCACGCAGCTCAGCTTACAGGGTTTGCCATAGTTCACAGGATTGGCTGCCACCAGGTATGGCAGGAGTCGTGGGTGGGAACCAATCATCTTACTGAAGGGCGTGTCCTCAAGTCTCGCCCATGAACAGTCAATCACTGCAACTCCACTCTGAGCCACGATCTCCCTAACAAGCAAAGATCATTCCAGCTTTCTTGTAAGCCAAAACATTACATTAAAGCAACGGCTACATCCTTAAATGCCATCTTGAAGCCTGAAGCCTTTGTCCATATCATCACTGTTGGAGCAAAACCTTCTATCTCCATTTTGGTCATTATTTATTTCTCTTTGCACAATTTGAAAATATGATATTTACACTACGTCAAAATTTCATAACAAATAGAGTAACAGAAATGGTTCAAAATGAACAAATAAATCTTGTTACATTAACTGACATTAAAAGTTAAGAATTTTTTTTCCGGAGATATGAGGTTTTGTTCCAACAGCCACAATGTGTTTTCAATTTTCTCCCCAATTTAGTTGTCTCCAATTCCACCCGCTAGTTAGGACTCCCCCAATCACACAATACTATCAACGCTAGGAGGGCGAAGGCTAACACAGGCTTTCTCCGAGACCTGTGAAACCAGCCACCGCATCTTTTGAACTGCTGCTGACGCAACGTCATTGGACAGCTGAACGCGCTCGGAGGAAAGCGCCTACTGCCAGATCTGCTATGTCAGCTAACAGACGCCTGCGCCGACTAGCATCGCGCTGAGTGATAGGGGGAGAAGGGGGGGCCGTCCTACCCATCCAGGGAGAGTGAAGCCAACTGTGCTCTCTTGGACTCCCGGCTACGGATGTAGCATCACCAGGCATCACCAGGGATCGAACTCGCGATCTCCTGATGACAGGGCCAACGCTTAGACGGTTGCGCCACTCGGGAGCCCACAGTATGTTTTCTTTTTTATGCTTCTGGCAGTAATGAACTGCAAAGGACCACAAAGTATTAATGTTAAAAAAAAATGGCCATGAATATATTAATTTCTTTTGGTGCCAAGAAATGAAAGGGCAGTATCTAAATCAGACAGGTTTATACTGTTCACCCAACATAAGTATGTTCAAATTAAAGCTTACATTCTGCACTTTAACATTTCAGCCATTAATTGATTTTAGATTCAACATGCTGTCCAACATCTTGTACTTAATGGCTTTTTTGACTGCAACAGTAATGTACATACAATCTATAATTTTGATGCACAACCTGAAAAATGTATAACTATAAAATGGAGTAAAATGACACAAATCATGATACACAAGGAGGCAACGTTAAAATATAATGTGACTGCTTTAAGCAAACAAATTGTATTGTCTAGCTTTAACAAGATGAGCTGTGAGTCATAAGTGTGTCTGAAACCTTCGTACAGAGCTTAGGCTTAGTTTAGATTCCATTATCTTTTTTTTTAATAGAAAGTGCACAGATGGCTTTTGCAAGCACTTGAGGTGAAATCTGTAACTAGCCATCAAGAGACACGTAAAGTACCTCTACTAAAAAACATGCAAATGTTAGCACTGATGATAATCCTTGACTTGCTCTTCATACATGGTCTTGGGACTATCACAGTAGTTTTAATGTTTTAATGCATGTTGAGGGTGTAAGAGAGGCTTACCTGTCTGCAGGTGTAACGTATCTAGTGCCCATCGGGCTGAGGATGAGGCCATTGAAGCGCTGGTTGAGTCGAAGGCAGCGCACGAAGCCCTTTCTCACCAGTTTACGTCCCGTACAGCGTTTAGGGTCACAGTGACCCAATTCCCACATCGCCAAAGGGCAGGGCAACTTAACATGTTCAGCATCCTCTGACATTGCATCTTCACTTGCTGAAAGACACACACACCAATCCAAAAACACAGTTCACACAGAATTGTGACAAATGCAATACGCAAAACTGCAACCTGACTAAAAGAGGGAGTTCAATTAGTAAAACTCAAATACTAGCTCTGTTGTGCCAAGGTGGGTAGTAACTTGATACTTCAACGCAGTTCAGTGTACTGCACTTTTCTGATGCTCACATGACTTTACTTCTCTTATTACTTTTAAGTATATTTGTACTCATTCCTTTTTGCACTGATTTTGTGTTGATAGATGCTGAATGCATTAAATTCCACTGCAGTTCTATAAGTATTTAGGCCAGATACTTTTTTACTGATACTTGGATTTGTACCTTTCCAAATATGCTCACATGGCATTACATTTGCTTCTACTGAAGTAGATTTCTAGAGAAAGGATTCTACTTTTTCCTCAGTTCCACTTTAGTCTTTAATATTTAATTGCTCATTTCCTTTTCGGTCGAAAGAAGAAGCTCCACACCAAATACTTTGTACCGATTCTTTTACTTCCTATTGCGTCATTATTTGATTATACCATTTTTGTAAATGGTTAAGGCATCCATATCTGCTATAACTAAATGATCAGTGGAAACAATCACATTCAAAGGCAGACACACACAGACACATAAACACAGACACACAACGCTAAAATCACAATATATTTGTTTCTGAGAAATTAATAACTTAAATAATGGTGAGAGCTGTTGTGATTGAAAAGGTCCTGTCCTTACAAACTGCAGTGTATGCATGTTGTAGAGAAACCTTATGGTGTGTAAGGTTACCTGACATATAACCTGAAAAATGTATCTGTGTAAAACTATAAAACGGAGTAAAAACTACACAAATCAGGGTACACAAAGAGGCAATATTAAAATATAAAATGGCTGCTTTAAAGGAGAATTCCACAGACTTTTCAAAAGGTCTGCATAAGTCAGTGGTTAAGAAAGTCATTCAGACTGGTTTAATGTGAAATGGTTAGAAAGGTATTGACTCAGGTGTTCTTTACAGTTGTGATGGGAACCAGGGGTCCCAATGTCTACAACACAAATATAGTCATTTTATTTAATATCCAAAACCACCAGTAAATCTACATGTGTCGTTTTAGTTTTAATATGTAATATTAATGATGGTAAATTAGTGTTAAATCTAAAAAAAAAAAGAAAAAAAAAATCTTTGGGGACTATGTTGCCTCAGGACAGCCTTCAAGTATCCCTCCACCATAAATAGATTAGATTCTCTAGAATGCATTAAATTCCACTGCAGTTCACTAGAATGGAGCATTTCACACCAAACCACTCTCAATGACTTCATTTATATCTTAACCATTAAATTATGCAGCAATTTTGAAGAATCGGGGACGTAAGTAAGTAAACATGCAATACTGTCTAGCTTTAACAAGACAAGGTATCACAACACACACCTTTCAGAACCTCATGCATCTCTTCGGTAAAAGTCTCCAAAGACTTTCCTTTCATTCTGTGCCGCTTGTCTTTGCCCTTGTTTACTGGTCTTTCACTTTGACCATGCTTTTTACGGCCCATGGTAGTCGTCCTCAGTCGACTCAAGTTAAAGTAACTTAGGTATAAACAGCAGGTAAATTAGCTAACAGTCAATTCCAGTCTGAAAACCCTCAATAACAACACAGCGGATAAATTATAACTACAACTGCATTCAGTAGTTCAGTACTGTATTGATATCTGAGTCTAGCTGTGCAACTACCATGACAGAGAAGTCATGGGGTTTTTAAATCTTTAATTTTATTAGCTGAAATGCTACAGAAGACTCTCCGTGAAGAACGTGAAGGTTCTTCTTCTACCTTTTTGGAGTTTTCCTGCAGACTGAACGCTGTATGGCGCATTACTGCCCCCTGCAGGAGGAGCGGGGAGCATTCTTTGAAGTCGTGTAACACCGTTTAAATGACCAGTGGTGTAATTAAAATGGAATCTAATACAATTTTGGCAAGGCTATCCACTCTTCAGACATAATTAAAATATAACACAATATTACTGTATCATAAATAGCACTGCATCTACTTTGTCGGGGAAACCTTCTGAGTTATAGCAGACAAAGAGTACCTTGTACACCTGGTACTTGGCAGATAAAGACTTTGAATCTGATTCTGTAATTTATCGCAGTCACATCATTTCATACTCCTGCTGCACAGCGACATCAAACGTCTCGCTGAAAACAAAAGTGAACACAGCCACAACCCACACATGAAGAGGAGGAAGAGGAGAGTGAACTCCGCTTCGAGCAGAGTCATGTGACAAACACGGACATCATGGCGACGCTCACTGGAATACACAAGCAAACATAACTAACATAATTTCTACAAATTTCTCTGGCAGTTTTTTTTGCAGCCATGCTGGGTACATTCGCTATTCGACATCTACCATGGCTGACATTACTGGGTAAGTTAAGTGCTTCACACAAGGGCTGCGTCACAGCTGCTGTCTTTTCCATTCTCAACAGTATCAATTTATTGGAGTCGATAACATTTTTTATTTCTCTGTTTGTTTGGTTGGTTGCTTTTGGTGTGTATATGAATTGACATTATTGTGCGTGCATGTACACACATACTACTAAAATTATTTCTATTGCAATATGATTTTGTTATACTGAACTATTTCATATGCCACTTTGTTCCAGTGTCGCTTGTGTTTGGCGGTAAGATGAAGATTGTAGAGGAACCAAACACATTTGGGTGAGTTATTGTCAGTCTGAGTTGAGCCAGGGTCAGTAGGCTGAGGTTCTGATTTGTAATAATGCAACAGTTGAAGTACATTTACTGAAAAAGAGGCAAACTGTTAAATAACGGCAGACATTCTTTGCAACAATTTATGTAATACATCTATGAAGATATGATTTTTTTTAAAAATATAGTATGAGTCAATGAATGAGGCTCACAGGATGTCCATCATCTAAAGTTCACACATCACAAGAATGACTTGTTCTTCCACAATCACTTAAATGCCATACTAAGCAAGCCAGGATGATATGTATGTACTTCAGTTGTAAACAATGTGAAGTGTGTGTGTGTGTGTGTGTGTGTATGTATGTATGTGTATGTATATATATATATATATATATATATATATATATATATATATATATATATATATATATATATATAGCATATATAGATAGCAATTGACTAGCGTCTATCTTTAATGTTAAATAGACTTCAGAACTGGAACACACTTTCCTAAGTAATTTTCTTTTTCTAGTTCAGGGGTGTTTTTTCAGATCAAACCATTACAAAATACCTAAGGGCTGAAATATTATTCACAAATGATTCAAAATATTTAGTATTCAGTATATGAAAAATGCAACATCTTACCAAAATCACTGCTTCTCAGGGTTAAGTTTGTGCTTTCTGGCTGTAGCTTTGACTAAATGTCATTCAGTAAATTAAGTTGCAGGTCTAGTCAGAGAAAAATAGATCTTAAACTTGAATTAACTTCATTACCGCAGTGTGGTACTGAGCCCCTAAAATGCCACTGCGAAAATAATATTTGTAACGACAATGTATTTCATTGAAATCCATTGATTTTTCATGGCAATGCAAAATTATTGATGGTGAATTTAGTGTCATTACCTTTTTTTTTTTACCAAAAAAAACCCCACCACACTCATGGTGTATTACACTGTAATATTACAGTGCTACTTTTGCCATCAAATGAAAGGAAAATGTGTAGGCTGGCGGGCCACTTATAACGCACTCTAAAACTCAAGGCCAATTAAAATCTGTCCGTGGGCCATATCTGGCAAACTTTGGACAACTTTGTTGTAGGATGTACTACGACATTTAAGCTTGTTTTCAGTAGCTGCCTTTTAGAAATGGCACAAAATTGCTTTTTTTGCCAATCCAATTGCTTCTTTAAAATTTACAAAGCTTTAAAATGAGCTGTTTTAGTTAAAGCAGTTCACTTAAGATGAGCATCTAAAAGTACTCTGTCATGCTGAACCACTCAAACACTCTGCTGCCCCACAGCACAGAAAGAAAAACACAGCTAAAAACATCACAACACACAGTGTGAGCAATTTCTAGATTTGTTGCAGGGTTGGATCTCATTCCATAGTCCTGCCGATACTGGTCCAATGCTAATAGTATCAGATCAGTGCCATCTCTGCTACTTTTACTTTAGTTTAAATGTTTTTCATTGTACTGACAATGCATTTTAGGCTGTTTTACCTACTTCTGCTGTTGTGTAAAAGCAGTAGGACTGTTGCTCAACTGAACCCTCAGCATTTCCTCAAAGCTGCTTCAGAATGTATGTGCCTGAACTGATCAGCTACTGATTTGCATACAGAGGCTTTCACATGATCCTGCACTCAGTCTGTCTCTCTCTGTCTGTCATGCTCACTGTACAGGTTGAATAGCCACCTGTTGGTGCAGGGCAGCCGACTGCAGGCCAGAGTCAAACCATCTCCTGTGTCTGGCCCTCCTCATCTGTCCAGGCTGGCTGGGAAGTGCTTCAGCTACATTGAGTCCACGTCAGTAATATTTTAAAGCCTGTTACGGGTAACATGTCATTGTGTAACTGTATCAGTGGGGAGCTGTGGTCTGTTCATATTTGCGTATTTCCATTTTCGCATGAAAGAAATGAATGATGTCTGGTCTTTCCCATGTGTTAGGTACAAGTACGAGTTCTGTCCATTCCATAATGTGACGCAACACGAGCAGAGCTTCAGGTGGAACGCCTACAGTGGAATACTGGGGTACACAAATACACACAGATACCACAACAACAGTTCAGTACAATAACAAGTGAACATTATTAATAGGGCTGCAGTGATACAGTGACATACAAAGGTAGTATGCTGACTACGGTGTTGGTATTGGAAAAAAACCTTGTATTTTCACTTGTATCAACACCAGATGACATTTTCTTGGTAAATGATCCAAAATATAAAAATATTACATTAACCTACGTTTAAAGTTAAGATCTCTATCTTCTCCTGATCATCTCCTTTTTAGCATTTTAGAGATGCAAGGTTTTGCTTTTTGTTGTTTTTTCCCAACATTATCATTTGTTGGATTTTTATCATTATACAAAACTCAATAATGTGAGGCAGATCAGTGCCCTCTTACTGTATTTGAATGCTGCTGCTACACCTGTACCAATATGTTGCAGCATAATTTAGTTTGTTAGCTGTTTCAGTGAGAGCAGCACATTTTTGGAACACTTTGCCAGTATACATTCATAACAGTGAAACGTACAGTATATTCAGGCATAGCTTAAGGGACTAGCTGATTGTCAGTCAGGAGCATGTACATACGTTTGGATTTTTCACGTTTTTAGGTGTTGTCTTACCTCTCTCAGTCAAGATTTATTCTTATGCTTGCTTGAATTTTGTCTTCATCTATCCTATTCTTAATTTTATTCTCCTTTCCTTTTTTGTAATTTGTCCATTATGTCTGGGCTAATAAAATCAGGCCTGAGGGACTACTGTTAAAAATTAGCCAGTGGCACATTTACTTTGTGTTGTGCATTGTCAATATAAATAAACTAATTATTTATGACATATTGAGCTGAATATCCAGTTGTCCCTTATTTTTGATTTAGCAGTTTATTTGATGTGTGTTATTTAAATCGAAACATTTAAAAAGCCAGTTTGTACCGTTATTTAAAGAGTAAATAATGTTCGTATTGCAAGTTATATTGGCTAATAGGAGGTACTGGAAATGTGCTAGGATGTTTCACAAACAAACAATGTGAGCGTTGGATTTAAAAAAAAAAAAAAGTTAATAAATAAAATTCACATAAAAATGAAAGTAAAATAAATAAAATCGGCATTGGCCAGTTTAGCTGTAATAGAATTGGCTATAAAAATTCAAAATCGGTGCATCTCTAGTAAACAAGACAGATCTTTGGATCATTTTTATTTACCACAGAGTACAATTATTTTTATTTTTATAACATTTATTTTTCCCGTAAAAAAGACCTGGCTTAGATCTGGAGTTCTTTATTTGGGAAATGACCTGTGACTTAAGTGAGCATATAGACATGTCGCAGTGCATTTAAGATGCAAGCAGATTGAGCTGTGCAGAGTTCTAGGCTAATTTTGCTTTAAAAAATTACAACCAGTATTATAATGTCCTGGTGAACATTCTTATGCAATTTAGTCCAACTATTGAAATATTAGCATGTATCTTCACTATGAAACTGACTGCGCTATATTTTTAAATGTTTGCTTCTCATTTGCACAAAACCCAACCACTATTTATTGTGGTGGTATCACATATTGCATATGTGGTAAGGCACCCAAACTTTGCAGAGTTGAAAATTGCCACCACAACAGTCCTAATTACTAATTACACATTGCTGTGTCAATGTGCAGGATCTGGCAGGAGTGGGAGATACAGAATAACACCTTCAGTGCAATGTGGATGAGAGAGGGTGACTCGTGTGGGAGCAAGAGCAGACAGACTAAGGTACTGAGCATGTTGTGGGTGAATGTATTATGCCAGGCATGACGTGGATATTTAGGTTATATACTGCATGATTGTCGTGTGAATGTGTGGTATTATAGTACCTCTGCCTCTGATGTAACTTGCTCTATCTCAGGTCCTTTTTGCATGTGGGAACAGCAGTAAGCTGGCCAGAGTGTCGGAGCCACAGACGTGTGTGTACTCGCTCACATTTGAAACACCGCTGGTTTGTCACACACATTCCCTCCTGGGTGAGTGCAGATTAGTACAAGTGATGAAGGTGGATGGACCAACTGAGTCATTCTCATGTCTGCATTTTTTCATGCTTATAAAGGAATTATACAAGGAATATATGTAGTACTTCAACACTAAGTATTATGTCAAATCTATCATTATTTAATTTGTCTCCTCTTTACTTTTGCGCACTCTGCTGCCACTTTAACTCTTCCATTTTTCCAATCTTAAACCCAACCAGTTACAGCTGCGTCCTCCCAGCAAAAGCTGTTCCCAAAAGAGTCACTGACAATATGTTCCTCATTAAAGAGACACCACCATTCACACAAGAAACTACCCAGACACACTTTAGCTGCTTTGCACATTTCCTTCTCATGTGCATCTAAAATGACCAAAGGAGATATTTCTCAGGAGATTAGATAGAAGATCCATTTACATAAAGAAGGGTAAGTCAAAGGAAAGTAATTGAAAAAACAAGAGTTTTCAAACTGGACTTCAAAGAATGATTCAAAAATACAGAGAAAAGTGGACTCCTAACAACCACGCAAGACCCGGTAGAAATCGGTCACCATCAGATAAACAGTACCTAAAGCTTTCATCTTTGAAAGAGAGGAAAAATTAAGCTCCAGATCTGGAAAAAAATGTGCGAACACACCAAGTACTGAAACAATGAGTGTATTTACATGCACTCAATAATCTGATCATAATCGGATTTCTGCAGTTATCTGATTATTCAAAAGGCCATGTAAACAACATACTCAGATTTCTTAGATTGGAGTAAGGTTTAGAAATCTGACTAAGCAGTCCGATAAAGAGAGCTGGATTTTAGCTCAATAATCAGATTTCTCAGTGCATGTAAACTTTACTTGGATTTCTTTCGGATTTCTCAGTCTGTGCATCTGCGAAAACAGATCACGGTAACAAGAATAAGCAAGCAGTGTTGCCACGAGATGGCAGCAAAACAACGCTGAAACCAACTACATGCTTGACAAAATAAAGGATTTAAATATTCTTCATCTTCTAGATGATGCATGTTCATATTTTCAGGTAAAGTCGCGCAATGTTTAAAAAAAAAAAAAAATAAGCCGCAGCATGAAGTTTGAGTTTTACATTCCGTTTATGTCACGTCTTCTTCTGTGAGTTTATTGGCCGGCTGCAAAGTAGAAATCTGATTACTGCCTGACTCATGTAGACACAGAGTTTCCGATTATCTGAATACTCCAGTGATTGGATTACTCACAAAATCAGATTTTCTGCAGTTATCGGATTATTAAGTGCATGGAAAAGCATTCAATCATATTCCGTTGTTCTGTGTAATTTTCATGCAATATGCAGGGTGGGGATGAAACAGAATACAAGTATTGGGAATATGTATTTAGAATACAAAAAAATAAAGTGTCATCAAGTTACGTTTTGTAAAGGCGGTACTCAGAATGCAGTTTTTTAGGAAAATACTTTTAGAGTTCCCTTGAAATAAATAAAAAATAGGGCTACTTCATTTAAGTAAGTGCATTTTTATGAAACGTTCATAGAAAAATTACTTCCGAACCAGTAACAATGAGGAACAGAATGAATTACTTAAAAATTACAACAACAGAGTTTTTACCATGTGCCTTGAATTCTGAATGTGTTCTGAATAAGTTACTTTTATGTACTGTAATAGAATACATTACTGAATACATTCAGTACAACATATTCTGTATTTAGCCATCACTACTTTTTCAAAGTATTCTCAAAGTATAACTTGCACTTAATGGTGGTTTTTACTTGAATTTAAATCAATGTAAGGGTTGTGTGTGACATTTGCACATTACTGTATGAAGCTGTGTATAATCTTGCATGCTGATGTAAGCTGTGTGTGTTACGTGTAGTGTATCCAGTGCTGAGTGAAAAATTGCAGAAGGAGTGGGATGAGATTGAGCAGGCTCGATATGAAGAACTCATCACTGAACAGGTGACTGAAATGCACACAACCCGACAGAGCACTTACCATGCCTTCTAAATGATACTGTCCACTCCCATTCACCAGCCCATCCTCTTCAACCTCAGCTTTGCTTAGCTAAAGCATCCAGCCTCTGTCTGTTTTATAAACATAAATTATATAAATTTCACACAAATTACATGTGTGCTGTGTCTGTAGGGCTACAATAAGATGCTGAAGGATCTGTTTGAAGAGGCTGGTTTTCTGAAGAAAAATCAGCAGCAGAAATGGGAAGAAACCCCTCAAGCTCCTAAACATCAGAGTTTGGAGCAGTGCACACAGGTCTGTGTGTGTGTGTATGCTTAGAAAAGATCTTTATTAAATTGTGTGCATTATGTAATAATAATATACTAAAGTATAATATTGTACTGTGTGTTAACAGGACTACGAGAAACAGCGTGCTGAAATCGAGCGACTGCGCTCCCTCCTCACCCAGCACAACATTTCCTACGAGACAGAGACTGGTGAGACACGTGCACGCCCTTAAGGCTACCATGCACTGGACGCACCAGGTAGATGTCCAAAAATTAGAGACCATTGTATTTAATGATGGTCCACACACCTCCTCCTCAACAGAACTTCGTGTTGTTAAGAAATGATATATATTGCAATTGCAATATGTCCTGTTTTATATTAAAATGCACTTCTGCCCATTGTCATGGTTCAAGATTGACTTGCAAATAAACTGCAATTATTTTGAGGGCTTCTTTGCATTTTGCAGCCTCTTAAACATTACAAAGGCTAGTAGCGTGATAATCAAGGAATCTGGTGTGTTTTCTCACTCAATATGCTAAAAGTCATCTGATTGACATGCAAGAGAACCCAACACAGTGGCGTGTAGGAGCAGGTGATTTTTAAAAGTGAACACAGAAAACCATGAAATGATGGCTTTGTTGCGTTCTAATATATATTTCACCTCATGTTGTACCTAGAAAAAGGACTGTTGGAAAAGTTGGATTAGCTGATATCATGTGATAAAATTCATTAAAATAAATTCAATAAAATGTTATTCTGCTAAACCTACATGTTTAGAATAGAGTGTAAGTGGAAAACTTACCCAACCTGAGCTTGTGTGTAGAGCATCCATTGGTGCTTTCCTGTGTGCTGTAACTGCACTTTGTCCACCTTCTTGACTGCTGTGTGGTAGCCTGCACTTTCATTTGAATGAGTTCCACATTATGAGAGCCTACACCCACCTTTCTCTTTCTGTCTCAGTCAGGCCAAACACCCCACTGACTGCTCGACCCTCAGTGCTGCAGGACCAGCATCTCCGTGGCGACACGGGAATCATTCCTGACCTTTAGCAAGATCTGCAACAACCACTTACCTCTGGACCAAGGAAAAAAACTCCATTGTCAACTACTAGGAACTGCAGGACAAATTTTGTTTTTATGGGTGATTTTATGTTTGACTTAACTGATCGTTTCAATTGAAGGACAGTTGCTATCTGAAAAATGTACGTTTGACTTGTTTAAAACATAATAAACTGTGTGTATATTAAGAGAAATCTATTCAAGTTGATAATTTCTCCCACATCTTTATAATGGCAAAGGAATGTAGTGCTCAGGACATCATATTTAACTGCTCTAGTAAATAAACAGCTGGGCAGTTGATATTTCCAGTGTTAAGATATAAAACTGAGCTCCGGTTTTAATGGATTTGCTCATGCTTTTTATGGTTTGCAAAACCAACAAATGTAATCAAAATGTTTTAAATGCAAAAAGAGACCACAGTGCATTCCATTTTAAGATTTTTAAGCAGTAGTTTTAGACTAACAGGAGATGACAGTTTCTGCTGTACTGTACTTACCTTTATTGTGAGCCTAGCAGCTACAGTAAAAGCTAATACATTCCAGATGTTGTAGACCACTGAGTTTTATTTAAATAAGGTCAAAGTATAATGTAAGGTCTTCTGGCCAAAGCAATGAATCCACATTTTTCAACCCCAGAAATATTTATGTACATTTTAATTGCAGTGGAATCAGTTCTAGTGCAAAATGAACTGCTTGAATGTTTGTCAGACTTAAAGGGGAATTCCAGCATTTTTTCAAAATTTCAAATTCCATCATCACAATGTAAATAACAACATTCAGAGTGGTTTGATGTGAAATAGGTCCTTGAAGAGAAACTTACCAATTTGGATTTCTTTACAGTGGTGATATATATATGTGTGTGTGTGGGTACAGTATAGGGTTCCACTGGGTACTGAGTTACAACACCCTGCACAAAGCTGTCCACCCTGAATGCATTTTCAAAAATTTTAGTCCAAAATCTTACCTCTAAACTACTGTACAACAGTGTCTCAGGCATCCGGCAGGGTGTTATTATTTCATGGAATTACTTTTTGTGATGAAGGTTTAAGTGCCATTAAACTCTTCAGACGTCTGGTTCCTATCACCACCACTGTGAACAATTCTGACTACCTTACTGACTTTAGTTTCTTATTCTCTTAATATGATGAGTCATTTCTGTTTAAGTACTCCGTTCTCTCCATTGAAATGATGGGTTGAAGAGGCATACAGTCGTATGCAAAAGTGTGGGTGCCCCTGGTCAAATGATGATTTGTTGTTTTTTTTTTAAGTCAAAATAAGTTACACATGCTCTACAGGGAACACACTTCCACACATTTTAATGCACAGTTAGTGTTATTTTGATGAATGTAACATGTTAAAAAAAATAAAATATGAAATGTCACCTTTTCAAAAGTTTTGACACATTTTACATTTCTTTTCCTCCCAATACGTTAAACATAACATCACTAAGCAAATAAATAGAAATTGTGCACTAAAATTCTTATTCAACTGTGTTAACTTACTTTCACTTAGCAAATCAACAAAATGTCATTTAATTGGAGGGTTCAAATTATACATACAACTGCAACATACATGCAGTATGCTGTGAAGAGGTTACCCAGCCTCCCAGCTGTAGTTTCTTCCACCTCCAGGATGAGTAATCGTAAGGAGGTCTTTAAATTGGAAAATCTCTCTGTGGATGCTACTGCGGCACTGCTGTAGGAGGTGAGTTAGCATGATTTTTGATTACATTTTTTATGTTGGCCAAAGTGTCCTTGTAACTTTTCAAATTTGTGAGCAAAGTACCACAATCATTGCTCTCAAACATTCTCTCATGGAAATATGAAGTGATGATCTCATTTTTAGCAAAAGCACCTGTTTCTTCACCTGAAAGACCTTGGCTTAGTTTCCCAAAATGATTTTAGTGTTAAGATGATCTTAAGTGTCGGAGAGAATGTTCGCTGTGATGCTTAAGAATCATCTTTGTGCTAAGATGCTTTTGGGAAACCCAGCCGTGTCATGAGGTCTATAATCATTATAATCACTGAAGTGATATAGACTTAGTAAAGCACATGTACTGACACCTGCAACACTCTGCTTTCTCAGGTGCTTCTCATTACTCCTGCATTGTTGACATGGACCACACCTAAAAGTGTGTTGCATAACAAATGCATGTGGGAAAAGAGTAGAGCCTCAGCTCAGCTCAGCTCAGCTCAGTAAATTCAGGCAATGCAATGCATTTCAGTGACCTGCGGCTAAACTGCAAGTTCACGCAAGTTCTGAAAATATGCCAGACTTGAAATTCAAAGTGGTACAACACAGTGAAGGGGAGTTCTAAAAATACATTTAGAAGAATTGTTCACAGTGGTGGTGAAAGCATCCAGACATCTGAAGTGTTTTATCAATCTTAAAGCTACCTCACAGATAACAGTGAAAAAATACATTGTGTGAAGCCTGAGACATTGTTTTATGACAGTTTTGTCAGTTTAAACATTTGGTCTAAAATGTATTTTTAAAATCCATTCAAGATGGAGAGATGCGTGCAGGGCGTTAAACTGCTAAATATTATTTATATAGCATATTTTATATGAAAGGTAGTTGAAAGTGCTTTACAGAAAGTTCCAATTAAAACAAAAATCACATGGGTTTGCTGGTTGTTTTGGATAATAAATGGCTATATTTGTGTTGTAGACATGGTCACCCCTGGATCCCATCACCACCACTATAAAGAAATCTGAGTCTGTACGTTTCTGTACAGTGAACCATTTCACACCAAACTGCTCCAAATGACTTCATTTACATGTCAACCACTGATATAGGTAGAAATGTTTACATAAAACTGTATAGTGATTCTTGTATGAATGCCTAAAGAAAACAAGATGTTCAGTGATGATACACTGTTTAAAAAATGTCACCTGTTTCTGGATGTAATATAAACCCACCAAGAGGTATTTTAGCAACTGTGTTCAAAATTGAAAATATGTTGGGAACAAAAAGAAGTTATTAAATGATAAATAGTATTCTATAATATCTTAATTTTATTAGATCATTCTCAATGCCATAATAAAACTGTTCTCAGTATAATAATAAGCAACATAGTCATTTTAGAATCATTTACAGCTCCATTCATCCTTCCCATTCATCATACACTTTGTAAAATCTCCACTTATCATAAATTTCTTCATTTATTATAGCTTCCTACAAATTTATGAAAACTTATGAATATTGCACTAGCATCACAAAACTTTTTACATTTGTGAGAAGTGTCCCTGCAAACGCAGCTCATCTTTCTGAACTGTAACGTTCAACTCATTTTAAGCTGTGAAACAGTGTGCAATCTTTAATAGCTTTATCAGTAATTAAAGCTGCACTATGTATGTTTTGGGAATTTGGAGACCTCTCTGGTGGAAATGTGTAATTACACATAACATGCAGAAAAACGTTTTGGAATGTGGGTTGTGCTTGAACCCCTTCCCCGAGCGTATTATTGCGAGCATGTAGAAAGAGTACTCAAAGATAACTGAGTCAAAACTTGGTGAAGGCCGTGTTTTATGAGGATGTCAGTAAATGATCTTTTATTGTCATCATATCTTAATCAGTACAATGTTAATTTTGCATTTGAGACCTAAACATCGAGCTGGATCTTCTTTTTGGACCTGCATGTGATTTTAACACGTAAAGATGTATGGCGTGGTCTGAAAATCTTATGACCTGACACCTCTAACTTTTAAATTACTATTTCAGGTTTTACAGGTTGACTCACAGCAGCTCATGCACCACATATTTTAGCATGTTTTTTTCTCTTGATTCAGTAACGCTGCTTATTTCAATAAAGAAATAAATAAAAGCATCTTACATAGTGCTGCTTTAATCTTATAGCATTCTCCTCCATGTTGCAGCAGTTCAGAGATCATTTTGATAGTGAAATATATCATGAACTTTGTTATACAAACAAATAAACACTTTTAACGTGTTGTAACGTGTTGGCAAGTGGAAGAGCTTTTCCAGAGAAGCCCTCAAATACAGAGTAAGCAATAATGGATGTTTTTCTCTAATGTTCCAGAGTATTAGCATTCTTTTGGTTAAAAGACTGGAAAGAAAATGTATGACAGCATACTGATATTCATACTGTTAAGGAAATGAAGTGTGAGTCAGCTGTTTAATTACCATTTTATTATGGGATATAACTGTGAAACGCTGTCACAGAGTGGTTTATGGTTATGTTGGGGTATTCACACTACTGTGCAAAAGTCTAAGGTGTCTGATACAACATGTAAGACTGTTTATCTGGGCAGCAAGCATTTGTTTGGAACATTAGAATAAACACAAACATAAAAATGAACAGTACACTGTGATTTTGTGTGAGTGAGTTTGCTTAACCAATTCCAAAGCTCTACTCAAGGAAGCCCAGTGTTAACAGCTACCTAGTTTATCTAATCAGTCCTTCCTTCTTTTCAAATTTTTCCAAATTTCTTTGTGATTTATTCGTTAAGATGTAAACAAAGTCATTCAGAGTGGTTTGATGTGAAATGGTTCATTGTCTAGAAACGTATGGACTTATGCTTTCTTTACAGCGGTGGTGATAGGAACCAGGGGTCAGAATGTCTGCAACAGGGGTGCACAACTCCAGTCCTGGAGGCCTGCTGTTCAGCACAGCTTGGAGGTTTCCCAACTCAAACACACCCACTAAACCTGGTCATTAACATACGAGTGTAATCAGGTGTGTTTGAGCAGGGGAAATCATCAAACTGTCCTGAATACTGACCCCTGGCCTACAACATCTAACGTTCTTCAAAACAACCAGTGAACCTAAACATGTCTTCTGAGCTTTCATATGTAAGTTGATGATGGTAAAATAGTGGTAAATCTGAAATTCTTTTAGCACTATTTAGCCTTACAGTGTCCTGCAGGCACCTCTCCACCATAAATGGATAAAAAAATATATATTTTAGCCCAAAAGCATCTGTCATTAAATAATGTCTCAGACATCAGGCAGAATATTCATAACCATAATACTTTTCTATGAGGGAGCTTTTAAAGACTTTAAACACTTCAGACATCTGGCTCCTATCACTACCACTGTGTTCAATTCTGACTCAGTATGTTCCTCTAGAATGGAGCATTTCATATCAAACCACTCTGAATGCTGTATACTTCTGATCAGTTGTATAATTCAATCTTAATAACTGTTTTAAAAACAAAAACAAACAAAATCTTGGCTGGCACAATACTGTATAATGTAAAAGTAAGTTTTACATTACATACTTGAAAACTTCTTGTATGTGGGACATAGTAATCGTGCTTGGTGAGGAAACCTATTAGACTTGTTGGACTTTCTGTAGTTTTCACATGTGGTATTTTTTCACAAGCACAATTTCTGCTTTGTGATCACTGGATAGATTTCTCCTCATAATTTGGCAAATACAATACCACTTTCAGAAGCTTTTAAAAATTATACAGTTGTTTGCAAAGGTTTGAACATCCCTGGTCAAATTACATATTTTGTTCATTTTCTAAATGAAAATGAGTTAACACACTAACTTTTGGATGTGTTAACTTTTACATACAACTTTTACATACAACTGTATAGGAGTTACTAAGATCTCATTCAAACCTAAAGTGGATAAAACAGCCATCCCTCAAAACAAATGACATTTATTAAAAATGTAAAGACCTCGGAATAGTCAATACTGTTGCAAAAAAATTCATCTCCAAAAATATTCTGTTGTCACTGATGCTGAACTTGAAATAAGTTGTCGATTTTTCCTTACTTTTCTCTAAAATCTCAGGCATCATATTAAAAGAAGAAAAGTGGAAAATTCAAAAAAGCACTAAAATTACAATGATAAAATCAACCCCGTTTCCAAAGAAGTTGGGATGCTCTGCAAAACGTAAATAAAAACAGAATCCAATGATGTGCAAATCATTTAAACCCTATATTTGATTAGAAATAGTACAAAGACAACATATCAAATTTTGAAACTGAGAAATATTTTGTTTTTTGAAAAATATAAGCACATTTTGAATTTAATGCTAGCAACACATTTAAAAAAAGTTGGGACAGGGGCATGTTAACTAATGTGCTGCATCCCCTCTTCTTTTAACAACACTCTGAGGAGCTGAGGAGACCGACTGCTGTAATTTTGAAAGTGAAATGTTTAATAATGCGCCCAATGTTTCAGTGGGTGACAGACCTGGCTGCTGCAGTTAGCATGCTTAATGAATAAAGCTTCCATTACTTGTTAGCCACATTAGCCTTGTAGTGCCAATGCAAAACTAAGGTAGAAAACTTCAGTTCCCAAACATGTTTCCACTGATTGAATACATTTGGTTTGAGGGGAAAACTGGGGAATTTAGATTTTTGGCCCAACCATTGTTTTTATCTCATCAGAAAACCTGCGGCAACATCTCAAAACCGCATTCCATTGCCGTTCTCCAACAAAAGTGATACAACTTGAGCAGATATAAAAATTAAATGCTCAGTTCTGACGCTCAGTAGGAAATTACTGGCTATAACCCATGTCCACTTCATTCCTCTCCTCATCATGTTCCCTCACTCCTATCTCTACTTGTACCTCTTCTTGCCTTAAAGTCATCACACCATTAACCATGTTGGGATGTTCCTCCAGTTCTAAAGTCTCACTTTCGGAATCTGTGCTCTCACTTGTCTGAAACTCTCCATTAATTTCTCTCCGCAGTCTTGTGTCTGCTTTGGTTCCTTGTGTCAATGTTTCTACATAACTATCGTTTTCCAGACCATCCTCAATGTGCCTCGCCTGTTCTGCTTCCATCCTCTGCTCGCTAACCTCAAGCATGTCATTTGAGGACTCTTCTTCAATTGGACTCATTCGATCTTCCTGCATCTTCTCTCTGACACTGTTCTTCACTCTGTCTGGCTCTCTCTCTCTTTCGCCACCTGCCTCCAATCCCTTTTCTCTATCCATGGCCTGCAGCTGTTTGGTAAAGGCTCTGTGCACCTCGGCAGTTATATTTCTAAAGTAAGCCTGTACGTCAGGCAGGATGATTTTCAGCAGGTTTGTTTCCGCTTCAATCCTCGAAACAACCTCATATTTCTCTCGGATCTGTTCCACCTCGTGCTTGTGCTTCTCCTCAACTGCATTTCTCTGTTTGTCTATCTCCTTTGTCAGCCTTTCTATCTCTCCCTCACCCTCCCTCTGCCTTTCTACAGCTTCTTTCAGGTATACCTCCAGCTCACCTCTTTCCTCATCAGTCGCCACATGCTCAAACGCTTCCTGAAGGTCGGCGATGTACTTCGCTAAAGTCACAATCTTTTCGTGCTCCTCCTCGATCTGTCCTTTTATCATCATAACATAACTGAGGAACTCTTTTTCAAGAGCTTCAGTGCTCTCTTCCTCTTCTCTAGTTCTCCTCTCTTCCCTTTTCTTGTGGATCCATCTCTCTATGTCCTCCAGCTGGTCTTTTGGGTCCTGGTACATTTCACTCAGCATTTCCTCACTCTTTTCCACAAGTTCAGAGACGACAGGCTCTTCAGGTACATTTGCCGCGCCAGGACCTCCTTCGTTCACTGCAACTAATCAGACACAAGCAGTCACAAGATAATGAAAAGACGTTCCCAAAAACCTCAGCCAGGGTTCAATGATCTTATCCACAAATGGCTGCAGGTTTTCATTTCATTAGAACAGAAGCACAGTGATTCGTTTAGTTTATTAGTCTCAGTCTTCAAATAACTGATTAGTTTTATGAGTTGTGCTCCTGCTTGATTGGAATGAAAGCCTGCAGCCACACCAGCCCTTCGTGGGAAAGATTGGTGACCCCTGAAGTGTAAACAATATGCCTCAAGCTTCTTCAACCTTGAACGCTGACTTGGATCAGTGATTCAATACTATGGCAAGAAACAGAACATACATTCCACTGTCCACTTTATTAGAAACTCCTACCTGTACTTCCCCTCACTACTTTGTGAGCTCCACCAACCTTATAAGTGCACAACATAGGTGTCCAATTACAGACTGTAGACCAACTGATTCTCAATTTGTCAGAGACCCTCTACCCCATTCACCATTGGTCGGTTTTTGACCAAAAAAAATCACTGTTGACCAGATATTATTTGGGTGGTGGTTCTCAAGATGGAATGATGAAATAGTGGTAAATCTAAAAAAACTGGGTACTGTTTTGCCTAACAACATCCTGCATGTACCTCAAAACCAGGGCTGTCCAATCTGTCTAATCCAATCTGTCCAATCCAGAAAGGGCAGACAGGTTTTTGTTTCAAACAAGCAGAGCACATCTGATTCCACTTATTTAATCTGTCTTCAAACAGTTGATCAAGTGTGCTCCTGCAGCCACACTGGCTCTTTGCGGATAGGATTTGACATCCCTGCTCTACACGATGAATGGATTTTAAAAAATATGTTTAGGCCAAACTGGATCTTAACACTAGCATAAAACAATGTCTCAGACATGAGGCAGCATATTCATAACCATTTAGTGCAATAACTGCCTGTGAGGTAGCCGTTAGAGGCATTAAACACTCAGCCGTTTGTCTCCTATCACCACCACTGTGAACAGTTCTGACTCGGTAAATTTCCTTAGAGAAGGGCATTTTTCACCAAACCATTCTGAATGACTTTGTTTACATTACTATTTAATTATACCCAAATGTTCTTCACATCTCATATAATACTTTTAAAAATAAAGCTTCACATCATGTGAAGGTTCATTAAACCATTAGAACAATGGTCACCCTGGTCCTGGAGAGCTAGCTTCCTGCAGAGTCTAGTTCCACAGTTTCCCACACCTTCTCCAGCTAAACAACCTCTTCCCAAGTCCCTGACTAGCTGGATCAGATGTTATATTATATTAGTATAATGATGTTATATTATATTAGAGGGGCTTATTAAATACAGGTTGGAACTAAACTCTGCAGGAGTTCAAACAAGGTTCTTTAGGGAAGCAAGAGGTTTTCCATTGCTCAGAAAATGATCTATGGCACTTTTTAAGTGCAAGAGTGGCCCTCTGGTCAGAATGTGACCACCAATGAAGGACTAGAGCAGGGGTGCACAACTCTGGCCCTGGAGCGCCAGTGTCCAGCATGGTTTAGTAGTTCTCCTGATCAAATAGACCCACTAAACCTGGCAAACCTGGCAAACAGATGAGTTGAATCAGCTGTGTTTGATCAGGAAAGCCACCAAACTTTGCTGGATGCCAGCCCTCCAGGACCAGAGTTGTGCACCCCTGGGCTAGAGGATAGCTGACACAAGCTGTCTGTCCACATATGAACTACAGTCTCTAACTGTACACCAGCAAAGTGGAGCTACAAGGTAGGCCTTTCATGTATGATGACTGTATATTTGCTGTAAAATGAGTTCACCTGTTTGCAGCAGTTGTTCTCTTTCTTCTTGTTGTTTCCTTTCCTCCTCCAATTCCCGCTCTTTTTCCTGCAGTGTGACTGTGAGCACCTGCACGGCACGGGTTCTTGCTTGTAGCTCTTCTAGCATTACTTTGCTCTCGCTGTCCTTCTCTTGTAGCTTTAGTCCCAGTTTTTCCAGTTCTCTTTTACAGGCCTCCAGCTCGCCAGCCATGTTCTTCAAGCTGACCTTTCCATCGTTTGCTACTTTCCTCATGTTGTCCAGATCCGTTTCTCTGTCTTGTAGGAGACATGTCATTCTCCTGAACTCCTCCGTTGCGCTTTCCAACTCCTTAATCTTATCTTGTAGCTCTTTGTCCTTTTTCTGCAGTAATTTCTTCATCTCTTCACGTTACATTAAGGAAAAACAAAAGGTGTTTCATCAAAACATCCCTGAATTGCAAATGTTCATCTGTCCTCATCTTTAGTGTACATTTTATATACAGTGCTGTGAAAAAGTATTTTGTCTATGAATGCATATTTCTAGATCTTTAAACAAAATGTAACAATTAGACAAGACAGCCTTATCAAACACAAAGCATCCAACATGTAAATCACCCACGGGAAAAAGCAATCACCTCTTTAGTTGTAATAACTGCAACCAAATCTCATCTAATTTGCTATCAGGCTTTCACGTTTTCACTCTTCTTTGCAGAACTGCTTTAATTCAGGTGTCAAATTCATGTTTCTAAGCATGAACTGCCCATTTGAGGTCCTGCCACAGCTTCCATAATGGGTTCAAGTCAGGACTTTGACTAGACCACTCCAAAACATACATTTAGTTTCTTTTCAGCCTTTCCGATTCAGATATGTAATGTTTTGGATCTTACTATTACATTTTATTTAAATACACTGTGATGAACATACAGTAATAGAGAAAGTCAAAGAAATGGTACACCATGTACAACGTTGAGTAATGGAACTTTTTGTTTTGTACTTTGAAAGATCCTGTGGTTAGGCAAACAGTAATAAGTTCATAAATAATCTTAATTATTTTCTCATGTAAGCCGTAGGTTATTTGTCATGTAGCCTGTCCATATAACATTACATTTTACAGCTTAACATAAACAAGGTGAAATACACTTTAAGGACAATGAAAGTTAAAATCAAGCCAAACGCTCCAAAAGTTTAGCAAATAAGAGCTAAAAGTGATGCTGAAGGAAAGAGCCAACAGAAAAATTCTCCTTGGTCTGTTTTAACAAACATATTTTGTGAAACTTCTTAGACGTTACATTTTTAGAGGCTGACCTAGTTAACGGTTGCATGTGAAAGATTGTTGTAAGGTTAAGAAAATAACAGAACATTTTTCTCAAGAATACCACCTGTTCTCAGAATTGTCCTTACAATGGCACTTATCTTTCAATTTCTTTTCTGGAGATGTCTGTTTGTTTTTTATGTACCAAAAAGCCACAGTTCATTTTTACATGACCATCTTCAACCTCTGTTTATCCCTTAGAATGAAACAGGCTTTTATTTTGATCCTGTGCCTTTAAGATTAATATGTATGTAAATGAGCTCTGCTCTAATTGGCTGCCCTGTATTGTGTTTTGCTCAAATAGCAGTCTAGGCTGCAGCACCTCTTAAAACCTCAGTGTGAGTGGGTGGGGCTAAACTGCTGTAGGCTAAATAAGTGCTATGGGTGTAAATATGTTTGTTTTTATGAAAAAATGCAGAATTCAATGCGGGCTGTTTTTGCAGTTTGGTTTCCATATGTGGACTGTATGGACTGGTACATTTTGGATCGTTAACAATGTTTGCATACTGCAAAAAAGTAAGGAAAATTCAGTTTTCTATAATATGGGCCATTAAGGGAAAAGTTTTTTTTTGGAAGGATAACAATATTTTTAAGAATATGATGGAAAACATATTTAAGAAGACTGAAAATTTTTCGGGCCTGCTTAATTGTACTACTCTTCACTGATCTCAGCAGAGTAACTTAATCTCACCAGAGCTCGATCAGTCACATTAAATAAAGAATAATTCTGACTGAGTCAGTCAAATTAATTACTCTCTCACCGAGTGAATGGACTGATTCCTCCATATCCAGGCTGTCCTGTTCTGCGATCTTCAGTCCCACTGCAGATCCACATGCAGAAAAGAAAATAATTAGTTTGAATTCCATGCAAGAGAAACTGCCTGGACATGTTGCAGCCCTTCCCATTTTGGGATAAAGGCAGCAAGTTTCAAATTCAGTTCAGTCACTTTCTTCTTACCACACAGGCAACACACTGACATATATAATGCTTTTGTTCATGTGTTTTGTTTTTTTTTCCTAGTGAACACAAGTGATGGGCGGTGACTACTTACAATTACACAGTCCCATTTACTTAAGTACAATTGATGGATTTGTAATTTTCTGAAGATTTTCACGCAATTCTTTTTATTCTTCTTAGGTATATTTGTGAGGAAAGTTATCTTTTTACTCCATTTTAGTCATTCACATGTTTGGGCGCCCCTGGTCAAATCTGGGTCAAAATCCATGTTTTTTGTAAGTGAAACCAAGTTAACACATCCTCTATGGAGAGCACATTTGTACACATTTTAGTGCATAATTACTGTGAATTTGCTGAATTGAACTTACTGGGGAACATTTTAAATAAAAAATACACTCTTAAAAATGGTTCTTCAAGGGTTCTTTAGTAAAGACTGTGGTGCTATATAGAACAGTGAATCATCAAAGAACAGTTTGCATGCTTAAATGGTTCTTTGCATGGTGAAATGGTTCTTCAGACTGAAGGAGAATGTATTGTATTTGGTTCTATATAACGCCACAAAGGTTTCTTATATTATTACGATGTCAAGCTTGTAACAATGAATGAACTCTTTTTGGTGCTATATAGAACCGTTTTCAAAAAGGTTTTATAAAGAACCATATACAACACATTCTCCATCAATCTGAAGAACAATTTCATGACGTAAAGGAACTTTTAAGCATGCAAATGGTTCTTTGAGTGTACATGGTTCCATATAGAACCATTTTCTTTAGTACTCTTGAAGAAGAGTGCATAGCATATTCTGATTTTTTAAATTGGATAAAGGCTGTTCAAGAAACTTTCAGATTATTACGTGCATGTAAACTCACTCATTAACACTTTACTGTTATAAATGCTTTACTTTGCATGTAGATTTCTTTTTCCTTCTTTGAAAAAAAAAACAAAACATTTAACTTCTCCTTGTTTCACATGAGTCGCTGTTCGTCATAACCTATATGCTTTCATGTGCATGTGCGTGGGGAGTAATCATATCTTAAGTATCTAATCCTGGATTAACAGAGAAAGTTGTTAACTGTCTTCGTAAAACGGGTTAACCGCCGTTTCATTTGGTGAAGCTGAAACGTAGTCAGGAAACAAAATGGTGCTATTTAGTCTTTAGCTTTACAGCCAATGTGTAAATTTGCAGAAAAGAAACTTAATTTAACTGAAATGTTGGTGCTGGTTACTGTTTCAGTCCAAATCTGTTGTTTTCTGAAATTCAAACTATTGCTTGTACAGTAAGTCACAATAAATAAGGTCACTCACATCTTTCAGGTGAAAGTATTTCCGTCCCTAGACAAAAACAGAACACAGAGTAGATTCCAATGAATAAGTGCTTTCATACAAATACAATACAGATTATTATATTTCTACATGGTGCACAAACCAAGACACTGAAGAACAAACTTCAGATTTAAAGCAGTTAAACAGCACATATTCTACACTTTCTTGTATTCCCCCCACACTGAATTCACTGAATTTTCTTTCTAAGTAGGTTCATCTTATACAAAGTATGTCCTGTGAAGAACTTTCCACTGTCCACTAAATGACTGATATATTTTGCCAATATTCTCCCCTGTTGATGTCAAATGGGCAGTGCATGGGTAGTGTGTACATAAGCAGTATCCTAAACCAATCACACGCAGACATGTCAGCTAAACAGAAATACGGAGGTGGGGGATTGAAAACCTGTGGAATTTGATAAAAATGTGAGCCCACTTGGCCCTCCCCCAGCCATGTGCCCGTAACTCTTCACTTTCATAATTTAGTCCCTACAGAAATATAATTTAAACTTTTATCACTCATTTAAAAACTGTCTGCCAACATTTTATTTATTTACTCAATCAGCTGATACAAATATGGATCACTGAATTCAATAATAATCCCAAACTGTCAGAAATCCGTGCATACATATTCATTTGTCCTGAAGGGTGTGTTATGTTGTACGAGCAGCTTGCATTAAAGCAATTATTCCATTATTAGCATTTTCGTCAGCTTTTTAAATACCAGCGCTCGAAATCAGTACTCAGGTGTTTAAGGTGGTTGTATTCTCTATCGCTTAATAAGCCCAAATACATTTTTCTCTTTCTCTCTATTCAATTTGGAGAAATCAACCACGTGAAAGCTAACAATGGCCAAAAGCTAGCCTAGCATAACCGACACTGCAAGGATGTCCATTCGTCTATTCATTCCGTCAGCTGGCTACACCAGCATTCCCTGGACGGACATCCAGTAGTAAGGTGAATTTGAACCTCCTGTAAGGTGTCACCACATAAACGCTGGATAATGATTTTAGTGAGTGGACACAGTAAGGACAGTCTACAACATGGTCTGCATACGTAGAGCCCGTTTCACTCATTTCTACTTGCTCAGTGACTTTGCAAGCTGGGAGCTGCAAACTGAGGGATTTCAATCATGCGTCCTCATTAGAATATTAGAACCACACCCAGACAGTTCTCCAGGACAAAATGTGCAGTAACAATGCTCCTTATGACTTGAATGTGAATAGGCAGCCATATGCAGATGTGGTCATGGTTATGACGCCAGGCAAAACTGTCTGTTTTTGCAGCATAGTTTATGCACTAAGAAGTGGCAAGTTTTTAAACTTTAACAATGTTTACATAATATTTAAAAACCGGCTAATTCAGTTTCCCATGACAGGGTCCATTAAAACAATCTGTTTTATGACTAAATTAAATACAGCCATAAACAGAAGACATAGAGACCTACACTCACCTGCCATGTATAAATGTATTGTCTTCTCCACCCTGTTTTCCCTGTTTTCTCCAGTGATGACCTGACAGCTGTAGATTCCTGTGTCCGCCTGTCCGACGTCTCTCAGCAGCAGAGAAACATTTCCTCTTTGCAGTTCTTCATTGAACAGACTCAGTCTGCCCTCGTAGCCTCTCCCCACTGTCACCTGCCCGTTCTTATACAGGTAAATGCATTCTATTCCCCTGAACCACCTGATCTCCATGCCAACCGCGCTGGTCTCCGGGGAGAGGTGAACGGTCAGCGTGATGTCATCGCCGGGGTAGGCGAACACCCGGTTGTAGCGGCACACTAAAATAAACATATCTGTGGACAAGGGAAGAGTTACCAAACATGTAATGACATGTCTGTGCACATGCAAACATATACATGTAAGCACAAATCAGCAGCAGTAACTCAGTCACATTCTCAGAAAATATTCATTTCGTTTCCAGACAAACAGCCATTAAGCACAAGCTGTTCATTTTCAGGTGTTAGTTCTGAGGAGATTAGATAGAAGACAATCCACTTGTATAAAGAAGGAAAAAGTCGCTGAAAAAACAGGTGTTTCTCAGCACTCTGGGTATGAAAGGATGGAACTAGACAAAAAAGAGGAAAATTTGCAAAAAAAACAAAGAAGGTGCTGGTGTTCTCTGAACAATGGACTGACCACCCCAGAGTCCAGATCTCAACATCACTGAAAGTGTTTGGGATTGCTTGGTGTGAAAATGCAACCAACTTCTAAGACTGAACTTTGGAGGTGGGGAAAAGTATTCCTGTAGATTTCTCTGAAAAACTGAAAGTAAGTCTCCTGAAAAGAATGGAAGCTGTAATAAAGGCAAAGAGTAAACACAGTAAAAAATTCGATGTTATATTTAGTTACTAAGGCTTCTGTGTAATTTATTATTAAATATGTTTTCTGCTTTTTTATGACACTGAATTTTCTGTTAAATGTGCAGTACTGTGCAAAAGTTTTATACACCTAACAACTGATTCAAAAAGCTGTTCAGAAAAACACTAAAAATATAAATAATATTAATACCATAAGTAGACATTTTACATATTTCAATGTGTTTGTTTAACCCTTTCGGGACCTACTTCTGTGGCAGCCTAATATTAGTGGATGGTTAGCTGTGCTCACAATGCAGTCTAAGGTAGATAGATGTCAGTTCAGCTACAGAACCTAATCTTCTCAGTTATCACGTTGCAGCGCTGCCTAAACGCATCGCCAAAGCACACTTTTCAGAAACAACTGTGTTCCTATGTTGGTAATCTGAAAGTTCTGACTGGATAAAAAGAAACAATTTAAACTTCTAACATGTGAAAATGCTTGAATATATTTTTCCTGCCCTGGACAGGCAACCTAAAAATAACCTGCACAATCCAGGGAAATCCTGGACAGGTGTCAACCCTGATTACCTGTGATTATCTTCCAACACCTGTTTTGGCTAATCAGAGCTTCATTATGTTTAATCTAGGGATGGAACTGATCAAATCAATGCAATGGCTGGGAGCCAAACTGTACTCTTTAAAATAGCTCACAAGATTTCAACTACACTCTTAAAAAGGTGGCTCTCCAAGGGTTCTTTAGTAAAGACATTGATTCCATATAGAACCATGAACACTCAAAGAAGCATTTCTTTGCATCATGAAAGTGTTCTTCATGTTGATGGAGAATCTGTTGTATATGGTTCAAGATGGAACCTTTTTGGAAAGTGTTCTATATAGCACCAAAAAGGGTTCTTCCATTGTTACGATGTCAAGCTTGTATCAATAGCAGAACTCTTTTTGGTGCTCTATATAGAACCCTTTTCAAAAAGGTTCTGTAAAGAACTATCTAAAGCATATTCTCCATTAATCTGAAGAACACTTTCATGATGAAAAGAACACTTTAATCCTGCAAAGCGTTCTTTGGGAGTTCATGGTTCTATATGGAACCATTTTCTTTACTAAAGAACTCTTGAAAAACCATCTTTTTTAATGTGTACATTCTTAGAAAAAAGATGGTTCTTCAAGGGTTCTTTAGTAAAGACAACGGTTCTATATAGAACCATGAACACTGAACAAACCATTTGCATGTTTAAAGGGTTCTTTACATGGTGAAATGGTTCTTCAGGTTGATAGAAAATGTGCTGTATATGATTCTATATAGAACCTGTTTGAATTGCACCAAAAAGAGTTCTTTTATTGTAACAATTTTAAGAGTGTACTTTTTAAAAAGTAATAAATTCTTGTAACTTTTTTGCTGTATCTACTGAGTGGTATAAGCGAAAGAAAAAGCACTCTGCAATTCTGCAGTTCACTAGCAGATACACCAGGACCTTTGGACTACGCCGCCCCTCACAAACACATTCATGCATAGCAGCCTCCCCCACACCTGAGCGCTGCTTATACAGAAATAATAAATATATATGCTCAACTATGAAACAAGTGACTTGAGCAGAGGATTCTGTCCTTACCTTGTCTTTACTGTCTTCCCTTCTTCCTGCAGAACAGTGTGTACACCAACTCACCAGAACTCTCACACACTCACACCCACATAGGGCACACCCCTTTATCTCAGATCAGCTAGACACGTCCAGTGAAAAAGAAAACATATACTGAAGTGCAAAGCGCGCACTTAATCTGCTGCAGGCGACAGGACTACCTCTGGCAACACAGTCAATCTTTCTCCTCCCCTTGTCCACACAATTATGAGTCTCTTCAGTTACTGAAGTTCATTCAACAGCCCTGCAGTTTGTTTAAAAGTTTTCTTTGGGTACTGTTTTTATATGTAAAGTTGATAATGATAAAGTAACTTCCATTTTTCCTTACAACATCCTGCACATATTTAGGCCAAAACCTTTTCACAAAACTATCAAAACAAATGTCTCAGGCACCAGGCAGTGTATAGTTCCTGTGAGGTAGCTTTTAGAGGTGCTTCAAACATCTGGTTTCTATCACCACCACAGTGAATAACTCTGACTTTGTAAGCTTCTCTAGAATGGAACATTTCAAATCATTCAACTCTGAATGGCTTTGTTTACATCTTAACAACTGCATTATGTAGACATTTTGAACATATAGTGAAATTCGCCTTTAAATATATGAACTTGACTGAAGTGAACTACCAATGCTAACAAATTGTTCCAGTGTAAAGAATGAAATGTCATAAAATTATATGAAATGATTTGTCAGCTGGGTGGAGGTGTTACACCCTCATAGCTAGGCACAGCCTCTTTCAGAATGGTTGAAGATTACTGCACTTCATTGAGCAACAGGCTCTTAGCTTTGTGAGAATGTCTGCGCTAGTGTGGCTAGTGCACTCTTCACAAATAAGTTTAAAGGTTTAGAGCAGAGCTCACCAACTCCCAGGAGTCAGACCTTCCTCCAGACTTCAGCTCCAGCCAAAATCCAACACTCAGCCTAATCCAACTATTCAAGTACTTCTGGATTAGATGTGTTCAGATGGCTTGGAATTGAACAGCTCAGGAATTTATACCCCTCTATGTATGTTCAAGAATGCACCTGTTTCAGCATCTGGTTCTGGTGCAGGATACCAAAGTCCCCATGCACAGTCTGTAGGGTAACTTGGTGGGAAGAAGACCCCCAAGTTAAGATATACCTCCACCCCACCTCCCAGTTTATTTCTCATCTGATCACATGATGGGGCCAAATCTAATCTCAGCACATTGACAGAATGACTATGGTCTAATTTATTTTGAAGTTTCATCTGAATCACTGCATTCCTGGGAATTATTCTCATGGAAAATCTTTGGTGGTCAGTTAATCATATTCTGTTATTGGATGATAGCGATCCGTGCAGTTCTGTATTTTTTTAAACGAATGAATTCAGGTGTTGTGGACACCAGTATCACATACTGTATTACATGCAGTTAATGAAATGAAATACTGAACTGTATAATTCAGTAAAGCAAATACATTAAACTGGCTCCCTCCTGAAGAGCAATGGGGCTCATTCAGCAACTGTTCTTAAGAAGAAATTTCACGAAGATTCTAACATTCACCAGTGTTTTCTTATTTGGACATTTGTTCTTAGGTAAGAACAGAATCTACACACACTCAAAAGCACAAAAGTGTGTACAATTCTGTGGTTTAAGAACACGTCATGAATCAGACGTTGACTTTTTCCTAGGACTTTTCTAAAGAAACAAATTTAAGTAAAAACTGAGGAACGTACTGGTGAATGAGGTCCAACGTTCGCCATCAAGGTTTAGATAAAGAACATCTTTATAACTTGCGGAAGAACGTTGACCAATCAAATCGCTTTTTAGAAGTCTGGAACTAAACGTCATGCTAGTGGGCGTGTCCTTAGCACAACTGCCCGCCCTCCACAGTTCATCGTTACTAAGCAACCGTTAGTCAACTTTACACGTTGTGCTGCGGGCTTTCAGTGAGAGCGTAAGTCACATGAAGTAATGTTATTATTTACCACAAATATTGTATACCGCTGTTATTAAATGATAAGGGTGCCTTTCAGATGGAAAAAAAAACTCGAACTATAAAAGAATGCAGCAGTAAACTGTAGCAGCGCTGACTTAACTTCTCTAAAGTTGTTTTCTGAAGGGTTTGGTGACAAACTAAGCTAACTAGCTAACTGTATAAGAAACAGATTAGCGTTGTTGGCGTGTGGTAAAACATTAAATGCATTTTCATAAGTGTTTCCTGCTGTAGTAAGTAGTTAATATAAAACGTCGATATTCGCCGCCGCTCCGCCAGTCCTACTGCAGACGCAGTCTTAATTTTCATTGACTTGCTTAGTTAGCGATACTCTTTCATTATTCTCATAATTTTTGAGAAAATTAGTATAGAAGATGAAATTAAATCTCTCTCTCTCTCTCTCTCTCTCTCTCTATCTTGCTTTTTATTAATACAAAAATCAATATATGCCTCACATTTAGGTTCATAGGTGGCTAAATGTTTTACTGTCCACCATCTAAATGTTATATTTTTTAAAAAAGATGTGAAAGAGGATGCCATGCCATTACACTTTCTTCTCAGTTACAGGCGTTGTGAGAATGAGTGCTGGCCGGACTGTGGAGGGCGCAGGCTGTGTCACTTGGTGGGGTTTCGGACCAGCAAGAGATCTGCTCAGTGCAGGTGAGATCAGTTCCAGATCTCTTATTACAGTGTTTGCTGGAACAGTCTTTGTGAACTCCACATTTTTCAATCACCTCTTTTATCATCTCCCATTTGCATATGTTCACAGGTGCTGTTAGGCAGGAAGGGAAGCTTAATGTGTTGCTGGTGGGCAGTGGAGACCCCAGACACATTCTAAAGACCATCGCAGGCCTAAGAGACACTGACAAACTCCATGTAAGTCACTGACTAACAAGAAAAAAAGCACTTCTTGTAAGGCCCTTGTTCATTTATTATTTGATGCACTTTACTTCCATTTATACTTGGCATTTAAATGCATGCTTGCTGGTCAGGAAGCAGAACTCACTTATTCTTCACACTGTTCTGCAACAGCATCAGGTTGTCAAGAGGTGACATTTTTTGGTGACACTTTGATGAATGCATTCAGCCTGCCTAGATGGACTTTGCACTGAGCTGACATCCAAACACAATAGAAGCTTGTCCACTGTTTTCCATGTAAACTGAGGGTGTAAGAAGTCACAAAATTCATTCAATGTGATGCATTTATGTCTTGATTACATACATTTCACGATATAACAAAAATAAGTAGTGCCTGAAAATAGGGCTTATGTTTGTGCTTCTATTTCCAGTTTATTAGAACATTCATCAATATAATAGTTAAATATTTGATAGTGTAGAATATCACAGCGGAGTTTTGCCTTTTAACCACAGCAACATATAAATTCTAAACAAAAGCTGCTGTGATTGCACTAACCACAACCTTATATGTTACACTAGCCATTAGCAAACATGCTAGCGACAACACAGTGGTACAATGCTTTACAATATGTTTACATGTTTACATGTAAACACGATCATTTGTGTTATGTGTAATGTATTTGCAGGTTTGGGTCATTGAGAACAGTATGGAGGTTGTTGCACGACAACTGCTGCTGCTCTATCTGTCTCTGACCACTCCAGAGAGCATGGGCCTGAATGGTGAGTGCTAGGTGTGTTAGCTGCAATTTTGCATTTATCTGGGTTGATAGTTAACATAACTTCACAAGATCACAGTTAATTTAGCTTTTTTGTGGTAAATGTTACTTCACTTTCAACAGATTATTTCACTGCTGTCACAGTTGGGGGTGATATACATTTTTATTCTTGTTGTTATGATGTAACTTATGCTGGCTTTACACAGAAACTAGTTGCATGTTGCATATCAGTCTATCAGTACTTCATTACTATTTATTTGCCTTTTTTAACCAGCTCTATGTATGTTAAGCCTTTGAAAATTAATGTTTAAATAGCCATTACAGTTGCTGATGTCAGACTCATCCTGTCCTAATAAGCTCAGTGTGGATCAAGCATCTTCTGCAGTAATTGCTGTAAATTCTTTGGATCCCAAAAGGATCTGAACACTGTGTAACATTAGAGGACATCAAAAAAGAAAGATGATGGTAACAGCAGGCTAACAAAGAAGAAAAAACCTTGGCACAAGCAGTCATTTACACAGCGGTTAGTGTAAGCTGTTAAGTTAACTACCACCTTGAGTCAGTCAGGGACGGGGGGGGGGTGATTCATTATTGGAATTTTGATTGGCTGTTTCATGGAATGTTTCACAAAGATCCTTGAAACTGTTGAGGTGAGTTTTAAGTGAGTTGCAAGGCACTTTATGTTATGCAAGTGAAATTTTGTTTCATGTAGGTTTCATGTGAAGTTGCTTGTCAGTTTCACTGTATAAAGTCAGCCTAACCAAATGTGTTGCAGGCAGCTTTGTCTTTGAATTGTTTCATATAACTGTCAAGTTGCATGGAAATTATGTTGCAGGCAACTCACAACTTATAACTATTTGGCACCATGTAAAGCCAGCCTTAGACATTAAAAATTGAGTTGAGATGAAAAGTTTTCCACACAGCACAGGAAATTAACCTTCTGCACTGAGAACAGAAACACACAGCTATATCTCATAGACTCATATCGACTGAAAGCTGTAAACGGCTTGCTCAGCTAGGAAATCCACGTTAATTCATGCGAGTGCAATTTGAAAGGTTTGGTCACCATTACCAGGAATGTTTGATGATTGTTAGCTGATTGTCACAGTATTCCGATATCTAATTTTTATATTTCATGCTACATGTGTCTTTCTTGAATACCTGATTAACTCAACCAAAATATTTTATGACAATATCAAATGAACGCACAGTACACACAATGCACAGACTACTATACATCACTTGTATTGTTTCTGTGCATTTCTTTTTATTGTGTCAGCAAGTCATCCTGATGAAATTGATTTTCTCTGGTATTTATTTAATAACAAGACTTTAAAAAGACAAGTAATCCAAAGTAACCCTGGCATTTGCTTTAGATAAATTAGTCTAATAGACTTAGAATACATAATTAGGATCTACAGTTACCTGTCCTTAAATTATGTTAGACATCCTTTTGCCATTGCTGACCCATGTATGCATTTGTTTGCTTATTTTGTCACACAGAGAAGACAGAGGTGTTTCTTGAGCTGTTTGGGAACTCTGAGATTCGCTGTCAGACTGAAGAGACACTGAAACATGTTGCCGCTCAACTTTCTCTTTCTGTCACCGACATGCTTGACACATGCACTCCGTCACACCCCTGCCTTGACACTAGTCTTCTCAAGGTGAGGCCAGCATGTGATTTCCAGCAGGTTTATGATGACATTCATCAAACTAGATACTAAAAACGAGAACAAACTTGCATGATGTCTGTCAAAGCTGAGTCAGGAATTGCCCAGGACAGGCTCTGACAGACAGACTAACACAAGCATTTCATTAGGCCTGTCACAGTTATGACCTTATTGTTTAATCACAGTTATTTAAGATGATCACAATTGTATGAGCTGACCATGATCATTTTCCAGAGTCGTTACATTTCACAGTCATGGTTTCACAGAGTTGGTTGTGCTGGGTTGAGGCAAATAAATGTAAATAAAAGAAAACTGTAAATGCATTCATTCATTGAGACATCATGGGGTCTATTAAAACAAAAAAAGTTCTAACTTCAAGGTCAACAGTTGTGCACAAATTGATTCAACAGTACAACCAGTGTTGGCTACCAGGCAAACGTAGCTTGCAAGTAAGATGTCTAATCAGCCAATTTGGCCACTTTAGGCTTATATTTCAGTAGTTGCAAACAATGAACAAGAAAACAATTAAATGCATAACCGCAATTATTATATGACAATTAATCATCAGGTAAAATTTCATGATCGTGACAGCCCTACATATGATTATGTACATTTTAAAAGTGTTTTTTTTTAACTAGAAACTTGTTTGCTGATTTCTGAATAGGCTTTAATTCCTGACTAGGCTTTAATGTGTGTAGTAGAGAACACAGACCCATAGGACTCGAGAGAGAGACCTTTTTCTAACCATGACCCAAAAAAACATTGTATTTGAAAAGGTGATATTACCAATAACCTAGCCACTGTGTTACATATTTAGAAAAATGAACAAATATTTAGTTAATCCTCTGAGTAAAAACACATTATGAAACCCAATTGGATTTACTGAAGCAGTTAAGTTAAACTTAATAATTTAAGCTTTTAAATTATTAAAGTAGTCTTAATCAATAGTTGACAGTGTTGTACCCTTACCGGGTAGTTTTTTAAGGGCTCTTTTGTAAAGGCAAAGGGTAAATGGTTGTGTGCATAGTTAAATGGTTCTTCTCTCTGATGGATTTTAAAAAGGTCTTATAGTACCAAAAAAGGGTTCCTCTATTGGAGTCAAAGAACTATGATACTATATAGAACCATTTTAGCAATGTAGGCCGTTCAATGCGATGTTCAACGGTTATGTCTGTGAGTTTCTGGCAAATACTCATATCTTCAAACATTCAAAGAAGAATAGATTAAAGACTGTTACAGAGAACATCTGGTAATTATAAAAAGCCCTTAGCTGTTAAACATCGTTAAAATATTGTGCAAAGCACTGGTGTAGGGTAATCTTTTATATATGAGCTCTTGCTGGAACCATTGAAGACTGTTATCACTGATGCTGTCATGTGAAGGGGTTTTTGTGGAAAGACCTCCATTGTAGTGCACATTGTTACTGATATTCAGTTCCAGAAGTTCTTCTCAGTAACACTGTGCTTTGCTGTGATTTTGTTTGTAGTTTAGGGAGAGAGACGAGCTAGCTCAAATCTTTAAACAGTGGCAGCACCCCCTCTCCACCCCAGCCAGTGTGTTTAAAGCCTGGGATGCCCGCGTCCGACAGCACCTGGGCACACGCTACGACTCCCGCAAAGGCTGTTTCGACTGGGACCTCACCATGAAACTACACCAGAAAGGGGTTTGTCATTTTCCGTACAGGTGGGCAATATGACAGTGTTATTTGTATCATGGTTAATTACATCAAAATATGATTTTCTCATTGTATCATGAGCATCGTCAGTACATCTACAACACTGAACAACTGCAATCATCATTAAATGATTCATAAACCAGATTTAGACCAATTACAGTCTTCAAGTATTTTGATGTTTGTGATACTTTTGTCATATTGTTCACCCTTTATTTTTACACAATATGCAGCCTATATCAACTTATATCTACATTGCATTGGTTTCACTCAGAAGCAAAGATTACTGCAGCTGTACAAGTGTGGTACTCTACATACTATGTTATTCATCCATGCTAGGCATCATAAAACATATCTTTATGCAATATATCGCTCTTCTATTCAAGATCTGCTCTCTACTTGCTCTCTTGCAGTGTGGAGTCATTAACAAACAGCAGTATGTCAAATGGCGTGAAAGGGGTGTGGCTTTTGAGATGAGGGAAGGGTTATACCAACGAGCCAATCAGAGTCTACTGTCCGTACGCGTGTTTAATCACGTAAGTCACTTCACCGTGTGAAGTATCACGTTTATGACGCTCATGACAGCTCTCAATGAGAAAGAATGAGATGAAGCATTCACACACATTCTCTGTGTTAAATAGATTGATAGAATCTGTCATGTACACTGATCTGAGACCTGTTCTGCCAGTTCTTTCATAAAGCCCTGCAAACCTGAATACCTGTTTAGATACGTTCTGTTAGAGGAGGGGAGTGACCAAAGGAAAAAGTAATAGCCGGTCACAAATCAATCTGAGCCTCTGTAAATAGTACCTTAATTATTATGTAAAGATTTGTTAATGATAGTCAATAATTATATAATTGTTTCCTGTGCATTAACAAGTGTTGCTATTTGAATTATTAACCATTTACACATAAAAAGCACTGTAAATGCTTTTCATAAAAGTATAATCTTATAATATCTTTATAAATACATTATAAAGTCACAATTGTATCATATGGTTCCAGTTAGTAATTTGTAATATTTAAAAAAAGTGTTCCCACAAATAATGATTAACTAAGCATTAAGGAAAAGCTTATGCATCACAAAGTAGCGAGACAATGAATAACTACTTAATCAATTAAAACAGGACATAGACAGTGCATTTGTAATTATTATGCATTATTTCTATTATGAGTACCAAATAATCATTATTGGCAAACTAGACTTGATTATTAGGTTTCTACAATTACACAATGATTAGTAATTCAAATGGTACAATTTATATTATTAACAGTCATTAACAAACTATTAGATAATGATGAAGTTGCTATTAATTAGGGCCTGTTATTATAAAGTGTAACCAGCACTTCCACTAAAGTGCTGCACAAAGTTTCTGAAGAAGCATTTAGAGAATTTTCACTGGCATGAGATAAATAGCAAGTTATTTCCAGTCAGTGTTCACACGAGTCATGAAGTTTCTAGAATATCAGGGGAAATTGAGAGAAAAGGGTTTTTGGCCAAGTGATTTATTTAAAAAGTGACCCAATTAATAAGTATTTAAATTGGAAGGGTCAAATGGATATGATTAAGATTTTGCATGTTTATGTAATAAAAGCTGATTCTACCACAATGTAAAAAAGAGGGTACATCCACCTGCGTGTGTGTGTGTTAGAGAGGAGACAGGGTGGGACTGAGAGGGTACTGGGGAGATATCGTCTCAAGCCCCTACCTGTCCTTTGGCATCGAAACAGAGAACAAAGACCTTCTGAAGACACAAAACAACCAGCATGTGAAGGTAAAAGAAAAATGGGCAAAAAACAGACAGTAAAAAAACAAGTATTTTTTTAAGATAATAAAACTTACTATACCATAACTCCACCTTTCTCTCTTTCTTAGACCGCCCAGGATATCTCTGTAACAAATGTCCAGATGCTGTTTGAGTCCCTTTCCGCTAGAGGGGGCCACCGTTATGCGCCTCAGCCAGTCAGTGAGTGTGGAGGCTCACAGAATGCTTTGAACAATCACATAGTGGAAACACAACCACAGTCTGACCTGTCAACTAATGATGAAACAGAATCACCACAGCAGAGTCAGGACTCTACGGTCAACCAGACAACAGAAGAAGAGATGCAAACAGTCAAGACAGCCAGTGGAATTCAAACAGAAGTTAATAAGCAACCAGAAACACACCACAGGACCCATCAACTAGGTAACAGCATGGCATTCATGCGTTTTTAACTGTTGAAGTCATTTGTAAATGTAATATGCAGTAATAATGTAACAAGCAGAATTGGGAGTAATAGATTGTAAGACAACAAAAATAACACTGAACACATTTTAGGGATGGAAGGATGTATGGAGTACTGTAAAGTACAGTAAGTCATTCATTTTTCAGTGTCAGAACAAAAAAGCAGAAAATATATATTTAATTAAAATGACTCAAAAGCAGCCAATACTAAAGTATTAAATCTGTCAGTATTTAATTTGTCCACTCGTTACTTTTGTCCACTCCTCTGCCACTTTAACTCTTCTATCCCTCCCATCTTAAAACCAACCAGTTCCAGGTGTGTGCTCCCAACAAAACACACCTACTCAAACACACCTTAGCTGCCTTACACATTTCTTTCTAGTGTGCATCTAAAATGGCTGATATTTCTTATTTCTGGAGATATTTCTGAGGCAATTAGATGTAAGATGAAATGGGATCACTTGAATTGTGAGAAGTAGAAAATGCAACCAACTTCTAAGATTGAGCTGGAACTTATATTAAAATATCCCTGCAGGTTTCTTTGAAGAATTGAAAGCAAGCCACCCGAAATAAAATGGAAGCTGTAATATAGGCAAGGGATGGACACGACAGAGGTGGTTAATGTTACGTTTTGCCACATTGCGATACCTTGGGGAACGTAGTGCCACTATCAAAAACTATGAATCCAATTTCCTGTATTCAATATTTCAAACGCTGTGTTCCACTAAATCCATTTAAACAGGACTACTTGTGCTCTCTTTTAATCAAACATACAGTTGCTCTCACTTTTGTTCAGTATCTTATTTTGAATAATTTCTGTTTTTGCACTGTGTTTACATAACCAATCAAAAACAGTTTTGTATTAACTGAATTGATGTTGATTTAGAGCTTATTTATTTAATGTGGAGTCATAACAATATGCTTATCTTTGTACTTTGGTATGTGTCCATGTGTAGAATTGATTAATCTACATGGAGTGAGTGTGTCATTCCTGTCTCTGGACTCCCTGACCAAACTAGCCCTGAAAAACAGATACAGTCATCTGTTCAACACCATCTACTGTTCAGCCAGGTACTGAGTTTGTGGGTCCTACATTTACACACTAATTTAAATCTTTGCAGATTTTACAGTACTTATTTATGTTGTAGTGATTATAATAAACCCTATACATATTCTGCCTCGTCAGTATGGTGCACCATTTAGATTCTTCACTGAAACAAATAGCTGCACCAGACGCCATCCTGATTGTAGAACTCGCCAAGTAAGTCTCATATATAATCTGTCAGCACAATAATACAATTTGAAAATAGTGTGTAATAGAGTGTAGTGGAGTGTATGTGTCTTTGTTCTGTATGGGTGTGTTTCTGTGTCCAAGGTACCTTTTGGATCTGTCTAAGGAACAGGAAGCTGCTTTTGCAGGGAAGGTTGGAGAGATTGCTAAAGAAGTAGGATTTGTACCAGTCCAGAACCACAACAACAATGCATATGCTGTATTCACACTGCAGAAGAACTGAAAAGATCGCACATTTGCCGTCCTGACCTCACTATTCTCCATATAAACACACACAGAACACACAAACAGAACACTCCAACCCAAAAGACCCACATCTGTACAGAGCTGTCCTGTCCACATACTTGGATGTGTAGATTCTAAAAAAATACTCAGTTGACAGACAAATTTACACAATTATTCCTCCACCCCAGATGTTGTTGAACAGCCATGGTAGTGTCCAATTTTTGCTTCTTTAGTTTAGCTGCGAGGCGAATGTTGCTAACAGACACTAGAAGATTTTTGGCCCTACATCTGTTGTCTAAAGTGGCTGCCTGTGGTGTTTAGCTACACGGTGGTTTTGTTCACTTTTATAGTTCACAGCAGGTCAAACTGTGTCCTAAACCACACTGACCAGTCTGCACAGATTTACTGAAGATCTGGACACGGTTTGAGTGGGCCAAGAGAAGTTTTGTGGATGTATTTACAGGAAAGATTTGAGTGATATTAGCTATATTAGCCTCATAGTTCCAGTACTAACCTAAAGATACAAAATCTAGGCACGAAACATTGTTCATTAGTCGATATTAGTTCAACGACTACATCTGGGTTAAATGGAAAGATGTGTAAATTTGATTCTTTGTTGAAACCGCTATTTTAAAAAATAAAAAGGATTAAACGTTTCTGTTCTGTCAATTCCACACAATGTAATAAAAACACAGTAATAACATGTTTTGGCTAAATGTCTGAATTTTAATGTATAGGTAAGGTAAATAATGTACAGTTAGCAACACACTATTATTTACTCACAACCTATTTCATGCATTAAAACCCCCTAAATTTAAATTGGAATAAAATATTGTATGTTTTTGTGTTGAAATTTTGTATATTTTGGTGTGCATTCACTTCCAACGTCCTCCAACTTTGCCCTTGCCTCCTGTGCCCTTCTTACTGTAAACAGGAGAAAGATGCAATAAAGTTATATTATTATAACATATGGCTCTTTGTATGTAGAAAACAGACCTCATGCACTCACTCATTTCATTCATTCATTTCTTTCAGTCTAACAAACACCACTAAGATGATCTTACAATTTTTGAGCATGGGAGATGCGATTCAGAAGCACTTTGATCTAAAAATAGATCAGACAGGAATAGTATTATTGGCAGTCGACTCTTTTGCCAATTTCACTTTTATTGTAAAATAACAAAATTGACTGATTAAATGTAAAATGTAATCTGACCTCATATTTCTGCCTCCACATCTTCTCCATCAGGTCAAACTTCTCTGACTCCAGCTCATAGATCCACTCCCACATCTCTCTGGCACGCTCCCTACACACACAGTCATTTTTATCATAGGCTTTTCTTACTTAAGAGTGATACGCTAATTACAGTAACTGTCCCCTTTATTAAAACACATGCCTTGTAGCACCATATTGCTGGTGCACCAGCACCACACATACTACCATACCACTACCATGCCAGTGTCCTTGCTGTGCTGAGAATGATCCATCACTTGGTCAAAAGCAGTCCTGTGGTCAGAAACTGATCACTGATGAATGAGGTAGAGGGTGGATAATGCATTGTGCATATTAACAGATGGGCTACACTCTGTAATTGTACATCTACTCTGGCCCCAAACAGAATTTTGGCACTGAGCATTGGTAAACTTCAGTGAAGTTCTTAAGGTTACTTCATAAAATGTTGAAGAAGATGATATTTGTTTCAGAGAAGCACATCATCACACTGGTGGTAGACTCTTAGTGTGGGGAAAGCCTGGAGAAGAATTCCAACTGATCCAAGTCGACACTGTTTTTGTCATAATGGTGTTGGTAAGCTTGTGTTCATTGATGGGATCATGGAAAACATGCCTTGGAATAGCCTATTTAAAATAAAGGAACTTGATTTGACATTTTATTTCCTAACAGTGACAATTCATTTGTAAGAATGACACAAATGTCCAAATACTTTTTAGGGCCACTGTATAGGGATTATTCTACCAAACTGATTCAAAGTCAGTATTTCAGACTTTTAACTGACTTACACTTTTGACTGAAATCATTTTGCTGTGACTGACCCTATACCTTAATTATGTTTTTCATTAAAACTAATGGTTGAACATTCTGTTTTATTACTACCAAAACAATCACAACTTAGCAAAACTTTACTGAATGTTTCGGTACTGACCGGTTTAGCTAATTTTGAGGTAAAAATGTTAGCCAGTACAATGCTAGTAAACACAGTTTTGTACACACAAAATCATAATATTTTCATTAAAACAGTAGTGACAGTTCTTAATGTTACACACTTTGGGACACGTTTACTTCAAAACAGTGGTATCTATCTGCTCACCGTGTGGCCACGAGGGACAGGGATGCAGTCTTACTTCCTGCTCTGAAATGCAGGGGTGTGGCTAAAATAAGGCTCTGCCTACAAACTAAAAGTCTGTGTTTCAGTAGTGACATGAAAACATAGGACAGCAAGTTTTTTTCTCATGATCAATCTAAATCTTTCAATGTCAGTTTGAAAGAAACCAAATAAATATTTTAAAAAACAACACTGAGAAAAATGCAAATAAATGTAAGTATTACTTTCACAAATATTCTTTTTTAAAAGTAAATGTGTAAATTTTGGGGGTTGGAATTTGGGACAGACACATCCTGATAGAAAAAACTCAAGCCTTGAGTTTAAATAAATCATAAAATATTTTTCTACAGTTTCTGTACAGTGGTCCATATATGCATAGGTGGAGCTCATAAAGTGGTCAGTGAGTGGAAGTACAAGGTGAGTGTATGAGTTCACGCTCACCTCAGTCCATCCTCTCTCAGGTTGTCAATAGCAAGAGGTTTATGTCTCTCTGCCAGAGTCTTCCTTTTTATTTCTCTGCCTGTTTGTCTTTTTCCTCCTCTCCTCTGCTCCGCCTGCGCCATCAACCAATACGGATACAGGGCAACAGACGGAATGACAATCTGAGAGTAAACAGACAAAGCAATATGCACTGGTGAAAGTGCATGAACTCTGAACCTTAGCAAGAAAGCCTCCAAAATGTGCTCCCATGTTGGACAGAACTTTCTTCTTCTTAGCCTCATCATCGGCCCTCTTCTTCGCCTCTTCGTCCTCCTTCCTCTGACGCTCCTCCTAAGAACAGGCCAGAGAGAACAAGTCAGTGCATGTTCAGAAAAAATAAAAGCTGAACTGCTGAGACAGTTAGAGTCCCAATTCCTCCTCTTGCTCTCACCGCAATCCTGGTCTGCCGGTCTCTCTCTTTCTCTGCTCTGACCCTCTGCTGCTCTGCCCTCTCAGCCCTGCGATTCTCCTGACAAACACAGATGCTTCAGTAAAACCTGTGTCAAGTCACTTTAAGGTTATGTTTCTCTTTTTAACAAAAAAAAAGTTAATAAATCTACAAGGTAAAGGGCCCATATCACAGAAAACCTCATTTGTTTGTACCCTTTATATAAGAGTTAGCTGTAGTATGTAATCACTGTTAAAGTTTAAAAGCTTACCATTCAGTCTATATATATAAACTAACTTATATCCACCTATTCAGCCTATAGCAGGCCATTCACACTGACATTATAAGATGTGTTTTAGCCCTGACTGATTTTGAATGAGTTGCAACAGAGAAAAAACAGCTCTAATACATCTATCAGTCTTAAAGGCGCATTAACAAAAACAGCCTGTTTTATTCTAAGGGATACACAGAAGTTGGAAAATGGTTACATAAAAATGAACTATGACTGTTCACAGAACAAGCCAAAAAAATATTATAAGTGGACCATGAAGCAGGGGCCATGAATGTATGGCTCCGGAGCCATATGCGGCTTTGTCACTGCCCTCTTGCGCCTCCACAGAACTGGATTTTTAGGTTAAAAATAAAATAATCCACTGTTGCAGTAACATGAAGCTTTGCTGAGTCTTCTAACACACACTTCCAACAACATATGGTCTTAAACTCTGGAGTTAATTCATAAATTGTTTTAAACGCTGCTAATTCACCTTTTAACCCTGAAGATTAGCTCACAGACTGCTGGTCACACAGCAATGCAGACATCAGTCTTGCCTAGCTAGTAGCTTACAAAACGGCAAAGAAGAGAAGATGAACACCGATAATTGGACAGACTTATTTGCATTTAAAAGCACTCCAGCTGGTTTCTTGATATGTTTAATCTGCAACGAGAAACTGTCAAACACTAAAAAGTCACAAAGCTAAAGTCAGTTTCTTGTTGGAATTGTCTCGTTCCACCTTAAACGGTGCAGCAGTTACATTCTGGCACCTCAAGAACCTGGTAAATGACAAGCTGACTTCAATCAAAAAAACTTGACCGCTGAGAGACATTTTGGAAGAACCTATTCTACTTTTCAGAAAAGTTTCCTGCCAGAGACGTGAGAATAGCAACTATAGCTGAGCTACAGCTTAAAGCAGAGCAAAGTAACTGTGAGTTTTCATTTATATTTTTTAGTCTACACTAGTACATTAGCATATACTGAGACATATTTACAGCCAAGACGGTAAAACGTTACTTCAATAAAATGGACATCAAATTTTGTGGCTCCCAAGGTGGATTGCTCTTCACTAAAATACATGATATATGTAGGATATGAGCCCTGTAAGTCAATCTTTATATGCCACATCAGAGAAATACACTGAAATACAATGTATATAAAAAAATTAAATAAACCCTAAAAAAATAAATAAATGACCGACTGACTCATGTAGTTTTACTTTAAGCATTTTTTTATCTATTCATAAATAAAGAATGAACAGCCCTGGTGCTTGTGCCAAATGGCACCCACTCAGTATGAGGCCTGCTATTCACCAGAAAAAGATAAGAAAGGATTAGATGAAGAGAGAGAGGTTGACCGACAATTCTTTCTTTCAGAGCGATCAGTTCCTCCTCTTCCCTCTTCCTCTGGTCAAAGTGAACTTCTATCAGAGTCTGCAGTTCCAGCAGATCTTTCTCCATCCGCTTCCTGTGGATGTCCTACAGAAAGAATGAAACCCAAATAGAGGAACTGGTGCAGACAGAGTGAGTGCTGAAATGCAGAAGTGTATAATGAACCATGTGTTGGTGCTGATAGTGAAGAATTTAACTCACATCAAAATCTACTCGCTCCCCTTCTGGGATTTTGGGGGCGCCCAGCTGAGAGTGCATTGGCCTGCATGCATGCAAGCACACACATACAATATGTAACTAGCGTAACAGAAACTGTTTGTGCTGAAATGACAAATATTTGTAATGCTCTGTCTGTATGTGAGAGAGAGAAAGAGGTGGGAGTCATACTTGTATTTCGGGCGTTCCTCTTCTGACCCGAAAAAAAAGGAGGAGCATGGAAAACACAAAGTCCACTTAGTCACAAAAAAAAGTCCACTTAGTCACTGAACTCTTTCACCCCATCTGGTGTGAATTAGGCAGTTACAATATGATATCTAGTTAGTAACTACACCCTAAAGATGGCATGATACCACCCTATCTTTTCCAATACTGATACTGATATTGACACCTTGTGGATCGGCCGATACGTCATCCTCGTTTCAGATTTTTTTTCTTTACAGACTGTAGACCCCATGTGTCAAACACAAGGCCCACAGGCCACGTCAGGCCCATGACACAGTCTTTGGCCCATAAAATTATTTTAATTTTCTATTCTTAGTAGCCTGTTTCACCCTGAGATGCACTACAGTCCCCAGCATGCACTGCAACATAGTGTGCATTTCCAACCCCCTTCCCCCAACAACAATCTATGGGCCAGCGGTTACACAAAAAGAAAACATGCCTGGTGTCTAGTTCAAGCAAATAGGTAGTTTTTTAAAACAATTTATCTTTATTTAGAATTATTTTTGGACGAGTATTCAGTGCCTATTATGCCTGTTGCCGTTTTGGCATAATTTGGATAAACAATGGCTCGATCGGGTCAAGGCAAAATGTTAAGTAAAACTGAAATAAAAAAACACAGCTGGCCCACAGATTTGCTGAGATTTTGTTTTAAATATGGGACTTTTAGTGGTTGAGTTTGACCTCCCCTGCTGTAGACTGTAGACTACAAATTGTAAGTCTATGTCAGTTGCCTTATGAACACTGCCCTAGAGTAGAGTGTTAACCTAAACAAAGACACTAATACCCCACAGCTGACACCACATTACACATTGTGAGTCTGCTATTTCAGGACAGATTTGTTACAGGACTTAATCAGATTCACTCCTTTTTCCCTTCGATATTCAATACAGCATTTTCTGCATATATCAGCCCGATAAAGGTACCCATCAATATTGATGTGCGATCGGTACTAGATTCAAATTATCAATGTTCCTGTCCACAAACCAACAGAAAAACAGAATAGAAGAGGACAGCAAAGAGCCTCAGTTCAGACAGATGCAGCCAGAGGAACAAAGAAAATACTGAAAGTAACACATACACATTTTGATGAATGGGGAGTCAGAGCTGATGATATGAAAGTTGATCTGGATGAACGAAAAGTTCAAAATGAAGGCAAAATGCAAATTTGCACATCTCCAAATGGAACTGAAAGTTTATACAGTACCGTGCAAAAATATCAGGTACCTGAGAAAATTGGATATAAAAAGCTCTTTATCTGGTCAGTAAGCATTAATGTACTCACTCACTCACTCTGTCTATGTATGGTTCTATCTAGCACCAAAAAGGGTTCTTCTGCTGTTACAAGCTTGACACCGTAACAGTAGCAGAACCCTTTTTTGGTGCTATATAGAACCATTTTCAAAAAGGTTCTATACAGAACCATATACAACACATTCTCCATCAATCTGAAGAACATTTCACCATGCAAAGAACCATTTAAGAATGCAAAGGGTTCTTTGAGTGTTCATGGTTCTTTATAGAACCATTGTCTTTACTAAAGAACCCTTGAAGAACCATGTCTTGTACAGAATAATGATTCTAATACAGGATTTGACGTTTCACACAGGAACACAGAGAGACAGCTTCATGTTTCACACTCAAGGCCTTTTCTCTTCCTCTGCCTGGAGAGAGAGGGAGTGTGAAATAGAGGAATAAAGAATGCAGACCTCCACTCTTTAGTGCAGGTCTGTTACACAGAGGGAGTCAGTGATTAGAATTAGTGATGGTTTAACACAGCAGTGACAAAGACATCAGAAACCTTACCTCCAGCCTGTTCCCTAAAAGAGAAGAGAAAAGTCCTGTTAATGGAATTAAAGTTTAATGGAGTTTTGAAATGCTATTTGAATAAAAGGTGGACTGAGCTACTCACTCATGCTCCTCCTCTATGTCAGACATGGTAGAAAATGCAGACACTGGAGACAGAAACAGAGACAGAGAGAGAGACAGAGACAGAAGGTCATTAGATGCCTCAGCAACACAAAAACGCCTCCAGCCCTGTTACCAATGAGAGACAAAGTGACAGAGAGGGATCGAAACGTTTCAACTGGGAAACACTGCTGTATTAGCGCTGGCTAAAGTTATTATTAGCACTTAATCCACAGCCATGAGCTGATAATGACTCATTTCAGGGAACATTGTGTGACTTACCCAGAAACACATACCATGTTTGTTGAAGCATTTGTATGCAATTAGCCCGAGTTTAGATACGGCTTTTTGAAACTACAAATGAATTTTTGCTCCAAAACGCATTCCAATTTTCAAGATTTCTTGTTATTTTTTTTATGATATACATTGTTGGAAGTTGGCTTTACACATACAAGAAGGATCAATGCTACACTATGATTAATACCAAATTTATTTATACATTTTCTCTTATTCTTTTCAAAAACTTGCCATGTGCAAAATTGTTACAGATGGATAAACAACATTTTGGAATTAAACTTTTCAAATGCAGCCACATCTTAAACCAGAAGAGCAGCAATGCGACAGAAAATACTTTGAGATGAGAGAATCTGTTTGTTGATTGACAGTAAGGCCTGTTGTACTCGATTAAATGGCACATCTGAGTGAATCACTGCAGTCTACCATGTGGAGTCTTTCAATGGATATGTTTTGGCTGAAAAGCCACAACAACTTCCACTAAACAAAATGAAAATGGCCTTTTGGAGGGGTTTGCAAATCCTTCACATAGAATAAGTTCTCTTAATGGAAAAATTTGACTTGAGATTTAACTAAAAGGACAACTGACTGATAGCCAGATATGGACAACAGCAAAGCTCGTAATGAGATGGAGCAACTGTGTTATAACAATGATAACAATGGGGATATGATCTAAAGCTGGCTTAAATCTCTGATCCCTCAGAGCTAACATTTAAACCTGACCTCAGCCAGTCAGCATGAACAAACATACCAGAGACAGAGAGGGAGAGAGGGAGAGAGAGAGAGAGAGAGAGAGAGGTTGATCCTGTATTGCCTATAAAAATTGGATGAGTAAGTGTCTTAAAAATTTACCGCAGGTAATATAGTTTATATGAGAAACAGAGAACATCAGTCATACGGGGCATCAAAAAACTACATTTGCAAAATCCATTTATCACATCAGCTTCATCTGCTGCTGATATGTTGGCCTACTTGCATTCAGCTAATAATTCTATGAGCTAAAACTTCATTGAGGAACGCATTTCACATTCCCTGGTGGGCTGCAGTTCAAAACCATGTACGAGTTTCTGAAATCTGGTTGGCACAGACATAAACAGACAGGCTACTGCACTAGTATCCCAATGGTCCTGCTTCTAAAGACATATTTTCCTGCAATGTTCAGCTCCAACCCCCCATCTAACACTCTCTAGAGCTAACAAAGATGAGGACCCCCAGTGGCTGAAGTTCCTGACAGAATGGTAACATACTGAGTTATAGAGGACTCAATATCCCTCATGAAGAGCTTCAGACTATTAAAGACAAAATGAATGAAAGGAAATGAATGTATTAATAAGCAGGTAAATTAGTTCATACACACAGTGATGGAAGTTGCGAATGCTGAAATAAAAGCATGAGTGTCAAATAAACATACAGAAGTGCCCATGCTTGGCTGAAATAAGAGGGTCTTACCTCTCACTGTGGGGAAAGTATGTGATCACAGTGTGAAGAGAATGAAGAAGTAGATGAAGGTGTGCTGGTGGTGTATGCTGAAGAGGAAGTGTCTCACTGGACAGGGCGGACTGACTGTGCGTGTGTGTGTGATGGACAGGGTGGAGTGTGTGGATTATAGGGATTTTGTAGGAGAAAAGTTTGTAAAGGATGATAGACAGACGAGCTCAGATGATAATTACATCCTAACGCCAGCCACTTGGGTCAACCGTGGAGCATCTACCAATCAGGATAGAAACGGGTGCCACAACACACACTAAAGAAACCCTCATAGTGGGGCAGAGTCGCGTGTGTGAAGATTGGCAGGTGGACCCAGCCTTAAGCTCTGTGTACCAACTGGTATAAGGCCAACTATGAGACCCCCCTTCTCTGTCTCTCTTTCTCATGCACGCCTATGAAGTGTGGCCCAACCAATTTTAAAAAACGTGGGCAGAATGACAGTTACTGGGCAAAACATTCTGATAAAACTGAATGATAAAGCTGGATTCATTTCACATGGTCAAAAAAATTTAACTCCACTGAATTTCCATTAGTTTTAGTTCACCCTTATATAATACAACTGAAATAATGTGCAGTTGTTAATTTTCTCAGACTCAAAAAGCAGAAAATTTAATGGAATGTGTAATTTATACATGATCATTTCTAGTCTTTCTTCCAAAAACTGAATGAACATGAAAAATGACTTTTAAAATGAAAATTGAGGCCTTTAACAATGTGTTAATGATTCCATTTCTTTCTATTAATAAGCTATAACGAAAGACAACTGTCAATATAATGGAAACATTTGAAATGTCAATTTTGTTCATTCATTAGTTATTGTGATTGTACTTATTATATTTATGATATTATGCAATGAACTTTCATTGATATTATCCATGAAGCAACAACAATAACAAAAACAAAGCAACAGCATTCAACATTTATGGTAGAAGACAAAACAAATTGTGTGGATGTAAAAAGAAGCTTCTTAAGATGGTGACAATGCATTTGATTGAGTTTTGTGTTTATCTCGTACAGATCTGGGTGTTTGAAAATAGCCAAATCTAACTTTTATACCTTATGTAACTAGAGAGAAGGCATCTTCGGTATTGACCAGTCAGTTGTGATGATAAAATTGGTACATTTTTCCGACTTAAACACAGAGAGGTGCACTGCTCAGGCTAGAGGAGTGTGCTTTTCAGTCATGGTCCATATTGAAGCATGCTGCAGAGTTTGAAAAGGCATCATTTGAAAGGGGGCGAACACGCTCGTCTATATTCTTTGTTTAGATTAACGTTTTCATGGGTTCTCTTCTGAAGTTTTTTGTTTTGTTATCCTGTTGCTAATGGTTAGGAGACATTTTAAATGTTCTTGCTATTTTAAGTTAGTGTTTTGTGCTCATCAATTCAGCAATGCTATAAAAATGTGAAGAAACGGATACTGTCAATGTCTCTGTACAGTGTTATAAGAACAGAAGAAAATTCCATTATATTCTAAATTTATTATAAAATGTCTTCAGAACTCAGATGTTAAAGACGTAGTCATTCAGAGTGGTCTGATGCGAAATGGGCCATTTCAGAGAAATTTTTTATAAGTGTTGACAGAAACCAGACATCCAAAGAGCTTTAATGTCTCGAAAAGCTACCTCACACAAATCTCTTACATGAAATAGATACATGTTGCTTAATGCCTAAGAAATTTTGTTCAAATATAGGCACTGTACAGCAAAGTAACCAAAGAAGACTTCTAAATCTCAATGACTGAATTATGTATAAACTTTGAAAATTTGTTGGAATTCTTTCTAATTATCTGCAGAGGGTAGCAATTTCTTTCACGGTATTGTTCAAATCACAAAATAGGCAACTTCTTAAGAATATGGGCTCTTAATCAATGGGATTTTCAGCAGTCAGGCAAATCTGAGAAAACAAGCTGATTTTACTGGCCAACTGATATCAGTTTTATGCTGTTTGCTTTGTTTTATAAATCAGTCCACAAACACACACGAGTGTACTTCAATCTCCTTTTATTAAAAAAAGTGATTTCAGTGTTTCATAGTTTTTTCCTTCTTTTCAGTTACGTATAAAATACAGAAGCGCGCTAGAGTAATACCAAAGAGAGAAAGATTAAAGCCCTGCTGTACAGAAGCCTGGAGAGAAAGTAAGAAGAAGCAGAGAAGGCAAACTGAACACAAGCTTACAAAATCACACACTAATGTTCGTTTTGTGCAGTTAAGCGTCAAGGATACAGGACAGTACTGGCCCAAAGACTGGATGGACTGATGAGTGCAGAGATGAGCTAAAAAGTAAACGTAAAAACTGAAAGTGTGACCTGGCTTCTGCCTAAGTGATTGGCTTAGATTTCCGATTTCAGCTTTAATGTAACAGAATAAAAACACAACAGTGATAATCACAGTAACAGCAATCAGAACTCAATGCATAAAGTGGTTATTAAGTTAAAGAGTGAAGGAGGTAATGAAACACAGGTGTATGTGAATAAATTATAAACTCTTCAGCGCTGGCCAACTAATTTCCTTACGTAACTTCGGTAAATCACTCTGATGATACGAGCTGCTGCACAAAGATTAACAGTACATGTAAGAAAACAGCTCTGCTGCTCAAACTGTGGTTGTCTTGAACAGATCTTTGATTAAGAATCTGCATATTTTTATAGAATAACAAAAAAGCAGCACTCGCTGTAGGTTTATTATTATTAACAATAATAATAATAATAATAATAATAGTAATAGTAAATACCCCTTGTTTTATGTCTGTATAATAGTACAATTGTGAAAGACAGGATCTCAGTCTCATCGAGCAGTGTTTTAACATTCTGGCTCATGTTTGATTCCACACCTTCATCTGACCGAATCTCCTACCTCACAAATTTACTTCCAGCTGTCTGAATGTTGCATTGACATTGCCATAGTTACCCTACATCTCCAAGGCAGCTCCACAGCAGTGAAACTACATCATGCCGTCACTGAGATAGCAGCAGCCCTCAGACTGCATAAGCATTTTCCCTTCAGGCATGACATTTTCCTTGGTTACAGTAAAATTATACTTAAATATGGTGTTATGCACATTAATTTTTTCATGTGACCCTTGCATTTCTACCCTATTAGATTTGGGTCACTTATTTCTAAGTGCCATAGCACAACTACCTATTTTTTTTTATTATCATCATTCATGGTGGAGTTTGTTTCTCTGTGATGACTCTAAACTGTCGAGATGCTTGCACAGTTATTATCCCACAGCTGCAGGATATTGATAACTATCGAAGCCCGTTTTACCACTGTAAAAATAATTGCCCATAATTGTGACTTCCTATCTCATAATAATGAGATACTATCTCATAATTATCATTTGCCATCTCATAATAATGAAATCTCATGACATGGGGGTTTCCCATAGTTTTGACTTAGCATCTCAATTATTAACGTAGTATATCATAATTATATCCTGTTATCTCATAAACAACTTGGTATCTCAAGTTAACTTTCATAATTATAACATACTATATGGCCTTTTGTGGAAACGAGTTTCCATAGAAATTCTATGCAAAGCTAAAGACAGAATTTGCTAACTTTAGCTTTAAAACTTGAAAAAGACTGAAAACTCCTGATTGGTTCACATCTGGATGTAAGGTCCAATCCACAGTCTCTTACTGTTGAAGTTATCTGAAGAAGCATTTCTGAACTTTTCCTTTATGTGAGACTAATCAATGTAGTTCAATAACGAGGCCACCAGCAGTTCAGAAATTGGCTTCAGTCATGCATTAATGCGTTGCGTGACCAGCTCCGCCACACGACCAATATGTAACCTGGGCATGTGGCCCGGCACTGCTGGAACACAAGGTCATTTTCTCAGCCTAATGACCAGCCTGAGACCTTGATACAAGTCCCAAAACATTTCTAGTGATTATTTTATTGATACGTTATTAACATTCTATATGCTGCTTTTTTATGGAGCAGTGTGAGGTGGCTTAACATTGTGATAGTTTGTTTTACAAGAGCAGCTTGACTAAGATTGTCCTTTACAATGTATTTACTGAAGTAGGTCTGGGACATCATAAAGTGTACCAAGTCCAAGGTTCAGACTGGTCTGTAAACTGAAAAAAGGCTTTTTAAAATACTAAGGGGAAAAAAAACAGGTTACTTCCTATTGTATGCCATGTGGCCACTGGAGAAACAATAATATGCAGCAATGCAAAGTGACAAAATGTTGCCCTTTTGATTTTAAATCCATGGTAGAAGGCAGTGAATATGGATTCACAACTCAGAATTCATTTCTAATCCTTGTCTGGATCTAAGAAGGGGTCTTACAAATGCAGGGGGCAAACACTATGTTGAAATGATAAAAGCTGTAACAAAAAGCTGTCCTTAACTAACACATCTCACTGAATTTGCTTTTGATAGCATTAGATTCCTGTCAAGACTGGCAACTTGTTACATTCATATAAAATGCTATATAGATGAGTTTGTTACATATGCCACACGCACACTGACCACATGGGGGATTGGAGATTACATCAGGTCAGGCCAAATCAATTGTTGCAACTGTGGACAATACATGCAAAAGACCCCTTTATACTTGTTTATTCCTACCCCCTGCACGTTTAAGGCCTTTAGAACATGAACAATCACTTTGCTTTCTGCTTCTGCTACCATTCCTTGCAGTCTAGTAGCACCCTGTCTAGTTACTAAATTTGTTTTGCCAATAATGGCTCAGCCATTATTGTTTCAGTACCAATCAGTGGTTCTACCCCACCTCTGGTGGTCTTTTGTTTTTTTGTAACACACACACACACACACACACACACACACACACACACACACACACACACACACACACACACACACACACACACACACACAAAAAAAAAACAAACAAAAAGGACAACCTATCAATCCCTAAAATCTATTTGTACATTTTTAGTGCCTTGCATGATGTCAACCCCCTGAAACACGCCAACAAGCCCTAACCAACAGTGCCCCGAAACACCCAAAATCCACCGCCGCCATCACTCCTCTCTCATCCTACAACTCCTTCTTGCTCTGGGGTTTTGGGCTGTGGTTCTGCTCGCTTCGGGATGCTTCTTTTTGGTTGACGGTCATAAGCTGCAAAAGATCCCCCAGAGCCTTCCTGATCTGCTTCCCAAACTTATGAGAGTCCTGAGAGAAAGACAGAGAGGCACAAAAGTTACTTTTCCATTTACATTGAGGGAAAAGTTTTGTTATATAACATACTTACAGTGTACAAATCCACTTCAAATTTACATATAACCTCGTTTGACTTTGTACTTATGAAAAAAAAAGTATTCATCAGCATAAACAAATATGTTTGTTTCAAAAGGTTACATACATAATACATAAAATATATGTGCAGAAAAGGCCTCTGCTAAAACTGTGTGTCCAAAATTTGCAGACAAACATTTAGACAAATCAATTCTTTAGGAACAAAGTACTCAGGTCAGACAAAACAAAAACAGAACTCATAAATCAGCTCATCATGTTTGGATAAAGAAGGGTTGCACAAATTTATCCTACAGTGAAATATGGAGGTGAGTGCATCATAATATGGGGCTGTTTCTCTACAAATGGTACTAGAGTGTTACACGTCATCAAAAGAAACATAAATGGAGTGATGTACTGGGACATATTAGAGAATTTAATATGAATCCTTACTTTTCTATTCATGTGTGTAAACACAGAGTCAAAAGATTGTAAGTGTGTAAATTTGAAGTGGATATATGTACTGGAACTATATTAAACAACACACGTCTGAATACTTATTTTCCCCTCAGTGAAGGATGAAACACAGACTGCACATCAAACGTCTTCTTTTTTAAAGCCAAATAATTCTGTTCAGTTTCATTCTTACTTCTGAATTACGTACGAAAACATAACACAAACCAGCTATTTACTAATACATTGGGTATATTTCTCAATGCTCAAATTCATGTCTATCAAAATGTCTTTGCACAGAGAGAACTATACTTGAAAGCATGTATTGAAACTATTTTTGGTCGAAGATTGCTCAAACAATTGGAAGGTTTGAGGCCTGATGAGTTGAGATGTCACAAATGGGGTGTTTGGCTTTATTTCCAAAGTAGAACTTTGGACAGCTGATCTTTGAGTATTGCATTTTTTTTTGCTAAATCTAAACTGCTTTCTGTTTAATACATTAACATACTGAGATTGGTATCCACAATGTTGGCTACAGAATGTACTTGTATCAGGCACATGCAAACATTTTACACAGACACATACACACACAACTCACAGTTTGCGGGCACGAATGTTTGCTAGAGACATGAAAAGTGATGATATCCTCTCCAATTAAGGAGTAGGATACACCATAGCCATCATCAGCAACCTAAAACAGAAACAGATATGTGAAGTTACAAAACAGATGTAATGTTTCCCAAACATATATAATCTGATTACTTGGTACTTTAGACTGCATTAATGTTCGTTTGAAACCATTTTTCTAGGCAATATGTGAATTTCTGCTTGTAAAACACCAGACAACATTTAGAATAAATTCAAACAGTTTGATTAGGTGAATAGGACTTTAGCAAAGTACTGTATATACACAAGTGAATGTGCAACTAATGAGTAAATAAACAAATGAGTAGGAATGCTTATCAAGATTCCAAGACTTCAGAGCCTATCCCAAGCGATATATATGTGAAACTATTTCTTAAGACAGTATGTGATAACATGGCTGCTCATTCTATTAAAAACCTGCACCATGTGGATTCTCAGTCTGTAATCAGTGTCTAAGCAAAACTGACTACAGGCTGAACAGTCTGTTCCACAATGCTAAGTGAAGACATTGACAAAATGACACCCAATGACTTTATTAAAAGACTAAAAACTGAAGTGATCTGAGCAGTACTATGTTTAACTATGTCATAATACTATGATTAACCTGGATCTATTTTGAAACAACTAGTAACACAATAAATAGTGGAAGTTGGAACTCCATTTTTTGTTCTTCCAAATTCAGTAAAATCTTTTGTGTGCAAGAGTGAGTGAAAGAGACTAACGGGTCCGAATCCTCCACCACAGGTTAGGTATTCTGGATAGTTAACAAAGTCAAACATTTCCAAATGCTGCACTGGAGTCTGACTGGTGGAAAGACGCCAGGGCTCAGAAAACACCTAAAACAAAAAAACACAGAGGCATGTCATGGGACACATCTCCATTTTCAAACCCGAATAACTCTACCTTTTTTTAAGGGACAAAACAATATTCCATTTCCACACACACCTCTTTAAGGAAGGGTGACTCTATGCCCAGGTACTTGGAAACGATGTAGAGGCAGAAGAGGTGTCTGTCTATACCTGCGCCTGTCATGGCCAGCCGGTACAGCTGCTGATGCTTCTCAGACGCACTTTGGCACAAACGCCTACACACTTCCACATCCTACAGAGGGAAAAAGAGGTATGCAGTATGTACGTGCATTTTTCACATATGTACATGAAAGCATCGACAACTCATTACTAAACAAATGCTGTTTACTTTTGTGTGCACCTCACCTCTCCGTTCTCAAAAGCTCTGAGGAATTCACAGCTCTCGCTTGAACAGGAGCGCACCGTCTCGGTTCTGCCCTCACGGAACAGACGGGTCATAGATGCCTCATATGTCAGGCAGAACATTCCCCTGTCCTGAGAGAGAGAGAGAGAGAGAGAGAGAGAGAGAGAGAGAGAGAGAGAGAGAGAGAGAGATATAAAATAAATCTACACACAACCAAAAAAAAAATCTGAATGAACTGTTTGCATACTGCATTCTTTATACTGGTATGGGAAATTTATTGTTCATAAAGCCTTACCCTGTAGAAAGCTAGCTGCAGCGCTAATTGGACGAAGCCATCAGGGCTCATTTTGGCCTTTTTGATGCTGCCTTTGCCGAAGTCGTGGAATGCAAACACATGGAAGTCAACATCATCTGCCAGCACCTGTGCTACGGACAGAGACTGAGCCAGACGCTCCTGGCACTGAGAGGGGAGAAGAGGGGAGTGGGAGAGGGAGAGGGAGAGAGATGGATCAAAAATGTTGTATACAGACATGTCAGCAGAGATTTGGTTTTGTGTGAATATCTTCCATTTTGCATGTAGATAGTATGCAAACAAGGTTAACGGATGCAAACAAAAGCTCATCATCCGTTTGTACATATGCATGGCAGGAAAAATTATTCATGTAAGAGCTAGGGCCAACAATGAGTTTTTTGGCCACAAGAATAAATATGCAAGATGCTTTCCCCTTGAAATTCAGTGAAAGCTGAATAAGAAAATAATTCAGTGTAACTAAGAACAACATCAGCAACAAACAAACAAACAAACAAAAAAAACCCAGATTTACTGGGTTTACTATCGTTTTCATGTAGAATATCTCTCTATGTTTTTTGTTTTCACTGTGTTATGCTTCTATTTTGTACATTTTGAGCAAATGATGTATTGTGGAGTGTGTTCTATAGGTGTGAATGAACAAGTACCTGTGAAGGAATGTCCCATGTTAGTCTCTGTGGTCGGGGAAGTGAAGGGTTCACATCACCTTTGCAATGTCCCTCTTCGTTGTAGCCTAACTGGAAACAATCTGTAGCCAGGACATACTGAGAGAGAAAGAAAAAAGAAAAAGAAAGAAAGACAGAGAGCAAGAGAGAGAGAGAGAGAGAGAGAGAGAGAGAGAGAGAGAGAGAGAGAGAGAGAGAGAGAGAGAGAGAGAGAGAGAGAGAGAGAGAGAGAGAGAGAGAGCCATGACTGACAGTGCAAAACGAGATTATCCTATGTTTATTCATCCATTAATTTGTTCACTCATTTAAATGTTAATTCTTTATTAAAACTTCCAACATAGCAGTCCTACCTCCCACATACGGGAAACGATAGGAGCGTCTGCCCACGAGTGTTCAGCATTCAGGCCGTTCTTTCCATTCTTATACATCACCACTGAAAACGACTTATCAAACCACCTAATAAAAATAGACAGCACATCAATATTACTAAAGAGCTTCAAGACAGCTTCTGTTTCTACAATTGTACTTTTGTGTATAAGGATGAAACATCTTCACATGGTCACAAAAACCATAACGTAGAGGAAAAAAACAAAGCTGTAACATTCTTCTGCCAGGTGTACACCCTATGACAGAGGTGCCCAATTCTGGTCCTGGTGTTCTACCTGCAGAGTTCAGCTCCATCCCTAATCAAACACACCTGATCTAGGTGATGAAGGCCTTCAAAGCCATCAGAATATTATGTGTTGGATCTGAACGTCCCCCCTGAGCCAAGTATGGATTTGACAAACTCACCTGTCATAACATTTTCCATGTAGGAGAGACTTGGCATAATGATCAAGTGTAGCATCCGGATCATCTCCCTTCTTAACTAGTTCATCATGTTCCAGGGTAACAAAGAATGCAGCTTTCTCAATGCAATCCAGAGATCTCTTATTCACCCCAGAGCTGAAGAACTCCTTTCTGGCCTGAGCCCATGGAATTCTGGAGTCATGGAAAAGCAGTCAAGGACGTAGGAAGTAGTTAGTACCTTTATAATTTCTGGGATTTTTAGAAACATAGTGCATTCTTAAGGCTTTTGAATGGGACATTTCTAAAAAACAGCTGTTTTGGATTACTTGATAAAAAAGCACAAATCTGTTATTATACTATGACTATGAATACTGAATATATATACTATCAATATTATGATACTAATTATAAATTCTGCTTGTCAGATCATGCATTCTATAATTAATTTGCTGTGAAACTTCAAAGTCTAGAATTTTCAAGCAAAATAATAAATGGCTGCCTGGCTAAGTGCTATCTCAATTTAAGCAAAGTGCTGTTTTTCATGCTTTTAAGAAGATTAATTTCAGTGTACACTATATAAATTATTGCACACAAGAAAACTATGTAAAAAGTAACTGCTACTTCCAAAAAGGCCCCACCAATCTGGTGTATAGATACAAAACATCCAAAAAAGTGTGTAAATTCCCAAACAACAGCTTGGTCCAAATACACAATTAAAGCCAAACCCTTCCAAAGCTCCCATTACAATACAGTCAATTGTAAAGGTCTTTAAAAGTGCATGCACATATTTGCAATGTTTGTATGTGTTCATTGCCATGCAGGTTAATGTCTGTGTATACCTGTCCCCTGCAGTGAACGCTCCCAGTTTTTCCTCTCCTGGCGCTGGGGTGGACGGGTCGTCAAGGATACGCTGGATCTGGTATTCTATCTCCCGTGGAGAGAGCATCCGGCCGGCCTGGTAAAGCCACAGACGGAAATAGCGACCCCTATGGTATACTGCCACATACTCGCTGTCCTTCCAGTGTACCACTGTGTCTACAGAGCGTGAGGCAAAAAACAAATAAGCAGACCGATAAACAGACATGTAGACAAAGAGAACATTTAACATTTCAACTTATCTTGTTCCTTGATTAGTTGTACATTTTGAATATAGAACTTGAATCATTTAAGCACCGTTTCTCATCTTTTCCAGAAATCTATGCAGTAAATATATAGCTGTTAATCACAAATGTTTTTGCACAGGTAATCCTTCTTTTTCATAAAAATGTCACTTTCTGGTCCCAAAGATACGATCAAGGTAAATTAAAGAATGCTGCTGAAATTCCTCCAAATTTGCTAAAATCTTCACTGGGTGCAATGTGTTAAAATACAGGCTGGAGAAAGTATACGAAAATGGAAAATTTGGAAAGATTAATCTCCAAAGACCACACGCGTTTATGTACAAACCCAATTCTAAAAAGTTGGTACAGTGTGTGAAATGCAAATAAAAAAAGAAAGCATTCATTTGCAAATCCACTCCAATTTAAACAAAAGCAAGACAAAATTAAGACACTTATTGCTTTCCTCTTGAAATTCAGTGAAAGTCGAATAGGAAAATATTTCAGTATAACTAAGAACATATTATATATAAAATGTTTAAGTATATATAAAATACTTATTGCTTTACCTTAACTTCAATGTTTTATACGCTCATTCTGCAATTAACACCTGCAACATGTACCACAAAAGTTGGGATGGGGCAATTTAACAGAAAACATTTTACAGAGCTTATATAATCATGTCTGGGTATAAAAGGAGCATTGAGGAAAGTCAGTGTCCTTTATGAGCAAGCAAAAAGCAAAAAGTCCAACTGCTTAAGAACAACATTTCTCAGCTAGAGTTGGCATAGATTTTAGGTATTTTTCCCCCAATTTTTAAGACATTTATGGGTAAATATTCATGGAAAGGTTTTCATTAGGTCATGACTAATATAACCTGATCTAGGCTATTTGATACATTATTTCATTGAGAAGGATGTAGCTATATAAATATATGGTTTTCCAAACTCAGTGTTCATATAGCTTACTTTGGGTATATCTTATAGATTTTACAAGATTTGAATTTGTTTATGTACCACTGCCGTAAGAAGGTGGTATTAAATCCAGAGTGGAGAAGCGAATGTCAGCCTCAGTTAGCTTGGTGCTAATGTAATATAGTGATTCCCATAGATTAACTAGCAACAATTGGTGTTATATTAACTAAAGAAATTGAATGAAATCATTTCAAAAGAAAGGTGCCTTATGTTAAAACCACATACATTTAATTTTGATGTGTATTTTAAAGAAAAAGACGTTTAAAAACATGCAAAAATTACTGAAGTGGCAGCTTCTGTATTACGCCCTCTGTTGGCAATCTAGATATATAACTGTGGTTATAACCAATTTTTCTCACTGTCTTACTAGCAGTTAAATAGGGTAGTGATAATTCTGCTGTCTTGAAAGCAGGAAATTGTCAATTCAGTGTCATATGAGGAAGGCATTCTTTTAAGGCTGCCATGGTGGGGGATTATGGGAAAATGCAGATTTTTGATATGATGAAGCTTAATATGATAAGAAATATAAACTAACAAAGTAAGAAGAGGTCAGTTTTCATTTCTGGTCGACTTTAATCATATCTCTTTCTTTCTGTCTTTCTCCCTCTCTCTCTATCTCTCTCTTAGGTTCAGGCTGCTGTGTCAGTCTATTATAGCCCATAAGCTCTTTGACTATGTGGTGCTAGCCTATTACTATCAAAAGATTTAGGGAATGCAGAAAAAACACTTTGCATAAAAAACAAAGCCAAAAACCACTACTGATTGCCCATGGCCTTCGATCCCTCCGAAGGCACTACATTTAAAACTGTCATGCTTCTGTAATAGATATCTCTGCATTGGCTTGGGAACACTTTGACAAACCGCTGTCAATACCACTGTTCTTTGCTGCTGTACTACGCACAGTGGAAGCCATATGTCAGCATCTTATGGAAATAATGGATGCTGTGTTCTCTGGGCCAAAGAGATAAAATGTTTTCAGATTGTTACTAGCGTCAAGTTAAAAAGTTAAAGTTCCACGTGCTGCAACAGCATGGCTGCGTAATCAGAGTGCGCATATACTAATCTGGCCTGCCTGTCTCATACTGAACATATGTGGAACATAAAGTGCAAATTGGCAAATTCCCCATATGGTTGTGCAACTGAAGACTTGTATAACTTAAGAATGACAAACAATTCTGCTTTTAAAACATCAACTGTGTTTTGAATTCCCAAAAGTTTAAGATGTACTGTTAAAAGGAAAGTTGATATAACACAGCGGTAAACATTTTTGGAAAATGCTCCAGGCATCACATTAAGAACGAGCATATATTTATGAAAAAAAAACAACAAAAACAAAATTAATATTCATAAGGTAAAACGAGTCAAATCAAACTTTACTTATATTGCGCTTTTAAGAGCAGCCGTTGTCACAAAGCATCTTTACAGAAAAATCCAGGTCCAAGTCCCCGTGAGCAAGCCAATGGTGACAGTGGCCAGAAAAAACTCCATAAGAGCAAGAGCAAAAAAACCCTGAGAGAAACCAAGACTCAAAAGAGGAACCCATCCACCTCTAGTCGACACCGGATAGCAAACAATAAAAGCAGAAAAAACATGAATTTAATACAGATCAAACAGAACTTACTGATCACTGCTTTCTGTTTTAATTGGCATTTTACATACTGTTCCAACCTTTTTGGACTTGGGTTTGTATTTGTACACTGTGTGTGTGGATGTACCTGTGATAGTTCCTGGAATTCGACAACTGTCAAACAGCTTCTCAAACTGATAGGAACAGCAAGGAATACAGGACCTCAACAACCACTGAACAGAGAGAGGGAGAAAGGGAGGGAGGATGTGGAAGAAAATGGCTCAAACGGAACAGATGAACCACATGACCAGATAAAAAGGAAGGGGGGGAGGAACAAGACAATGAAAAAGACAACAAAAAGATCAGGACGTGGGCAGGAAAAAAAGCCAAGCTTCAAAGACCAGGGAAGAAAGCGACAGTGTATGGTTTAACAGACGCAGGTGCGAGAACATGGAAAAGGTATGAACAGAGAGAGACAAGAAGTGATCAGGTTTTAGCAGGAAAGTATTCCAATCAGAGAGGCAGGTTGAAAAGTCAGACAAAACACACAGCCACACACACAAAATTCTGCAGTTGATGGGGATGACCATCTCTCTCTCTCCATGTCCATCTCTCTTGAAGGTCCTTTTCTCTAATACATACTCCCAAATTAGTTTTAACCTTCATCAAAATGTGTGTGATGTGAGTGTCTGCCTCTGTAATCTGTAATCTTTTAAAGCATTACTGTGTTTGTGTGACAGCTTTGGGACTTGTATTAACTGTGCTAGAATAGAGGTTTGGGTGCGTGTATGTGTGTGTGTTTTACCGGTCTCCTCTCCTGGAATGCGTGTGGTGTTGAAAATCCTCTCACACTGAGCTGAACACAGAGGAATGAAAGTACCAGGAATACGACTCTGGGACAAACAGAGAGAGAGGTAGGCGAATAGAAGAAGAGGAAGGAATTGAATGGCGTGACAAAAAAATACTTTTTTAAAAAATCAAAACGGCCTGGCAAAATAGGGAAATTTGTCCATGACTTTGTTTATTAAGGGCTGAAATCCTACATTTTACTGTATTTTTGTCATCTTATGTCCACTTATAAAGTTTGCCAGGTTTTATGTATCAAAAACAGTCATAATTAATTAATTTTTACATAACTGTTTTCCAAAATCTCTTTATCCCCTCATACAGATAACATACCTAGTCTAAATGGTTACTCACACATGATGTTTATGACAAACAACCAAGCGCATGAAACATGGAGTAGAGAAGCTCTTTTTTCAAAGAAGGAAAAATAAATATACATAAGCTTGTAGAAAGAAAAGAATTTATGACAGTAAAACAGTAACGCTGTCTCCACTGCATTAGTGCTTCATGGAGGAAAAATTGCTTACTATTCTTAAAATCTACGCAATATGATTTGCTTCGAGAAGCTCCGTCCTGGTCCAAGAGCTGTATATGATCTAAAATCACATATGCCTGTACAGCACAAGTTGCCATTGTGATATATGATCTGAAATCACATATGCCTGTACAGCACAAGTTGTCATTGTGATATACCCCAGTAAAATGTGACCCACCACCGTGAGACAGAAAATCAAGAGTTAAAACTAAGCTTTAAGTTGGCTGGCTAAGCAAGAAGTTTCGTTGTTTCGTGACGGACAGCCCTGGTGTCTCTACAACATGTTTTTACTGCATTATAACAATGAAATAAAAAGATATGTGGCTATTGCTGAGTGGACTCACAGGTTTGATTTCCTCTTTATTTAGTTTCCTGCGGTACATCATGACAGCATGCAGGATGTTCCCCGCTCTCGCGGCCTGGATTGGTGTTGGTGTTGCATACATGAAGTCCTAATGAAAGCAAAAACTGAAATGGTTTTCTCCCTTTTCAAAGCACACAACAAATAGCCTTGTAACATTTTAAATATCTTATGTTAAACCACAGGTACCAACATACCATGCCATAGTAGTTGCTGTTCACCATGATAGGACCTCGTCCCCTTAGGTAGATGTACTCCTCCCACCAGTCACTCACCTGTGTTGGACAGACAGTTTTGCGTTTTAAAGCATATTGTTTTCTGCACAGTATCTTTATGTAATACCATAGTGAATAACAAATGAACGCAAAAACAAATTGCTCTCCTTCCACATTCAGATTTAAGCCATGCATACCACTGCTGACCGCGCCCCCCCCCAAAAAATGTGAGCCCTGGCTATTTTCATAAACCTTATCCTACTTTGAGCACCCCAACACATATGTCCAAACGCTGTTTTTTGATTACAGTACAGCATTCAACACAATCCCCCCAAAACTGGCCTGCAAGCTTCAGAACCTGGGCCTCAGTCAACACCTCTGCATTTAAATACTGGGCATTCTGATCAATCGCCCTCAGTCAGTCAGGCTGGGGACATACCAGTCCTCCCCACTAATACTGATCACTGGTGCCCCTCAGGGCCGTGTAGTGAGTACATTTCCGTACTCTCTCTTCACCTATGACTGTGTTCTTGTCCACAATACAAATACCATCATCAAGCATATGGATGACACCACAGTGACGGGGCTGATCTTGGGCAATGACGAGTCTGCCTACAAAGAGGAGGTACAGCAACGGGTTGCGTGGTGACAACAGCCTAGTTCTTAACACCAGCAAGACCAAGGAGCTCACCCTCAACTTCAGGAAAGGCAGGGATGGACATGCTCCTCACCTCATCAATGGTGACATGGTAGAAAGAGTACCCAGTTTCAAGGTCCTGGATGTACACATATCTGAGGACTTATCCTCGTCTGTCAACACCAAAGCACTGGCAAAGAAGGCACAACAGCAACTCTACCTTCTGAGATCACTCAGGAAAGTAAATCTCAACAGAGATCTGCTTGTGACCTTTTACTGTTGCAGTATTGAAAGCAATCTCACTTACTGCATTTCAACTTGGCACACAGGCTGCACCACCGCAGAGACACACCCTGCAGCAGGTCATCAACAGTGCCCAGAGAGTCATCAGAGCCCAGCTACCAGCTCTTCAGGAGCTCTACAATTCCTGCTGCCTCTGCAGAACCACCACCATCTGCAGTGACCAAACACACCCCTGCAACCAGCTCTTTACTTTACTGCCCTCCGGACACTGATACAAGTACATTAGCGGCCATACTACCAGACTGAGGAACAGTTTCTTCCCCAGAGCAATAATCCTCCTTAACCAGACTTCAGGATCTTCATTCCTACACGCCACAATAAACGCCAATGCTCTTTGTCCATTTTAACAGCTCCATTTACTCTATAGGTGCACTTTGTAGTTCTACAATTACAGACTGCAGTCCATCAGTTTCTCTGCATACTTTGTTAGCCCCCTTTCACCTTGTTCTTCAGTGGTCAGGACCCCATGGACCCTCACAGAGCAGGTACTATTTGGGTGGTGGATCATTCTCAGCACCGCAGTATCACTGATGTAGTGGTATGTTAGTGTGTGTTGTGCTGGTCTGAGTGGATCAGACACAGCAGTGCTGCTGGAGGTTTTAAACACCTCAGTGTCACTGCTGGACTGAGAATAGTCCACCAACCAACAGCGTCCTGTGGGCAGCGTCCTGTGACCACTGATGAAGGACTAGAGAATGACCAACACAAACTGTGCAGCAGCAGATGAGCTGTCGTCTCTGACTTTACATCTACAAGGTGAACTGACAAGGTAGGGCTGTCTAATAGAGTGGACAGTGAGTGGACACAGTGTTTAAAAACTCCAGCAGCACTGCTGTGTCTGATCCACTCGTACCAGCGCAACACACACTAACACACCACCACATCAGTGTTACTGCAGTGCTGAGAATGATCCACCCATGAATGATCCCAAAAAGTACCCGCTCTGTGAGGGTCCATGGGGGTCCTGACCACTGAAGAACAGGGTAAAAGGGGGCTAACAAAGTATGCAGAGAAACAGATGGACTACAGTCTGTAATTGTAGAACTACAAAGTGCAACAACAACAACAACAACAACAAGCTAATGGAAAACCATCACTGATATATGCTGACATGCTGATATATACTGAACTTATATATACACACACAAGTAGCACAAAATGCTATTTCGGGGGATCCTATTTTCATGTGACATACAGGCAGATACGCCTGACATACTGCTCCTGCGCTCTACTGGTGACTAGCTTTGCACACCAATGTGTGCTTTATAAAAATGGGTAAAAGCACAAGTCATTCAAATTACTGATTTTGAATATTTAAATTATCAAATTTATCAAGTTTTATCGAATGCTGGTCGTTTCCCAAACAATAAGCACCCAGGAAAAAAAAAAACCAAAAAAAAACTACAGAGCACCATTTACTCTACATTTCTTTTCCTACCATAAATATGCAGTACTAAAGCTCAAGTTGGCATTATTGTAAGGATCAGCATCCAGCTTTGTGACACAGCTTAAGCCTGACTGGAGGTGATAAGTAAGTACTCACATAGTTGGAGGCCCACATGGCCTTGAGCTTGAGGTACCACTGCAGTCGGTTCCCTAGACTGACCTCAAACTCTTTAGCTAGAGTGTTCACCCTCTCAAACTCAGAATCACTCTTCAGTGGGCGAATAGACTCCAAATACTGCAAAAAGAGAGAGGGTGAGAGACAGAGAGAAGTTAAATTATTCTCATTTTGAGAGAGTGAGGATGATTATGACAATAATGATTACAGCCTCACCCTCCTGACGGTGTCTTTGACGGCAGGTACTGGCAGATTGGGCAGAGAGCCCTGATAGCTATAGAGCAGAGGCTGCCGACCGGAGAAGATCCTCACCAACATCTGGAGAACACACACACACCCCTCAATAACAAGTTATCCACTGGACATGTTTAGCTGCTGTTGAACAAATGAACAAAAAAGCTGGTCTGTTTTTGCGTCAAATATGTTTTTTGACCAGGGACCACTCAACCTCAATTTAAACAGACAGAAAATAAATACTTACCATCCAGACTTTTGTGGTGTTGGACACATTGCCACGTTGTTCAAACATCCAGCCGTGGTAAGAGAGGAGCTGCTTCAGACATAGCTTCATAGTGAAGATAAGAGAAAGCCATAGCATAGTACTGAACACCACAGCAGAAACGACTGTCTGACACTGCAAACTCAGAGAGCCACTGCGGGGGGCACAAAGAGAGGAAAAGAGAGTAAGAGAGAGACAGAGGGAGAAATCATTTAAGCATTCCATGATGTTTGAGGCGACATGTGTTTTAAACTCTACTGAAAGCTAAACAAAGAAAGTTACCATCCTTGTTAGAGAAAAACTCAGGGAGGTAAATTATCATACGCTACCTGACAAATGCTAATAAATATGGTGCAAGTAAATACTGTGATAATGTGCAGGAAGGTCAGTGAAATCATCTTACAGTCTGAAAAGGTTCAATTCCCTGCTCAGGCTGTGCCCATTTAATTGTAGGTAAATGTAAGTAGATACTTAATGTGCCCAATAACTACTTATTATTATTATTTACTAATAGCAGTAATAACACAACATATCACATATATACTTATGAAACAATATAAGTGGTGGTAAAACTGTAGACTATCTACCAGACACTGTAAAGTAGTACTAAAAAGTTGTCATACTGAATGTAATCAATAATTTCTGAGAATTGTAGTTAAAGTGATTCATAATCTGTGGTTAAAGCAAATTATGAGCTGTCTATGTACAGCAGATGGTCAGACTGTCTTGTGTTGTTTGCCTTTACCTGGCAGGCAGGTGTTCCTGAATTTTCGCAATGAGCCCCATGGAGGGATCCGAGCGTGTGTACATGGTAGCCAGGATTGCTATAACAACGAACAGCCAGGAGGAAGGGCTTGCAGGATACACACCTGTTATTACATTGTTCTGTGCAGAAAGCAGGAAAGCAATGAAGAAATAAGGACAAGAAGAGAAGGGACCCCAAACTAAATGCAAGATAAAAAAGCTCAGAAATCAAATAAAATGTTATATAAATGCATCAACACAGTGTCTGCATTTTGTGTTTCGGAGAAGCTGAGACTCAGAAAATATGCCAGGCTCACAAACAAAATCTTAATTACTTTATGTTGGATTTCCAAAATCTTTATTGAAAAACAATTAGTGGGATTCGCTTTTAAAAAATGTACTGTTAAAATGTGTCAGAGGTGAACATGATCCACCAACACAATCCACACAGTGGTTTCGCAATAACATTTCAGCAGAAAATGCTGTACAAAAAAGTGCACAGGTTAAACCAATATTTAAAACCAGAAAACAAAATCTAGTTTACTTAAAGGAGGGGTTATATAATTTTAGCCTCCAAATCAGATATAGTGCGCCACCTAATCTAGAACATCTTCATGCTAAATTAGTTGTGTGGTTGTTGTACTTTGCTATGCTAGATTAAATAATTACCTGTAATTACCAGATAAATAACAAGGTTGGCATCATTCTTCATGCTCTCTAACTCCATTACATCTCTCTGTTGTTGGATGGCCACATCAGTGTTCACTTATCTGGGTCATTTTCTCTTAAGTTTTGTTTGGCAATGCAACCATCATAGTTAGCGGAGAAGCTGCATTATCTGTGCTATTTTCTGTGCTGTGTATGCGCTACATGACTGATGGGCAAGTAGTTATGCCTCCTTGTCCTGAGATTAAACTTGGAAACAAATGCAAGTATTATTTAGATCCCGGTAGCCAGTTAGCTGGCTCAAGTATCGTTTCTTTAAGATGATGCACACTTGAAATCCCAGAGATTATTATTATTTTTTTTTTTTACATTAGAATTATTTAAAATAAATTATATACATTTAAAGCTGTTTTAGTATATTACCTTCCTCCTCAATTCACAAAACCCTACATGACACAGTCCAAGGACAAATTGTAAAATGTTAAGGTTTGCGAACTTCACTGTTTTTACCTTTAAGCGTACGACACGTTTCTTCCAGGAGCGGAGACCAGAGAGGTAGACTTGTCTGAGTGCCTCATGAGAGAGCTGCAGATCTATTCCCTCGGGTGTTATAGTGAACTGGAACGCTACCGCCTGATGCGCCTCAGCCATCCCTGTACATAAAAAAAACAAATAAACAAAACATATGCAAACATATGCGTTTGTGTTTCCATTCACATGAGCTGCTTCTGTCAAAGATTTACAGCGACTTCCTTGCTAATAGTGCTCCCTGCTGGAGATACTGCACAACCGCTGCAGAAGAGGATCAGAGAAACTTTCTCTTCAGGTTAGCGTTAACGTCGCTGCTCTTTCAGTCATTTTAGCCCTTTTTTTTTTTTTACTGCAGCGAGTCACTGTACGTGAAGTAAAACAAGAGGAATCTGGGCAGTTAAGCCAGCATTACAGTGCCTAGCAGAGAGAAATAACACATGCGGTTTCTTAGCAAACTTCCCTCTCTCTCTCAGCCTGCACACTTCTCAAACGTGAACCCCAGTTTCCCAATGTGTTTTTCAAGTTGTTTAATGGTAAATTAGTTCCGTCTAATTCTCTTTCAGTTCTTTTACCAAAACGGCAATGTGTAAAAGGTGATAATTGCCATCAGGTTACTTGTCCATCATCAACGATATCCGAATACATCGCCCTATCGCCCAAGCCTAATGAGAACACCTCATTTTAAATCTAAAAAGATGGCTTCCTGTAATAAAACAAGTATCAAATTCTCCTGGCACAGCAGTGTGAGAAAAAAAATATTGCTTACAAAGTAAAAGATGGCAAAAGCTCAGCATGATGAGTAACTGCTAAAAAATAGAATGTAAAAATGCAGTCAAAAATTAAACACAGCATGGTGTTGTTTGCTTTTCTGCTAGCTGTTTTAGGTTAGCAAAGAAGAAAAAAGTTAGACTTATTGGATATCAGGGCTGCTTGTACATTAATGCACACAGACTTGCTCATCCACATACATATGCATATTTTTTCACCAACTTCAACTTCATTTTAAAATGTATTTTCTGTATGTGCTTTTAAAGACACATCTCGGGCTCCAGTCCTTGTGGGCCCTTGATAAAAGTCCTTTTGTTTTTTTTGCAGATATGATTTAGAAGATAGAGAATAAAATGTGCATTGTGTATTGTGTGAAATATTTTATTACTGGCAGACTAATGATGGCACTTTTCCTGATTAATCGATTTTGGAAACAGTTGTTCAGTTGCAACTCTATTTATGATGTCTTCCTATAGGTTTCTACATATGAATTTATAAGATTAAGATCAGAACAGGAATCCTACAGGGTTGCTTTGTACATCACGATTTAAACAGCCTTTCAGATTAATTTTCATGACTGAATTTCCCTATGAATGTTGGGTATGAAGACTGTTCAAATAACTGCAGCCACAGTGCATCTGTGCTTAGTCCACATTGATTTTTTTCTTTAGCACAAAATCCCAATAAAGCCGCAGGACATTTCCCTTACACACAAAGTCACACATTTGAATTTCTTCTACTAGGAACGCTTCACTAGCCTTAATCTGGGGAAAAGAAATGACGAGCAGAGGTTTGAGTAAACCTAGGAATGAGAGCCTGAGCCTGCTCAGCTTGTTGTGCCTGTTGTGTGTGCTGTCCTTTTATACAATAATGTTTCCTGAAAACTAATCCAAATGAGGACAGTCAGGTCAGACAGATCCGACTCAAATTTTACTTACTTTTAACTTGGGGAAAAAAAGGAAGTAATCACAAGCAGTACACACTGACAATAATTATTGATAGAATAACACTAAGCACTAATACCAATGCTTTTAAAAGGGTTAATGGGTGTTAATATACAACTTGCTGCAGCATGGAAGATGAACAGTATTTGCAAGTTGGACTCTTCATTAGGCTTTAAAGCTTGAACATTTCTGAGAAAATGAGAAAAAGAATATGAGAAAAATGGACAACAACCAGACAAATGAACATGTGTGCCAGTGATTGTATTTTTGTGCAATGGGTACATGAGATGAGGCTTGTGGGTGTGTTTCTGTTGTTAAGGTTTCTGAAATTTATATATATTTAATATTTATATATTTACACACACACACACACACACACACACACACTGTGTGGCAAACAGCCTAGACAAACAGCCAACCATGACAGTGCTGACATCACTCATTGACGCCCTCGTTTAAATGGGCTAAATGCTGATGCATCACAGCAGCCACTGAAATAACAAAACATCCATTCCCTCTCTCTCTGCACTGCAACTGCAATTTGATCCTCAATTTTCTCTCTTTACTGGAAATAAGGTCTCTTCTGGGAAACACACTCTCTCTCTAACCTCTTATGTGCCTCTCACTCTTGGATAAAACGGAAGTGCACATAGACGGAGAGGAAAAAAAAAAATCTCTCAGTGGATACCTCCACATCCAGTTACGTAACTATGGCAACTATGGGAGTGTCTCTATGGCAACAACACAAGGGGTTTCTTCTCATATCCCTAACCGTCTGGCCCAACAGTCACACACAACAAACTATTTTATGGTGTTTCGTCTATTTTGGCTCTAAAAAACATTATTAGTGACGATGAGCTGAGGTCTCAAAAGAAGACACTTATAATAGACAACTACACAACAGTCTAGATCAGCACTTCCTGTTCCTACTTCTGGACATTTTCCCTTCTGCCCATTATCCTTCATGAGGTTCATTTGAAGCTATTAGATACAGGGAGACACTAAAATGTGCAGACACTAAAGTGGTTTACACAGGGCACTGCCATTTTAAGAGACACTGCCTAAACATTACTCTTGTTCAATGTAGACAATTCCGAGTATTACTGCCAGAATAATTGTAAATTAAAATTACAATTTATTTCTACTATGTTCATTTCTATTTCTATATATTTTGTATATATATATATATATATATATATATATATATATATATATATATGTGTGTGTGTGTGTGTGTGTGTGTGTGTGTGTGTGTGTGTACACACACGAATCCAAATTCTTTTTTCTCAGATGACTTTTTTCACAGCAAGGCTGACTTTTAAAAAGTTAAATTATTCTAGTCAGAAACATTAAGAGAGAACAAAAGGGAGCCTGAACAACTGACTTGATAAAATATTTCACCCCAGCACGACCTGCTCCCACAAAAAAAGCCCCCACCGGTTTGGTGGTTTTAGCGGGCTACAGAAGAATCACTGAAAACGTGAGCTAGCTGTCACAGAACTGGGCGGGAAGCTAAAATGACTGAAACTTAACACCCAATCTCCCTGGCCATAGTATCAACCAAGCTATCTCGTCAAAGGTAAACGTTAATACTGGTAAGACACTTAACATTTTAGAGAAACCTTACGGATTATAACGTGATGTTGTTAACTGAGGCCAGCTACTTTGCATTTCTGATTAAGTAAACGCGCCAACGATATTTAACGCTTAGCTTGTCAGCTAACGCTAATGTTTACACGCTCGTGCAGAAAGGCTAACGTTACGTCCTGTCAGACATTCACTAACTACTCTGCAACAGAAACGTCGTTACTGAATGGATTATTGTCGATACCTTGTCGCCAGAGAGACCGACTTGGTTTGAGCTAGATGGGAGGAAGTGGGTTTGGTTCTTTTGTTCACCCAGAAAAACCGAACACACGCAGTTCACACACCTACATGCTCATAATGATGGATTATTTAAATGAAACCATCCGAAGCTACATGGCTATCGCTAACTGACCATAACTAGTTGAGAATTTAGAAACGTTTCTCCTCTGTATGTTTTTGATTTTAAAATCCCCAATGAAGCTTAGGTCAGCTTCCTATTCGCCATATTCTTGTCCGAATTTTCCCGTTCCACCTTAAATGGTGCAGAGCTTCTGCACCATTTAAGGTGGACCAGGAGAATTCTGATAAGAAGCTGGAGAATAGGAAGCCAACTTCAGCCTCGTAAATCCTAATTTTCCATATTTCTAAAAACACAATAACGTATCGTTGTTTTGCCATTACAAGCCTTGAAGTATCTGATGTAAATGCCTTTAAGACTTTTGCTACACAGCCGGAACTTTGGGGCTTGTAGCGCCCAGACCTTTCAGACAACGCCGAAGTGACACCGGTGCTAACCAGCTAATCGCTAACTTCGGCTGATTGGGCTGAGCTGGTTAGCGCTAGCAAAGCCGGCTAGCGGAGATGTGCAGCCCAACCCAGCCGAGTAGCAGAGCGAAGATTGGGACGTATGCAAACCACCAACGTATCAACAACGTGCAGAAAATCCTGCTTTAAAAAACACGACGGCACACAGAGGGAAAAACAGTGAAACAGACGCGTTTTCTGCCCTACCTGAAATTCAACAGATCTCACAGTTGTCGAATTTTCGGGAATTTATTTGAAAGGCTCGCGCATCAACTGACGTACTCAACTACAACCGAAGCGCGTTCTTTTTGACTCGTGAGTGAATTGTTCTTTTGAACCGGTTCCTTATTCAATAAAATGATTCACAACTTCAAACCGAATCATTTTTGAAGTTTCTATGAGCGACGCTAAGTTCGATTCAGCGTACCGCAACGATTCTTTCGAACTATGTGTTTCAGTGTCGTGTCCGTTTCAGTAGTTCATTGATTTGGACAGAATTCCTTGCTCCAATAATTTATTGACACAGAAATAGAAAAAAGGGGAAATTGGTCATTTTTAGATCCTTATGCTCTGCTAATGCCTGTAATATGGGCTGAAAACAAATAAAATCTGGATACTCTCTCATTCTCTCTATTTAACCTCATAAGAATATAGCCCTGCTAAAACAACTTTGAATTCATTTCGATTATGTCTCTGCATACGGCCTGGTTTTTCTGTTATCTGTTTGCTCTTTGTACAGGAGTCTGACTCCATTAGTGAGTGTCGGGACCAAAGGCTATCTCTTCCAACCCCAGGCCTCCAACATAATATTATGAATAAAAAGAAATCTTTTAAAACCAGCTAAACACTTTCACTAATAACTGTTCTAAGTCTAAGTTCTCAAAAGATGCCAAAAAGGAAAGAGTCTTCAGACGCTGAGTTTGTGGAAGAGGGAAAAAGGCTTCTTCTTTATTTCAGCATCAGGTGGCACAGAGAGACCCAACTGCGCAAATACAGTGTTCCAAACAACAGTTTATATACCATTTAACTGGGGTAATGTGATATCCCCCCGCCTTACTTCTCTAATTTTGATATTAGCTCGTTCTCTAATAGGTGCATCTCTTCGTCCATCAATTTGGCCATCGCATGATGAGCTCACTCCTCAAAACTGGCTTCAACAGGTTTTTACCAGTCTGCTCTACCTTTCAAGGTCAACCTGCCCCTCTCTTCACTGGGTCAGTAAGTACACACAGGCCTCTCTGTGAACCCAGCTGCTTTCCAGTGTCTAGAATCTCCTATGCAGATAGTCTAAGGCCTACCCTTTGTGAGAGAATTAATATTCTCTGTTAGGCAATATTTCCTATTTGGTCATTGATTACAACATCTAATCTATTTGATTACTGATTAAGGGAATATTTAGAGTAAAAGAAATGAACATCAGATTTTACTCGCTGTCGTTACGTATTGGAAGGGATGAGAATAAAGTTGAATTATTGTGGACGTCGAACTCGCTCGTTGAATCAAACGTATCTTAAGACTAAGTATGACTAATTGTGTTTGTGAAATAGGCTGAATGTGTACAGTATATAAAACACCAGTATAAAAAGTGCATAGTAACATATTAAGAGCACATTATTTGAATCATTTTAGTCTGACGTTCGAATCAATGAAACGGACAGTTCGATAGAATCGGTTCAGTGGACTGAATCAAACCTCACAGCTCTGGCGTTCTGCACCCCGCACGCTGATTCTGTTCCTGTCAAACCGCTCTTGCATCCGATTGGTTTGTAGGACTGTTTGTAGCAGAGATTGACCAATTAGGCGTTACGAGACCTCCAACAACGAGAGTTAAAAACCGCGAGCTTTACATAACTCTGCAATGTAGGCCAAAGGTCATGTTCCACTTGGTTTGGCCAATTTGGTATAACTGATCGAATATTTTTAACTTAGATTGTGAATTGAGAAGGTTTGACAACGGTTTAGGGGCTTATGGCATTTTTTACCACGGTTTAAGTTCATTTATAACTGAATAATGTCTTTCTATACAAATCTTAGTAACTTAACCAGCTTAACAAGCCTAATGTTTTAGAATGGTGCACAAGGTTTACATACCCATTTAGTTTCATAACTACATAAGTAACATGCCTATGTGTGGCCTACATATATATTTTTTAGTTTATAGCATGCCTTATTCCTATGCCTCATTCAGTCTGTTTACTGCTAATACTGTATTCCCCCCTTCACAAAAGCACACCGTTTTCCGCAACAGGGTCAGTTTGGCCTTATGTTGAATTACACAAATAAACATAATGTGGTGGAATAAATGTTTGTTCAGCTGTGCTGAATCAGGACATTCTTAACCCTGGAGTCGCCTCCAACCACACTGAAAAGACTTGTTACTGTAATGAAATAATAGAAGTAGATGTAAAAATAGGTGCTAAAATACACAAAGCCCTGACGTTATTTTTACTTAAGTAATTATAATTTGATTATTAATTTTCTTTCAAGTATTTGCTATCACTTAATCCAGGCGAGTGATTTGTATGGCCTGGTTAAAAATTCACGTGTACCTATTTTAGTGATTCAAAAATAACTTAAAAAGACAAGCAATAAGAGAACACAGGATGGAGTTAGTTGATTCTGTTTATTGGCTCTTATTTTTCTTTCGGATGTTGTTGTCCAACAAATAATGCAGTGGTGTCACATGTTCTGTATAGGTTAAATGCAAGTTTGGATGCACTTTACATGTTTTAGGTTTCCTTGAATGAATGAATGTGTTTGGTATATCTGCTGAGTAGTCAGTTTGCATGTAACAGTACAACCTAAATGACTGCAAATTCAGTAGTTTTTTTCAAAATTGTTTTAAGAGAATGTAAGAGAATGTTCAGAAGACTCTTTTTGAAAACGTAAAAAATATATATACAATATAAATGTAGTTACTCAAAAGCTAAACAGTACAGTTTGTGTGATGTACACTTATACGTTGTTAAAGGTTTCAGTGTATTTAACTCCATGTATGATTTAAAACAACTTAAAAAACTGAGTTTTAAAACTTTATTCAGTTGAGGCCCACCTGCATTGTAACCCAGTAAATGCAAATTCAGGTTGGAGTTTCAGGAAACAAAAACCTTCAAGCACTGAGTTTCCTTTAGTACTGGGAGCAGAGCTCAGGATAAGCAATGAAATGTTAAGAATCTTTAAACAGCAAAGCAGTCCAGGTGCTGTCACCAACAAAACCGAATGAAATTGAGCCCAAAAAGAATCAGAAACTAAACGTGGAGGACTAAAATGGCACTAAGGAAGGAGCAGAGCCCTTTACACACAGTTCAACTAGTATCATTAGAAAGGTACAAAACCATCAAAGTCATACCGATACACATTAAAACTGAGTCAGTGTAACCAGTACTATTCACCTCTGCAGGTCTTTGCTGTTAAACTGGGTGAATAAGCTGTTGAATTACAATAAGCTCGTTACGTCGCATTTAGTCTTTAGACCTCCAGCTGAATTTGGTCTTGAAATAAATTTGTTACGGACTTTTCAGCAGACATGTGTAACATGAGACATAATGCTGAACTTACCGTCTACTCAGTCACTCAGCAGGGTTGTACGTTCTTCAACACGTATTGGGAAAAACTGAACACTCGGTGGAGCTGTTGCTTAAACATAATCCACTCGAGTCACATGATAACCGTAACGGGGCCAGCGGACGTTTTTGTTTTTCCACCCGTATTCCGAAAAACTCCGCCTCTGTTCCGTGATGGTATGAGCTACTAACCAATCACAGCACGGAATGCGAGATATTAGCCAATCACAGCGCGGGAGAGTCGGTGAGTCGGAAAATAGGTGGGGGAAAAACGTAAACATAAGCCCATCGCAAGCCGGTGTTGTGCCGAATTCGGCACCCCTGCCACGAGATGCATCCCCTCTCTTAATCAAAGTCTTTTGCTCGAAAGCGGAGGTAATCCTCTTTCACTTTACCTATATCGCCTTGAAGAACTTGCAAAAGATCACTTCCATTTCCATCATCAACAAAGTAAATCGCTTTTTTACAGAATGGAAATACACCAGATGTTCTTCTAAACTACGGTGACTCGTAAATAATAATACAAAAGCTTAATGTAGCTGACATACACCGCTGCTTGCTTATTCTACGACATAGTAGTCTGCACTGACCTTGTAAGCAGCGAAACTTGCACGTTGCTATTTGCCAGCAAAATATACATATGAATTTCGCCTACTCGTCGTGTCGCGTTTCTCACCAATCTGGTTCAGGTTCTTTAGATTTTACACTCTTATAGCTGAAAATGTTGATAAAATCTTGCTCCAAAGGCAGTGACTTGTAAAAAATTCTCAGGAAATGCAACGCATTATAAATCTGGATACACTTTTATTGCTGCCATATAACTTGCACAGGTACATGCAGATATATACTGCTAAAATCATTTCATAGAAAGAAAATGACGTGTGAAGTCCTTCTATATATATATGACCCCTGGCCAGAAGATACCAATTTTGGCTAAATTGGTGTTACGTCCCTGAAAATTTATTGCAGAAAACACATGCTGGCCCTAAGAGTGAATTAATAAAATATTTCATAGTTCTATACATAAAAAAGGTTACAAGAGTTCACCTGTCAGGAAAAGAACCCTCTGTTAGATCTGGCCTTATTATTATGTCCATAATACTTATACAGGTGTCACATATTGGTACCTAATATGTGTGATGAAAAACATATCATAGTTGTGTCAACAGTAAGAAAATATATAGCGGGATGCTTTTTAAGCAGTCCAGTTGTTAGGAAATGCATCCCATCTTAAATCTGGCAACATGGTTATGGCATACGTAACACTTATACAAATATCACATATCCAATGTCCAGTTTTACCAAAAATGTTCCATAGTTCAACAGAAAGAAACCTGCAAGGAAATGCACTCCTTCCCAAATCTGGCTACGTTATTATTACATCCATGATACTTATACAGGTAATCTATAATGTTACCAAATATGTTGAAGGGTTGTAGATTTTCTCCCTTAATCAAATTTGAATCTTTGTAAGTCTTGCTTAAGAACATTTTTCTCCAATCTATACTAACAGACATGGCAGCGGCCAATGGTATAGGAGATGGAAAGCATCCCAGAGAGGCTGAGTCTTTCAGAAGTAAAGATGAGGAGGGGTTCACCACTCTGTGAAAGACTGCACAGGCAAATAGTGCAACAATTCAAGAATAACGTTTCTCAACATAAAATAGCGAAGAACTTTTGCTTTTCATCATCTATGGTACATAATATCATATAGAATAGAATCTGGAGAATCTCTGTATGCACGGGACAAGGTCAAAAAACAGTATTTGCTGGCCATGATCTTTTGGCACTCAGGCAGCAGTGCATTAAAAACAGATATGATTCTGTAGTGTAAATCACTGCATGTGCTCAGATACACTTCTGAAAACCACTGCCTGTGAAAACAGTTCGTTTTAAATGAGCTCAGGCCCAGAGAAGGTGGCAGCATTTCTGGATCCTGTTTATATATGGTTTCTTCTTTGTGTTTTAGAGTTTAACTTGCCTTGCAGGTTTCTTTCTGTTGAACTATGAAACATTTTTGGCAAAATGGGACCAATATGTGATACCTGTATAAGTATCACATATGCCATAACCATGTTGCCAAATCTAAGATGGGATGAATTTCCTAGCAACTGGACTGCCTAAAAAGCTTCCCCCCTATAACTTTCTTTCTGTTGACAAAACTATGACATGTTTGTAATCACTCATATTAGGGACCAATATGTGACACCTGTATAAATATCATGGACATCATAATAATGAGGCCAGATTTAACAGGGGGTGCATTTTCTGGCAGGTAGACTGCCTTAAAAAGCATCATTGTATAATT